CGCGCGGGGAGAGCGGCGGGCGCGGGCGACCGCGCGGTAAATTTGAGGCGAATCCCGTTCCGCCTCGATTCTGGTCTCTGGGTCGACTCACCTGAACGGTGCACTCTCGTAAATTTTCGTGTGCCGGCGTGCGCCTTTCCGAGTCATGGTTCTCCTGCCACGTTGTTCTGTCGTCTCGCACGTCGTCGACGTCGCTGCATCGAAGCCAGAGGGATACGGGTGTGTTTGCGATTTGATGTTCGCTGTCGCACACGTGTTGTCAAGTTCACAAGTCGTCGACCTCCATCTGAACAGGTGGGGGTCGCCGTTTCGGAGATTGCCTTGTGGCAATTTCGTTTTCTCCCCCGTCCAATGTGAGCCCCCGGGGCTTCTCTCGATGAGCCGCTAGCGGCGCATTGGGAGGCGCCTCGGAGCGCCCGCGGCGGCGGCCGGAGACATCGCTTGCGTAGCTCAGCTGGTCAGAGCGTGGGTCTAATAAACCCAAGGTCGTGGGTTCGATCCCCCCCGCGAGTACTCTTTTTTTGCCTGAGGCGTGCTTTTTACCCGCAAGATCCCGCTTTCGAAGTACACGAGAAGTTGCGTCCTTTTTGCCCGGCGGCGGCGCAAACGCGCCGCGCTTCGACGACAACGCCGGGAACCCCGGCACGCGCGCGCGCGCCGCAGAAGCACCGCGCCGCGGCAAACGAAAATCGCGTTGTCGACCCACAAAACAACAAAGAATTAGGCCCGATGTCGCAGCAGGAAGCCGCGGCACGCGCGCGCGCCGCAGAAGCACGGCGTCGCCGTCGCCTCCGTCGCGACGGGCGCGGCCGCGGCGCCGCCGTCGTCGAGGCCGGCGTAGTCGAAGCAGAGCTGCGCGCCCTTGGCGACGCGCCGCCGCGTCACGAGCGCGAGCGTCGGGAGCAGCTGGCCCCGCGCGGCGCGCCGCGCGACGACGTCGCAGTTCGGGTCGCACGAGTGGTTCGCGAAGCGCGCGACGCCGCCGACCTCCGTGGCGTCGACGGTCGTGCGCCAGGCGGGCACGGACTCGTCGAGGGAGTGCTCGACGACGGACAGCACGTACGTCGGCCGGCCCGCGGCGGCGTCGTCCGCCTCGCGGCGCCGCGCGGCCGCGCGCGACACGAGCGCGCCCGCGTAGTCGCAGACGCGCGTGTCGGCCTCGAGGTCCGCGGCGGCGACGAGGCCCCAGCAGCCGTGCGCCGCGAGCCACGCGACGGCGACCGGCGCGTGCACGTCGCCGCGCGGCCGCTCCCGGAAGTCGTCGTAGCCCGGCGGCGCGACGACGCGGCTCGCGTAGCGGAAGCCGCGCGGGAAGCCGGCGCCGCCGACGACGGGCACGGGCTGGCGCGCGCAGCCGCGCGTGACGTCGGCGCGGATGCGTTTCGTGATGCGTTTCGCTGCTCGTTGTGCTGTTCTTGACGTCTGCGCGATGGTTTTCACGTCTCGTGCGTCGCAGAAGAAGGCGGCGGCGACGAAGGCGTCGAGTTTTGGGTTGTCGAACGATGTCGATGACTTATTTCGGAGCCACCGGGCGCGGAAGCGCTCCCAGGAGGTCGTCATCGGCGGTCGAGGAGGTTCATGTCTTTGTTGGCCCAAGACGGCCAGATCTGAACCCATTTCTGCTGCACGATTTATATAGAAAAAAACACCCTTCGACTTCCACGAGCGACCATATCATTCGGAGAGCACCGCTTCCCGTCAGCTCAGCGAAGTTAAGCCGGATCGAGCTTGGTTAGTACTACGGTGGGTGACCACGTTGGAATCCCGAGTGTTGCTCGTTTTTTTTTGTTTTTTTTTAAGCATCCCTACTTCTCTTTTTGCTTCTCTGGATAGGTTTCTGGACGGTGTGGTGTTTTTTGCCAGTGGGTGCCGACTTGACCTCGACGATGGCGGCGTCGAGCCACGCGAAGAATCGCTTGCCGATGCCGTAAAGCCGCAGAGGACACGCAAGCGGACCTCGCCGAGGCGCCGGGCGTGCTCGGCGCGCTGTCGCTGCGCGGCGCGCGCAGCCCGGGCCGCCGCGACCGCGGCGGCCGTGGCGACGTCACGGTGTCCCGTAGCGCCGCGAGCCTGAGTCGCAGAAAAAACACCGCAGTACTACACCGGCACCACCGCGCCCCAGCCCGGCCGCGCGCGCCGGCCGCGTAGCACACTGCCTCCTCGGCGTCCCGATCGACCCGCGGACGCGTCGTGCCGTGCGCTGCGCGCGCGACGAACGATGCGGACCCCCGGCGCAGTGAGATCAACCTCTGATCAATACCCAGTCATCCGGCCGATGCGAGAGCACTGAGTCGACCGTCGACTGTCAGCGCGCATCGCAACCAGCAGCATCGCTGCAGCCTGCGAGAATGCACCTCCGCCTCCTCCTGCTCGCCACAACCACCGCGGCGTTTCTCCCGCCCCAGCACAAACTCAAACACACCACCGCCTACCTCACCCCCGTCGAAAAGGCGCTCGCCTCGGGCGACGCGGAGAGCGTCGTCACAGCGCTGGAAGACACGACGACCGACCTCTCCCGAACCCTCGCGGCCGCGTGCCTCGACCGGGCGTGCGCCGTCGCCGCCGCGCCCGACGGCTCCGGCGCCGCCGCGGCGCTCCGGTCGGAGGAGGACCGGCTCGCGCGCTGCTACGAGGCGCTGCGCGCCCGCGGCCTCGCGTCGCGCTACGGCGTCGGCATCACGCGGCCCTGGCCCGTGACGCGGCGCGGCGTGACGCCCGAGTTCATCGCCGCGCGGACGAAGAACCTCACGCTCGCGTCCTTCCGCCCGTCCGAGGGCGCGGGGCCGCTCTGGTGGGTCCTGGGCTCCGTGCTGTCCATCGCCGAGATCCTCCTCTCGAAGCAGCTCGGGATGGACTCGCCGCAGCCGCTCTTCCTCGGCACGGCCGCCTTGGTCCTCGCGGATCAGGTCGCGTTCAAGGGCGCCGTTGGCGAGACCGTCGCCGCCGCGGCGAACAGCGAGTACTCCGAGCGCATCGTGCGCCACGAGGCGGGCCACGTGCTCCTGGCCTACCTCCTGGGCTGCCCCGTGCAGGGCTGCGTGCTCTCGGCGCGCGAGGCGCTCGCGGACGATCGCGCGGCGGCGCTCAACGGCGCCGCGGGCACGGCATTTTTCGACGCGGAGCTCAACGCCGCGGCGCGGTCCGGCGCCATCAAGCGGAGCGTGTTGGATCGTTACACGATCGTCGTCATGGGCGGCATCGCGGCCGAGGCCATGTGCTACGGCGACTCGCAGGGCGGCAAGGACGACGAGGGCGCGCTCATCCAGTTCCTCCAGGAGACCGTGGGCGGCTTCCTCGGGAGCGACGACCCGGCGGGCGAGGTCGCGAACCAGGCGCGCTGGGCGGCGCTCAACGGCCTCCTGCTGCTCCGGGACCACCGCGCGGAGTTCGACCGCCTCGTCGCGGCCCTCGAGGCGACGCGCGCCAGGTCCATCGGCACGGTCATGCTCGCCATCGAGGACGGCGCGACGCCCCTCGAGGCGCTCGCGGCGTAAAAAGGATGTACTACACATTGCGCAAAAGTGCCTATACGTGGTGGTGGCCGCCGCTGTCGTGGTGGCCGCTGTCGTGGTGGCCGCCGCCGTGGTGGCCGCCGCCGTGGTGGTGCCGCTCGACGTGGTGGTGCCGCTCGACGTGGTGGCGGCGCGCGCCGCCGCGGGACGCCGCGCCGCCGTAGCGCCGGCGGCCCCAGCTGTAGCGGGTGCTCCACCAGGGCGCGACGAGCACGTGCGACGGGCGCTCGTAGTAGCCGCCGTAGTACGACGCGCCGAACGTCGCGCCGTAGCGCGGGTCGTACGTTTCGCCGTAGAGCGTCGCGGGCCGCGCGCGCGGCGCCGCGGGCGCGAGGCACTGCACGACGCAGGAGCAGATCATGAAGCAGGCGAGCGTCGCGACGAAGAGCGCGAGCGCGAGCCGCGAGCCGAGGTCGTCCAAGTCGAACCCGCCGACGTCGTAGTCGTCCCAGGCCGCCGTCGTGTCGTCCCAGGACGTCGCGTCATCCCAGGCCTCGTCGAGGCGGCGGAGCGGCGCGCTGGGCTTGGACTTGCCGTGCCGGAGGCGGTGTCGGTGCGGCGTGTCTTTCACGCGCGTACAGTCGCACGCGTAGCGGAGGTAGGCGATGCAGAGGGACGCGATGCAGATGTAGATGAACAGCAGGAGCACGTCGCCGCGCATCGCGTCGGACGGTTTGGGTCGCGCGCGCGCGACGCCGACAGGGGCCACAAAAGCAGAGCACTCGACTCCGGACGGTGGGAGCCGCGCGCGACGCCAACAGGGGCCACACCGAGACAGGCGACCGCGCCCGCTGAGCTCGTGCACGGTGACGGCAACATGGGGTCGCCGAGGCCTATCGCGACGCAAAGTCAAGACGCAAGTCACACTTGAGTTAAGAGCCGCTCGGCACGATGAGGCGGTAGAGGGCGACGCCACCGGACGTGTCGGCGACGGCGAGGGCGCGCGGGTCCGTGGGCGAGAAGGCGCAGGCGGCGGCGCTCCCGTCGCAGGGCACGTAGTAGCCCGAGGGCTCGAAGGTGGCCGCGTCGTAGACGGACACGGTCGTGAGGCTGCAGAGCGCGACGAGCGTCCCGTCGGCGTTGAGGCTCGCCGTCGCGATGAGCTGGTCGTCGTCGACGGTCCACTCGTCGCCGAGGCGCGGCGCGTGGTGCTGGTCGCGGACGAGGCCCCTGGCGGGATCCGCCGCGGCGTCGAAGGCCGCGACGGCGAACCGCGTGCGGGCGGTGCAGGAGACGACGAGGCGCCCGTCGGGGGACGCGGCGACGGGCACCGTCGTCGCGCGGGTCGCCGCCTCGTCGGGGGACGCGGCGACGGGCACGGTCGCGACGGCCGCGGGGCTCGCGGCCACGAGCTCGAGGGTCTCGCCGTGGATCGCGGCGCAGCCGCCGCCGGGGAGCTGCGCGAGGGCGCGCGTCGCGTCCCGCGGGTGCCAGAGCGGCACGTGCGCGAGGTGGTCGAAGGCGCGCGTGCGCGCCCAGGTCCCCGCGCCGTCGTCCTCGTACTCGACGAGGTGGTGCGGGAGGCTCGCCTCGTCGCACTCGTCGCAGTTGCTCGAGATCCAGAGGTAGAGCCGGTCGCTCCCGGGCCCGAAGCGCGCGTACTTCTTGCAGGTCGGCGGGCGGTTGGACCCGGCGTCGACTTTGCCCTGGATCTTGCCCGCGGGGTTGAGGGCGAGCGCGCCGCCGTCGTACGCCAGTTCGACGACCGACGTCCCGTCGACGAGGGCCAGACGCCCGTCGGGCGCGAGCGCGACGTTGCGGAAGGGGCCAGTTCCGCTGCGCAGCAGGTGGTCCCCCGTGTCGCCGGCCCAGAAGTGGAGCGCCCCATTGCCTAGCGAGCACGTCAGTGACGATTGTTTCATCGTTTTCCCGGTCGAAATCTCTCGGAATTCGTCGCGGCCGCGGGACGCCGGCGATCGCCCGCGGACACGAAGAGCCGGCCGTCGGCCGTCCAGTCGAGCGACTCGACGTAGTCGCGGTGCGTCACCGCGGTCTCGTAGGTCTCGAGGTCCTTCGCGGCCCAGAAGAAGAGCTCGTGCTCGCCGGCGGTGATGAGCCTGGTATATGTCCCCCATTTGTTCGGCTCGAAGGCGCAGCGCCGGATCGTCTCGCCGTGCGCGACGTCGCCCGCGAGGGGTTCCGCGAGCGCGGCCTGCCACTCGTCGCCGGGCCGCCCCTCCCCCAGGGACTTCCAGAGGCGCACGGTCTTCTCGTCGACGGAGCACATTTTCTCACCGTCGTCGCTGACGCAGACGCAGGAATAGTTCCACCACTGGTGCACGTATTCGGGGGACTCCGTGTGCGCGAGCTTGTCGCCAGACGCGGCGTCGAAGACGACGACGGCGCCCCGCTGCGCGATCGCGAGGGTCCCCGCGGATGAAAAGCAGGCCACGTCCCAGCCGTGGGACCCGCCGGGCGACGCCCGGGACTCGGTGTCGAGCGTCGCGAGGACCGGCGCGGCGCCGTCGCCCGACACGTCGTAGAGGTAGCCCCGGAAGTTCTCGGACCCGGCGCCGACGACGCAGCGGCCGTCGCCCAGTGCGACGACGTGGTTGCCGCTATGGCCGCCATTGAACTTGCCGCCCTTGGGGCGGCGCTTGACGCCCGGGCGATGCCGCGGCGCGAAGCCATAGCGGGCGAGGCCACGGTCGTCGGGCGCCGCGCGCGCCTCGTCGCGGCGCGCGAGGACGACCGCGGGGGCCCCCGACGCGGGCCGCGTGACGACGGGCACGACGACCGTGGTCGCGGAGGTCCAGGCGACGCAGCCGGGCATGTCCGCGTCGCCCGCGTCGCCCGCGACGACCTCGCAGGCGACGACCTCGAACAACGCGCCGACGTAAAAGCCTTCCCGCGCGAGGCTGAGCACGACGAGGGTCTTGCCGTCGTGGACCGCGAGCGCGCGGTCGTCGGGCGCCCAGGCGACGTGCGCCACGGCGGCGTCCAACTCGCAGGGGTAGTCGAAGGCGAGGAGCGGCGCGCACGTCGCCGCGCAGTAGACTCGAATCTTGTCCTTGAGCGCGACGGCGACGCAGGAGCCGCAGTAGTCCCAATCGACGTCGGCGATGGCCTCGGGCGTGGAGAGGCGGATGCGGGCGGGGTGCGCCGCCTTGCGCCGGTTCACGTGGTCCGCGACTCTCGCGCCGGCGCGCGCCGCGAACTGGCCCGCGAGCTCCCGAAGTCTGGGCGACACCTACCGAACGCGTCGGTGACGAGTGTCCTTCGTTTTCCCGGTCGACATCTCTCGACGATCTTCGCGGCCGCGGGACGCCGGGCGGCACGTCGTTGTAGGCGAGCTGGTAGGTGAGCGCCGGGCGCTCGAGGAGCGGCGCGATCTTGAAGCGGAGGAGGTCGCCGAGCTCCCGGACGACGAGCATTTTGTCGCGGACGAGGATCTCCACGAGGAGCTTCGGGAGCGCGGACGCGACGGCCGTGAGCTCGAGGAAGGGCAGGGAGCAGACGATCTCGAGGTACATGCGCTCCAGCGCCGGGGGCCCAATTTGCCCGGTGTCGTTCAACGCGTGCGCCCAGCAGTTCACGTGAACGACGGCGTGGCGGAGCGCGTAGGCGAGGTCCGGGTCCGCGAGGAGGTCGGCGGGGTTGGCGGTCCGCGGCGGCGCCGGGGCGAGGACGGGCGCCAGATCCTCGTCGTGGGCCTGGAGCAGGCCCGCGGCGCCGAGGCGCGCGTGCGCGGCGCGCGCGAGGGCCCCGTGGCCCGCGTCGCGCGACACCGCAAAGTCCGCGGGCGCCGCGGCGCCGAGGGAGCTCGTCCCCTGGACGTCGCCCGTGAGCCAGTCGACGACGGTCTTGTGGAACACGTGGAAGCGGCCGTCGCGCAGGGGGAAGAGCGCGCCGGCGGCGTCGACGGCGGCGTCGCGGTCCGCGGGCGACGCCCAGCCGAGCGCGGCGCCCGCGAGGCCGACGGGGAGGGGCTCCTGGGCCGAGGCGATGAGCTCGACGAGGGGCTTGAGCGTCCGCCAGCCGGGGTCGCCGCCGCCGCCGGGGAACGCGCGGCGGAAGTTGCAGGCGTAGACCTCCGCGAGGCCCGCGGGGAGGTCGTCGAGCCGCGAGAAGTCGACGGCGCGGCCCGCGGCGCGCTCCGCGGCGAGGTGGTCCGCGAGGAGCGTCGCGTAGAGGAAGAGGCCGTCGGCCTTGCCCGCGAGCGCGTGGACCGCGTGGTCGAGCGCGCACGTGTTGAGGCGGCCGACGACGAAGCCCTCGAGCGCGCCCGCGTCCGCGGCCGCGCCGCGCGCGGCGTCCGCGCAGATCCGGGGCAGCGCGCTCCGCACGACCTCGTAGTGGACGTGGGCGGCCTTCTTCGCGGCGAGCATGCCGTCGTGGTGGAGCTGGATCTCGCAGAGGTAGGGCGTCGCGTCGCCGAGGTCGAGCTCGACGACGCAGGACAGGTCGCGGTAGCCTGTGTGGAAATCAAATCTTCAACCCGACTTCAATGTGCGCGTATGCGACCGTTTCGACGCGAGGTTTTCTGCTGTGCTTCGAGAACTCGACGAGAGTAATCGATTCGTCCAAAAATCAGCCAAATCGACTTCGATTTGACCGAGCTAGAGATTTCTGAAGTTTGGCCCCGACGTCCCAGCTCACTGGTTGATTTCCACGCAGGCGGTAGCCCATGGGCGTCGGCGACGCGAACTTGTTCTTGAGCTGGCGCACGCGCACGCCGCCGCTCAGCCGCCCTAACGCCTCGGCGAGGCGCCCGCAGTCGGCGAAGTGCACCGTGCACCGCGCGAGATCCTTGAGCAGGGACGCGTCGCCGCCGTACTCGTTCGCGACCTTCTCGCGCGCGCGGTCGGGGCCCTTGACGCCCGGGTCCACGGCGCCGTCGAACCAGTCCGGCGTCGCGACCGCGTGCTTTGCGTGCGACCCGTGGAGCCCCTCCCACTCGCAGTCGCCGAGCGTCGCCACGAGCGCGGCCTGCGCCTCGGCCGCGCGCGCGTAGACGCCGTCGAAGTCCGCCGGCGCGAAGGCGCGCTGCGCGAGCGCCGGGTCGCGGCGGTCCGGGAGCGCGCGCACGTTGCAGAAGCCGGGCTCGGCCTCGATGCGCGCCGCGGCCGCGCGGTAGACCTCCATGGACGCGCGCATGGCGCCCTCGAGGGGCGCGAGCCGGCCCTTGAGCGCGAGCCCGGGGAAGCGGCGCTCCGCGTCGTCCTCGATGTCGGCCATGGACAGCGCGCCCGTCACGTAGGTCCGCGCGATGACGCGCAGGTAGCTCTCGACGTCCTCGCGGTTCCGCTTCTCGTCGACGCGGAGCTCCGTGGGCGCGAACTTGCCGAACGCGCGCTTGATCTGCGGCTCGTCGCGCGACGTCGCGAAGAGGCGGCAGGCCGGGGGCAGCGCGTCGACCTTGGCCGCGAGGAGCTCGAGGAGCTCCTTCTGCTCCGCGCGCGGGAGCTCGTCGAGCGCGTCGACGACGATGACGACGCGCCGCGGCGCGCCGGCGCCGCCGAGCGCCGCGCCGAGCGGCGCCGCGACGAGCGCGTCGAAGAGCGCCGCGGCGTCGCCGCTCGCGCGCGCGGCCGCCGCCTCCCGGGCCTCGCGGAATTTCGCCGCGTCGCCGACGGCCGCGCCGAGCATCGCCGACAGCGAGCGGATCAGCGCGCCCGCGGACGACTGCGCCGCGTCGTCGTGGCGGCAGAAGTGCCACGCGAGGCCCGCGTCGCCGCGCGCGCGGAGCCGGCGCAGGAGCTCCGCGGAGACGACGGACTTGCCCGTGCCGCCGCCGCCCATGAGCCAGAAGAGCCGCGACCCGTCGCTCGACCGCAGCCAGTCGTCGACGGCGTCGAAGACCTACGAACGTGCGTCATCGACGGAGTTTTTCCAGCCCGGGACGCCGGCGAAGACCCACTCGCGCGTGCCGGCGAGGTGCTGCCCGGCCTTCTCGGCGATGAGGGCCTCGAAGTCGAAGGCCCCCGGCGCCACCGCCGGGCGCGCGGCGTCCGCCGCGTCCGCCGCCGGCGCCGCGGGGCACGCGCGCACCTCCACCTCGAAGCGCTTCGACGCCCGCTCCTCCTTGGCCCAGACGCGGAGCGCCGTGGCGCGGCCCACCGTCTTCGGCTCCGCGATGCCCACCTGCGTGAAGCGCAGGTCCCAGGAGTCGCGCCACGTCTTGCCATCCGGGATCAAGGCGCGGGCCTCGTCGATGCTGAGGCGCTCCGACGGCGCGCCGGGCGCGCTGGCAGCGCTGCCCATGCCCTTCCACAGTTATCAGACTTGTTATCAGCGTCAAAAACGGAAAGTCAATGTGAACTTCACCTCCCGAACACGAGAGAGGCGCCTAAGGAGCCGGGCACTTAGCCGGGCGTCGTTACGAGCACTTTACGAGCGGCGCGCCGCGATCGTCAGGCGGGGAAGTTGAAGGAGAGGGACACGCGCGCGTCGTCCGGTCCGCGGAGCGCGTCCGGCGCGACGGGCAGCACGGCGTGGGGCAGGTCGCCGTCGAAGAGCACCGCGGCGCCCTCCGACGGCCGCAGCACCGCGTACGCCCCCGGCCGCCGTCCGTCGGGCCCGCGCAGGGCCACGAAGAGCGCGCCCGAGTGCTCCAGGTCCGGCGGCGCCGGCGGCGCGGCGATCCACAGCACGCCGGAGACGCCCGCGCCGCGGTGGTCGTGGAGCGCGTTGAAGTGGCCCGCGCGCGACACGTTGAACCAGGCCTCGACGCCGCCGCCGCCGCGGTCCGCGTCGCCGGCGCGCGCCGCCGCGTCGAGCGACAGGACGCCGTCCTCCACGCCCACGGTGAGCGCGTGGGCGCCGCCGCCGCCGTCCACGACGAGCCGCGCGCCCTCGACCTCGACGGCGAAGCGCGCGCGCTTCGCCGGCCGCGCCGCCGCGGCCTCGGGCGCCGCGGCCTCGAGGAAGGTCCGCGCCGCGGCGCACTCCGCTAATTCGAAGGCGTCCGTGTGGCCGTGGAAGCCGCCGACGTTGGACCGCGTCACGCCCTCGTCCGGCGTCGCCTCCAGCTCCAGCGCCTTCGCCCGCAGCGGCGCGAGGTCCAGCGAGGAGACCGCGTGGCGGAGCGTCGGCCCTTCCGAGAACCGCAGCGTCGTGACGTTCCCACCTTCTTCTTGGACCGTCGGCGCGTCGGCCGGCACCCACGCGCCGTCCACGATCAACTCGAGCAAGTCGTCCGGCACCGGCGTCGCCACGAGGAGCTCCATCGCCTCAGTAGAGCGTCACCTCGGGCTCGCGCTCGGCGACGTCGACGCGGGCCTGCGACGCGAGGCGCGAGACGGCCTGCGCCGCCGCCGCGGGCGTGGGCGCGACGCCCTGGTACCAGAGGTGGAGCCCCGCCTTCTCGTGGGCCTCCCGGTTCTTGGCGCCGCCGCGGAAGACGACGCGCACCTGATCGAGGCCGACGAGCGCCGCGAGCTCACTCGCCGACGCGGCGCACTCCTGCGGCGCGATGGGCTTGAGCTTGAACTTGACGACGGACTGGGCGGCGGCGGACATCCAGAAGAGGGCGAGGGCGAGGAGAGAGCGCAACGAAATGGCCATCGATCAGCACATGTGGCTGGGGTGTTAAGATCCCGGACCGAATGGCGAATCGGATTCGAGAAAATCGACCTTCAGGGGTAAAGAGGGCTTTGGCAGTGGTGATGGGCACCTTTGGCAAGCTCTATCTCGGCGCCATGGCCACCGATTTGCAAAATTCTTGTTGCATCTGAAAGCCGGCACCGCCGTCTTGCGCGCAGAGCCACTAACTCAAAAACTTCAAGAGCCTCACAAATCCGGCTTTTTATTCAACCCAGCCACACATGCCGGGCAAGCTCTGCACAGTCGCGGCACCGTCACTTCACCGTCCGCCCGAGCAGTCTAGTTGCCGCACGATGATGCTCAAAAATCCGGGCTGCGTGCGATGCCTGCTGAGCCGCCGTGCGCCGCTGCGATGACGCTCCATCGCGCGATGGCGGCCGCGTGGCTGTGCGTCGTCCTCGTCGCGCGCGCCGCGCGCGCCGACGACGCCCTCGCGCGCGTCGTCGCCGTCGACCGCTGGCTCGACGGCGACGGCCCGCCGCCGGCGCACTGGGAGGTCGCGTCGAAGCGGGACCTGAACCCGCGCTGGAAGAAGCTCGCCGGCGGCAACAGCAAGCAGGTGTCGAAGACGTCCTACGGCAAAGCGAAGGTCGTCGTGAAGACGAAGATCGAGCACACCAAGGGCAGCGAGACGCTCAAGCGGGAGCGCATCCTGCGCGCCGAGCTGCTCTTCCTCGAGTACCTCGCCGGGTCTCCCGGCGTCCCGAAGCTCTACGGCGGCTGGCTCGGCGACGGGGGCGCCCGGGTGACCTACGTCGTCCAGGACGCGGGCGAGATCCTCGGCGCGGGCACGGGCACCGTCGGCCGCCCGGCGAAGCCCACGGCCCCGTGGGCGGCCTTCGCGCGGAACGCGCCCGTCGCCGCGCTCCGCGCGCTCCTCGAGTGCTTCCGGAGCTTCAGCGAGGTCGGCGGCTACTTCCTCGACGACTTCTCGCCGCACCAATTTACCGTCATCGACCCCCGGGACAAGCACACGACGACGGGCGGCGCGGTCTACCTCGTCGACGGCCCCCTCGCCCTCGCGGGGCCCATGCGCAACTTCTCCGTCGCCAACGAGCTGCCGCTCGCGAAGACGAGCCGCGGCGCGTGCGCGGGCGACGGCGACTGCCCGGCGACGGCGGCCTACCACTGCTGCTGCCGCTGGAAGGCGTCGTCGCAAAAGTGCGAGCGCGGCGCGCGGGGCGCGCCCGAGGCCAAGGGCAAGTGCCTCAAGGGCAAGGAGCGGCGCTGCCTGCCCGTCTCCGCGAAGACGCACGTCTTCGACATCGCCGCCAAGGCCTGGGCCCTGCCCCTCGTCCTCAAGGAGGGCCACCTCGAGCCGGCGGCGAAGAAGAAGCTCCGCGCGCTCGAGGCGTGGATGCTGGCGCCCGACCCGGACGACCGGCCCAACCTCACGGAGGCGCTCCTCTTCCTCGACGGCGCAAGTTAGAGAAAGGAGCCGGCCGCGCTAGAACCCGAGGAACGACTCCCGGTCGTCCGGCGCGGTCTCCTCGAGGCCGTCGTCCAGATTGTCGTCGAGGTCCGCGTCGGAGCGCGACGACCGGCGGAGCGCGCGGTCGCCCTCGGGCGCGGGCGTCGCGGCCGCGGGCGCGGCCCCCGGCGGGTCCTCCTCGAACAAGATCGCGGAGACGGAGTTGAGGGGCGTCGCCGGCGGCGGCGGCGGCGGCTGCTCGAGGACGTGGTCCGTCGCCGCGGCCGCGCGCGCGATGGCCGACGCCGTCGGGTTCCGCGACGCGTCGAGGCGCCCGAGCACGGCGAGGAGCCAGCCCGTCTGCGCCGTCTGCTCGAGGACCGCGGAGATGTAGTCCGTCGCGGCGCCGACGGCCCACGACGGCCCCAGGGGCCAGAAGCCCTCGTGCCACGCGTTGTGGCCGCCGCGGTTCGTGCGCACGGCGATGATGCGCGCGTTCGACACGAGCTTGTGCCAGTCGTAGCAGTCGTCGTGCGACACCAGGGGGTCGTCGCGCGCGTGGACGACCAACAACGGGATCGCGACGTCGAGGAGCCGCTCGCGGCTCGGCGCGACGTAGTGCTCCCGCGTCCGCTCGAGCAGGTTCGGCGTGCCCCGCGTCGGCGTCGGCGGCTCCGCCGCGTCCGAGTTCGTCGGCGAGAGCGTCGGCAGCGGGGAGAAGCGGCCCGAGAGCCGCTTCCGCGGCGGCTCCGGTTCCAAATACCCCGGCCGCGGCAGGTTCGACGCCTTCGGGATCGCGGCGACGTGGCGGTCGTACATGACGCAGGCGCCGTCCGTAATGCCCGCGATGCGCGCCGCGTGCTCCTTGCGGTTCTCCAAATGCGGGTCGTACGCCGCGTGGCGCCGCACGCAACGCCGCATGCCCCGGTCGAAGACCTTGCGGTACGTGATGTTCTTCGTGCGCTTCACGAACTCGTAGGTCCGTAGGAAATCCATGCAGCCCGCCAGCGTCACCGCCGCCACGAGCGGGCAGGCGCTCCCCTTGCGCGCGAGGTACTGGACGAGTAGAAACGCCGACGCCGAATGCGCGACGCAGAACAGGGGCGCGGACGGGTGCGTCTTCCGTAACTGCTCCACGGCGTTGTCCAAGTCCCGCGTCTCGTTCCAATCCAGGCGCCAGTACGTCAGCGCCACGGGCCGCCAGCCCCGCGCCGCGCACGTGAGGGCCAGGTGCTTCATGTAGTGGTCGTCGCGCGTGCCGCCGACGCCGTAGAGCAGCAGGATGATGGGCGTGTCCGGCCGCGGCGCCTCCTCCTCCGCGGACACCCACAAACCGTCTCCGTAGGGCGCGAACTCGTCGCGGTGGCCGATGAGCCAGTCGAGGTGCACTTCGCCGCCGTCGAACGTGTCCACGCTCTCGCGCCGCCACCGCACGGGGCGCAGCAATAAAAAAGACAGGTCCGCGAGGACGTGCGCGAGCACGGTCTGGGCGTGGCGGCTCGTGAGCCAGAAGACGGGCTTGAACTCCCGGCGCGCGAAGCCGGCCTTCTCGACGATCGCGACGTTCCAGAACGTCCGCTTGCAACTGACGACGGGCCGCTCGCACACGCGCACGCGCCAGTGCGCGAACCAGAGGCAGGCGCCGCCCGCGAGCCAGACGAGCACGTGGCGGCTCATCGAGATGGCGAGGAGCCGCGCGACCTTGGCGACGCCGTGCGGCGCGGGCCGCCGGCCCGTGACGACGTCGACGCCGCGCCGCAGGATGCGCCGGAAGACGAAGGCGACGACGAAGCCGGATATGAGGACCCAGTTGCCGCCCTGGGTCTGGGACACGGAGAAGACGACGCTCCGCAGCAGGTCCACGGGGTGGTAGGCGTGGCGGTTCACGACGACGCCGCGCCGACGCCGCAGCGCGAAGCGGACGAGCCAGCGCAGCGCGACGCTGCTCACGATGACGAGCGCCGCCGCGGCCTCGGGCAGGCGTGAACTGATGGCGTCCATCGGAACCGGTTTACAGAACGCTCGGCCGGCAGCTTTCAGAGCGCTCTCTCCACCAACATGCGCTCTCACAGAGCGTGAGATTTTCTTCAACAGGTGAAACATGCACTTTAAAGCGGCGGCTACAAGTCGCATTCAAGTCGCCTTACATCTCACAGCACGCGCTCCCAGCCGATCCGCAACTTACAAGTGCACCGATCTCGAGTTTTTTTTTAGGCCGGCCGGTTCGCCGCCGCGCCCCCGTCCTTCGCGCGCCGCGTCACGGTCTTGAGCACGCCGACCTTCGACCCGCGGACGGCGAGGTGCACGTCCAGCACGTCGCCGCGCGCGAGCGGCAGCCCCCGGCCGCGGTCGAGGACGACGCCCGCGACGCGCCAGTGGCCGTCGCCCGTCTCGCCGCCGTCGAGCGCGGGCGCCGTGCTCACGGTCTCGGCGACGGCGCCGTGCTCGCCGCCGTAGCGCAGGTGCCACCAGAAGAGGAGCGCGTGGGCCGCGCCCGGGGTCGAGACCGGCGGCGACGACGCGACGGCGGCCCTCGCGGCCTCCTCCGCGACGCTCGCGGAGCGCACGTCGAGGTTGAGGTCGAGGAGCGGAAAGGGCGCGCAGAGCGCCGGCAGGCGCGCGCAGGCCGCCGGCGCGAGGTCGCGGAGCGTCGCGTCCGCGCGGTCGTCGAGCGCGGACACGTCGTGGTCGCCCAGGCGCCCCTCGCGCGTGAACTTCGTCGCCGCGAGCGCCGGCGCGTCCACCAACACGCCGAAGACCGTCGCCGCCGAGGGCAGCACGCGCGGCGCGCCGACCGTGCCCGCCTTGAGCGCGAAGCGCTTGAGCGCCTCGACCTCCTGGAGCGCGTCGCGCCTGAGGAGCCCCGACGGCTCGACGAGCGAGTGCGCGAGCACGTCGAAGCGGTCGCCGGACGCCGCGGCGACGATGGACGCGGCGCGCCCCCCGGGGCAGCGCAGCGTCGCGGGCCCGAAGGCTGGGAGCGCGGGCCCGTCGTTCGACCGCGCGTCGCAGAACCCCAGCTCGAGCACGCGGCCGCGCTCCGGCGTCGCGGCGGCGACGGCCCGCGCGTGCGCGGCGCGGTAGGCGCCGTCGTTGAAGCGCGCGACGTCGTCGGTCGTCGCGTCGAGGGCGTTCCGCGGCGCCTTCGGCGGGACGGCGATCGACGCGGACGGCGCGGCGACGTCGAAGCGCAACGCGTCGCCCTCGCCGTGGTCGAGGGGCGCCGTGGAGGCGGAGATCCGCAGCGCCGCGCCGACGTCGAGCTCGGGCCGCTCCTCGACGAAGAAGCAGGCCTCGCGCCAGTGGCCCGCCGCCGAGTCGAGCGATCGGTCGCCGTCGCGGAGGACGAAGGACACGACGAGCGCGTCGAGGCGGCCGCGTCTCGTCACCGTCGTCTCCCCGAACCCGCCGGGGATCGTGACGCGCCGCCGCGTGCCGTCCGCCGGCGCGGCGCGCCGCGCAAGCTCTATCAAGTCCAGGTCCATGTCCACCGGCGGAGCGAGGGGTTCGTATGCCAGCCCCTCGACGACGTCGTAGGGCTGGAACGCGCGGACGCCGTCCGCGACGAAGCGCCGCGCGAGCGCCGGCGAGGACGCGGGCGTCACCCGCAGCGTCGCGAGTCGCGGGCAGAAGGCCGCGCCGGGGTGCTTCCTGTACGCGTCCGCGAGGGCCGGGAGGACGCCCTCGCCGAGGAGCGCCGCGTCTAAAATCTCCGCGACGACGACGTCCACGGGATCCTCCGCCCCCAGCCGCCGGCTGTCGCGGTCCCGCGCGTCGCATCGATCGGCGCCGACGCCGCCGCGCGCGAGCGTCGCCCGCAGCGCGTCCGCGAGGGCCGGGGACCGCTCGCAGGCGACGACGAAGGATGCGCCGCGGCCGACGGCCGCGAGGCTCAGCGCGCCGCAGCCCGCGCCGAGGTCGAGCACGCGCTTCCCCGGCGCCTCCCGCCGCAGGAACGCGTCGAAGAACGCGAAGCGCGCCGCGTCGTCGACCATGGGCCAGTGCCAGGCCTCGACCGGCGCCGCGGCCGGCGGCGCGTCCGCCGCCGCCGCCTCGCGCGCGAGCGCGAAGGCCGCGTCCGCCGCCAGCCGCCGCCCCCGCGCGGCCGCGTCGCTCCCGAGGCCCTCCAAAACGTCCGCGTTCCGCGGCAGGAGCGCCGCGCAGCGCAGCCAGGCGAGCTTCCGGCGCTCCCAGGCCGCGTCGTCGCCGCCGCCGCCGCGCGCCGCCATCTCCTCGACGTAGAGCCTCGCCGCGGCGCCGCCGGCCTCGCGGACGGCCGCGACGCTCCGCGCGGCGGGCGCGAGGTCCAAGGCGGCCGCGAGGAGCTCGACGGCCCGCGCGCCGTCTCGTTCCGCTTCTATAAGCTCGAGCGCGGCCGCGATGCGCGGCGACGACGCGGCGGCGTCCGACGACGACGCGGCGGCGTCCGACGACGACGCGGACGCCGACGGCTCGACCGGCACCTCCGAAGACGGCTCGAGCGACGCCGCCACGTCGTCGTCGCGCGGTTTTGATGGTGCCAGGCGCAGGTTCTCGGGCTTGACGGCGAGGCGCGCGCCGTCGTCGAGGACGACGGCGACGCGGTCCTTCTCGCGGCGCTCGGCGACGCCGCGCGATCCGTTGCGGTCCGCGGCCGCGACCAAACCGAAAACCTCGACGCGGTCGCCGGCGGCGAAGCCGCCGGGCAGGAGCTTGGCGTCCCGGGCCGCGACGCCCGCCGCGACGCCGTCGAGCTCCAGCGCCGCGCGGCGGTAGCGTTCGAACTCGCGGGCGCTCAGCATCTGGCCCACCTTGCGCCGCAGCGCCGGCGACAGCGCCGCGACGTCGTCGTCGGGCAGGCACATGGCCGTCGCGACGCGCTGCAGCACCGTCGGGAGGAGGTCGTGCTTCGCAGCGACCGTCGAGGCCTCCGTCGAGACCTCGAGGGCAGCAGCCATCGTGAATGGGCAGCTACGGAACGATCACGGACATTGCACCGCTCGCCAAACTTTCTTACCACAAGCTGCGTCGCGAGAGCGGCGCCTTGCACGCGCCGCCGCCGGGCGCCATGCTCCAGCAGGTGAAGGACGCGCACAGCGGCCACCGCACGTACCACACGGTCCACCAGAATTCGCTGCGCGCAACGCAGAAGAAGTCGAAGCTCTACCAGGTCCTCAATTCGAACTCGACGCGCCTCGGGTCTGTCGTCTTCAACCGCTGCCTCGCGCTCCTCATCATCTCGAACGTGCTCGTCGACGTCATGATCACGGTAGAGGAGTTCAACGACGTCTACGGCGAGTACTGCAAGCGCTTCGAGACGTTTTCTTCTCTACTGTTCATCGCGGAGTACGCCGCGCGGTTCTCCGTCTGCGGCGAGCGGCTCAAGTACCGGGGCGCGCGCGGCAAGGTCCGCTTCGTCTGCTCGTCCGAGTCCATCATCGACCTGCTCTCCTTCCTGCCCTGGATCTTCGAGAAGGTCGCCTACGGCGGCAAAGACGTGCCCTCGACGGCGTTCGTCCGCGTCTTCCGCATGCTCCGGATCCTGAAGACGGAGCGCTTCACGCACGCCGTCGACGCCATCGTTCGGGTCTTGACGATCAATGCGAACATCCTGGGCACCGCCTGCGTCATGGCCTGCATGCTCGTGCTCTTCACGTCGACTTTACTCTATTACGCGAACCGCGACGAGGACGAGACGGGCGACTTCTCGAGCATCCCGGCGACGATGTACCTGTCCATATTGATGCTCACGGGCCAGGGCGAGCCCGACGGCGAGCTGACGACCGTGACGAAGGTGCTCTGCGTCTTCACGGCGCTGTTTTCGGTGGCGATGGTCGCGATCCCCGCGTCCATGCTCACCTTCGGCTTCGAGATCGAGGCGACGCGCCTCGTCAAGAAGCGGCGCGAGCGGCGCCTCCGGCGGCGCCTGCGGGCGACGACGGGCGACGACACCATCGCGTCCTGCTCCGACAGCGAGGTCGACGACGCGCGGCTCCTCGCGCGCGAGCGGCGCAACCGGCGGCGGCTGCCCAACGCCTGCGACCGCTGCCGGGGCCAGGAGCGGCGCCAGCGCGTGTCCCTGATCGCCGACGCGGCCGACGTGGAGACGGAGTACGAGCTCTCGAGCAGCGAGGACGAGTACGAGACGCTCATCCTCGGGCAGACGGAGCAGGAGGCCATGGACAGCCTCCGCGAGGACCTCCAGAAGGAGGCCTACAAGCACTTCCTCATGATCGCCAAGGACGAGCTCGACGACCGGCTCCGCGCGCCGGCCTACGACGACCTCCTCGCGAAGATCCGCAGCCACGAGTTCGCGCGGGCCCGGGCCGCGAGCCGCGAGCCGAGCCCCGTGCCGCGCTAGGCGACCGCCGCGCGAACTAGAGTGCTGTGCGAGCCAGGGTGCTCTTGGTCCGTCAGTGCGCGTGGAGCCTCAAATGTCGACCTCAGTCTCACCTCAGTCACTGCAACATTGCACATCCAATATCTTGTGCACGAAAAACTGTCTTGCTCCGCTACGCGCTCTCCCGCATAGGTGTAGCTGCCCCTCCGATTTCCCGGCGGCCATGGGCCGCGACTTCGCGTTCCGCGCCTAGGACACGCCGCCGGGCCCGAGCCGCCGCCCGTGACGCGCCATGCTCTCCAACACGGTCGCCCACAACGAGATCTGGCGCGAGCACGTGCGCAAGGAGGACCGGCTCTGCCGCACGCCCGTCAAGTTCCGCGTGAACCGGGCGCACACGGCGCGGTCCATCCTGCCCCTGAAAATCGGGACGCCGGACCTCGGCGACACGCCGCGGAGCAAGATGCACGAGTCGTCGAGTAGCCCCGCGCTCTCGGCGACGGCGAAGCGCGCGCAGACGACGCCGAGCCCCGGCCAGCGCCGGCGCGGCGGCCCCCCGCAGCGGTCGCTGCCCAAGGTCGTCACGCCCGAGGAGAAGCAGAGCCGCTACGAGGAGATGGTCCAGGCGCTCCAGGCGAGCGGCCGGGGCGCGGTTCCAGGGCAGCAAAAGAGAGCGAAATTCCCAACTTCAAAGGCTCCGATCTCGGCCGTTTTCCACTCGTTTCGGCTGATTTTTGGACGAGCGATCATCTTTCGGAGCGGTCTCGAAGCGTGGATGCTTTTTCTGGAACGCGCGCGCGCGGAACACTCACGTTGAAGCGACGTTGAATCATTCTCCTCAGGCGCGATCGAGACGAACGCGCACGCGATGACGAGCTCCCAGGAGTACGGCTGGCTCATCTACCGCCCCTGCTCGCCCCAGCCCCGGCCCGTGTCGCCCTGGAAGTGGCCCAAGAAGTCCTGCGAGATCACGCGCTTCGCGGACGTCTACTCCGACACGTACCACATCTCGCCCTTCTCCACCAAGGGCCTCAAGCAATAGGCGTTCCGCCTCCCCGGGCGGCGCGTCCACCACGCAATCGGGGCGCGGCGCCCTTCTTCTCCTTGCACTCCCCTTGTCCCCCCCCCCCCATGTCGCCCGCGCCGCTTTTCGTCGCTCGCGAGTCCGGCGCCATTTAATTGGTCCGTCCGGCGTTTGGAGACGAAGTTTGGAGAGCTTCTTAGGACCGCGGGGTGAAGGAGGCGGCGGCGACAGACACAGGGGAGGGGGTACATTCAGACGAGGACGAGCTTCGCGGCCTGGAGCGCGGCCGCGGAGAGCCAGTCGCAGGCGAGCTCGCGGCCCTCGGCCTGGCCCTGGTCGTTCCAGTGGGCCGTCACGGCGGCGAGGTCGTTGCCGAGGGCCTCGCGGATGTCCGTGTTCTTGAGCCAGTAGCAGTAGATGGACTCGTCGGGCACGGGCGGCACCGACCGCCGGAGGCCGTCGACGGCTTTGAGCCGCGCGGCCTGGACCGCGCCCTGGGCGTCGGCGGAGAATTTCGCGCGGAGCGTCGCCGCGTCGGCCTGCGCCGCGGCGCGGACCTCGGCCCGGTGGCTCGCCGCGTGGGCCATCGCGCGCGCGCCGTCGTCCGCGGACGGCTCGGACCACGCGCCGCCCTTCGGGTAGGGCCCGACGGCCGCGTCGAGGGTCTTGGGCGCCCAGGCGACGCCGAGGGCGTCCAGCGTGGGCTTCGGCAGGTGCTTCATGAAGTCCATGTTGCCGCTGTACGTCGTCGCGATCGTCGGCGTCCCCGCGAGGAGCGCCTCGAGGACGTTGAGGCCGTAGCCCTCGGAGCGGTGCAGGGACACGTAGCAGTCCGCGGCGCCCTTGAGGGACGCGAAGACGTCGTCGTCGAGGCGGTCGTCGATGGCCTGGATGTTCGGCCAGCCCGCGGCGAGCGCGTCGACGGCCGCCTTGTCGGCGGAGTCGCCGTGCGACTTCAACACGAGGCGCACCGTGTTGTCGTCCCGGGCGAAGGCCTTCTGGAACGCGGCGACGGCGCCCGCGGGGTTCTTGCGCTCGACGACGGAGCGGACGTCGTAGACGACGAGGAAGACGTACGTCGCGTCGTCCCAGCCCCAGCGGCCGCGGTCCGCGGCGCGGTCGCGGGGCGCGGGGTCGTCGTCGAGGGGCACGCCCACGGGCATGGCCTTGACGGGGATCATGGCCGTCACGGGGTCCGACGCCAGCGCGGACCGCACGGCGTCGGCCGTGAACTCGGACGTCGCCCAGATCTCGTCGTAGATCAGCGCGCCCGCGGCGAAGCGCTCCGGCAGCTTCTCGAGCTCGTAGGCCCAGTAGCCGACGTTGTAGCGCCGGCGCCACTGGCGCCAGGGGTAGGACGCGGCGACGTCGTGCGACATGTCCGCGTTCTGGACGACGACGTTGAAGCCGAAGCCCGGGGACCGCGTCGTCGGGATGCCGTGGTCGCGGAACGCGTACGCGGGCGTGTCCCGCAGCTTCACGGCCGCCGTCGGGATGTTCGATTGCAGGCCGCGGTAGAGGTAGCGCGAGCTCTCGGCGACGCCGAAGACGCCGTCGACGTAGCCCACGACGTTGACGCCGAAGTCGTCGACGGGCCCGTCCGCGGCGCATTCCTTGTCCTTGTTCGCGACGGCCGCGGCGCGCAGCCCCGCCTGCCAGAGGGCGTGGGCCGTGGAGTTCGAGGATGCGATGATGCCGCCGCAGCCCCGCCGGAGGTCCGCGGCCGCGCACGCGCGGCCGAGGACGACCTCGCAGCAGAAGGACGTCTCGTCGTCCGCTACCGGGCCTACGAGCTCGAGGGACCGGTGGCTCCGGCGCCGGCCCGCGCCGACGAGGCGCCGCACGGCCTCGCGCAGGGCCGGGCGCCGCGCGTCCTTGCGCTCGAGGACGTGGGCCGCGAGGAGGCTCCCGTAGTGGTAGAACCACGTCCGCGCGCCCTTGGCCGTGCGGAAGCGGCTCGTGTCGATGCCGAAGGCGTCCAACAAGAGGAGAGCCGCGTTGGGGAGCCAGCCGCCCTCGGAGCAGTCGTCGACGATGACGTCGTAGCGGTTTTCGAAGAGCCAGCGCCAGAGGGAGTTGGCAGGCGCCGTCGCGAAGGGGTTCGCGTCGAGGGCGAGGATCGCGTCGGCGAACGCGGGCTTGGGCGACGACGGCCCCGCCTTCGCGTGGCGGCCCTTGAAGCTGAGGGGGGCGTAGAGGTCGCGGGCCCAGAAGGGCGCCGGCGCGCCGTTGTCGAAGGCGTCGAGGCCGTACCGCGAGTGCTCGCGGTAGTAGGCCGAGTCGGCTACCGCCGCCGCGTAGCTCGCGAGCAGGGGCCGCAGGTTCGGCAGGTCGCCGAGGGAGTAGCGCGTCTGGTGGGGCGAGATGGCGTCGAAGTTGATGACGTCCGTGCTCACGCCCGAGAAGTGGAAGAAGACCAAGGGCGCGCCGCCGTAGGTCACGTCCGAGTCGGAGGTGTAGGCGATCTCGGCGCCGCGGTAGTGCAAATTCCAGTAGGCCGCGTTGTAGCGCGGGTCCACGAGCACCTTGTAGGTCTTCTCCGGGTAGAAGGACGGCACGAAGACGGCCCAGTTCTGGTCGAAGTGGAGGCCCGCCTCTAAATCGACGCCGCCCTGGTAGCGCAGCGTCTCGGCCCACCAGGCGAGGTAGTGGTCGAGCACGTCCGGGTAGGCGTTGGACAGGCCGAGGAAGCCGTAGTTGTAGACGCCCGCGCGCATGATCTGCAGGTCCGTCTGCCACTCGCCGTCGTCGGGCGTCTCGCGCGTCTCGTGCGGCGTCAGCACCTGGGCAGCACAAGGGTGATTCAACGTCGCTTCAACGTGAGTGTTCCGCGCGCGCGCGTTCCGGGAAAAGCATCCACGCTTCGAGACCGTTCCGAGAGATGATCGCCCGTCCAAAAATCAGCCGAAACGAGTGGAAAACGGCCGAGATATGAACCTTTGAAGTTGGGAATTTCGCTCTCTTGTGCTGCCCTGACTCAGCACGAAGGTCCGCTTCCGCAGCAAGAGCGCGACCTCGTCGAAGTCGGCGTAGAAGTGGATGTCCGGGTCGAAGTAGAGCACGCTCCGGTAGCCCCGGCCGAAGAGCATGCGGAAGACGTGGGGCTTGACGGCCGTGTTGAAGCACTTGAGGTCGTAGCGGAACGCCAATTCGCGCGCGTCGTAGGCCATGGTTTTGGTGACGTCGTCGAGGGACTCCAACCGGAGATCCGTCGCCGGGTAGCGCTCCTGGAGGGTTTTGAAGTCTTCCCGAATCTCGTCGACGACCGCGTCGCCGTCGTGCGGCGAGTCCGCGAGGAACCACGTGAGCCCGGGCAGGTGCTCGTTGTGGTCGAGCAGGGACGTGAGGAAGGGCCGCACGACGCCCCAGTTGTTGAAGGCGCTGATGGTGAAGGCCGCCGTGCCCTTCCAGAGTTCCTTCTCGTGGCGCCGCTTCGCGTCGCCGAGGGCCTTCGACGTCGCGGGGCCGTGGGTCTCGACGCAGCGCGCGTTGGCGCGGTCGGGCTTCGCGAGGTCGGCGCAGACGGCCGCGTCGACGCCCAGGTCAGCGCAGGCGCCGGCGCCGAGGTAGGCGAGCCAGCTCCCGAGGTCCGCGCACTCCTGGGCGGCGCGCAGCCCCGTCGGCCCGCGCGGCGTGTAGACGCTCACGGCGGCGTCGCCGCCGTGCGCCAGGAGCGCGAGGAGTCCGAGCAGGGCCATGGGTGTTGAGGGGTGGCGTGATGGCACGCCTTATTTTGGTAGCACCGAAATGTGCTTTGCTTTTTTGATGCCGGGATCCTGCCATGTTCCAAGAACGACAGGTTTTTCAGAGTGGATGCATGGAATGCAACATCATCCGTTTACCTGGCCTGCCACTAATGTAGCCTTAGACGAGGCTCGGGGTCGCGCCGCAAAATCGCTGCACCAGCCTCCGCGTGTCTTCTCTGCCAGACATAAAATATCATGCGCGACGCCGCGTCCTGAACCACCGCCACCCTTTGCGGTCGCCGCCTTTTTCTGGTCGCCGCCCTGTGGCGCGCGCCCTGGAAAAAAAACGAGAGCGGGGCGCCTCGGGGTCCGGATACGCGAAACGGCGAGTCAGCGAAATGAGATCCGCTGCGCGCACGCCACGAACACAAAGACTCACGCTCCCTCCTCCTCCCAGGTTCAAGACGATCCTCGCCCTCGCCCTGGCCTCGGCCGCCGCCACGGAGCTCACGCCCGAGACTTGGGACGACGCCGTCGACGGCAAGACGATCTTCGTCAAGTTCCTCGCGCCCTGGTGAGGGCACTGCAAGAAGATGAAGCCGGCCTGGGACGCCCTCATGGCCGACTACAAGGACCACCCCACGAAGCTCGTGGCGGACGTCGACTGCACCGCGGCGGGCAAGCCGCTGTGCGACTCCAACGGCGTCAAGGGCTTCCCGACGATCAAGTACGGCGACCCCGCGGACCTCCAGTCCTACGAGGGCGGCCGCGACGAGAAGGCGCTCAAGGCCTTCGCGGAGACGAAGCTCGTGGCCATGTGCTCCGTGAAGAACCAGGACCTCTGCTCCGAGGAGAAGAAGGCGGAGATCGCCAAGTTCATGGCCATGGAGGTCGGCGACCTCAACACCAAGATCGAGGAGCAGGAGGCCGAGCTCAAGAACATCGAGGCCGACTTCAAGAAGTCCGTCGAGGGCCTCCAGAAGCTCTACGAGGGCTACACCAAGGAGAAGGAGGAGAAGATGGCGGCGCTCAAGGACAGCGGCCTCGGCCTCATGAAGTCCGTCAAGGCCGCCAAGGCCAAGGCGGCCAAGGACGAGCTCTAAGCGGGCGCGAGCGCGGCTCGCGCCGCCTGGCTTCGATGAAGGTTGGTTCTCTCTGAGGCGGTTTTTCGCGCCGCGGACCGCGCGATCGAGCGCAACGCGGCGCGGCTCGTCCGGCCCGGGACCCGGCGGGCGGCGAGGCGGACGTTTCGGAGGCGCGCGGCGCGGGTTCATCCATCGGCGATTCATGACGGAGGCCCTGGACTGTTTCGGTCCTCGGCCGCCCGAACAAAGCGGAGCGGGGGCGGCGACCGCTCGGCCCGGCGGTGTTTTCATCTTCACGCGCCGGCCGAGCGCCGCCCCCCTCCGTCCCGATGGCCCCGCGCCCGCGCCTCCGAAGCGCCTTGCCCCCCTCGCCCCCCGCCACCCGCGGTCCCGGCCGACGAGCCGCGCGCCGTCACTTCAACTGCGCGCGCGAACCCGCGGCGACGACGACCCCGAACGAGAGACACCCGACCTTCCCCGAGGCCGCACGCGGCGCGAGCCGCGCGAGCCCATCTCCCTAATCCACGTATCGAGCGTCACGGGCGAGTCCGCGACGACCGGCGGAGCCGGCGCCGGCGCCGCTCATGATCGATATCATGTGCGCGCGGGCTGGCCGGCATCGGCACCGGGCCGAGCGTCGCGGATAGCGCGCGGCCGTCTCGGGCCACGAAGCGAACTCCAACTCGGGCCACGAAGCGAAAATTAGGGGGCCCTAGACGGCGTCGAGCTTCTTCGCGGCCGCGCCGAGGCTGTCGAGGCGCGCGCGCTTGACGTAGTCGAGGAACTCCGCGTAGTCGACCTTGCCGTCGCCGTCGCTGTCGGCCATCTCCAGAAAACGGTCGATGTCGCCGTCGTCGCCGTACTTGTTCGCGTCGATGCCCACGGTCGCCCGGACGCTCTCCGGCGTGATGTAGCCGAGGCCCTCGGAGTCGATGGCGTCGAAGGCCGCGTGGAGCGCGCGGTCGTCGATGTCCACGCGCCGGAGCACGGCCGCGGCGACGAACTCGTGGAAGCCCACCGTGTTCGAGCTGTCGACGTCCACCGCGTCGAAGAGCTGTTCGAGCTCCGCGGCGTCGACGCCCGCGCCGAGCGCCGACCGGAGCTCGTCGAGCGACAACACGCCGTTGCCGTCGACGTCGGCCCGGAGGAAGTCGTCGCGCAGCTCCAGGAGCTTGTCCGGCGCGAGCTGGGAAGCGACGACCTCGACGACCAATTTCGTGAACGCGTTGAGCTCCCGGAACGTCCGGAGGCTCTCCAAGAGAGGCGAGGGAGGAGGCACCCCAAAGACGTGCTCGTGGATGGGCTGGACGTACTCGCTCAGGCCGCTCAGCGTCTCCAGGGCGATGCTCTCGATGGAGTTCGCCTCCGCGAGAAACGGGTGCGCGAGCGCCTGCGCCGGCGTCAGCCGCTTGTCGACGTCGCGCTCCAGGAGCTTGGCCACGAAGTCCACGGCGGTCTCGGACACGCCGCCGAAGAGCTCCTCGGGGAAGCTCAGCGGCAGCGACTTGACGCGCTTCAGGATCTCCCGGTCCGTCGACCCCCAGAACCTGGGCAGCAAAAGGGTGCGAAATTCCCAACTTCAAAGGCTCCGATCTCGGCCGTTTTCCGCTCGTTTCGGCTGATTTCTGGACGAGCGATCACTTCTCGGAGCGCTCTCGAAGCGCGGGTGCTGTTTCCGAAACGCGCGCGCGCGGAACACTCACGTTGAAGCGACGTTGAATCACCCTTTTGCCGCCCTGCCCAGAACGGCGGCGCGCCGCAGAGGAGCATGTACGCGATGACGCCCAAGCTCCAGAGGTCGCAGCGCCGGTCGTAGTCGCCGCCCAGAATCTCCGGCGCGCAGTAGTAGGCCGAACCCACGCGGTCGTGGAACTCGTTGCGCTTCCCGTTGAGCACCTTTTCTTTCGTCAAAAACCGGAGCGACGACGCGGACGCGGCCGGCGGCGCGCGCGCGGGCGCCGCGGCGCCGAAGACCTTGGCGAGCCCGAAGTCCACCAACTTCAGATGCGCGCCGCCGTCGACGTCCTCCGTGTCGAAGAGCCAGTTCTCGAGCTTGATGTCGCGGTGGCAGACGCCGCGGTCGTGCATGTAGCGGATGCAGCCGACCATCATCGTCACCAACTGCGCGACGCGCCGCTCGGAGATGGCGCCCGCGGGCTTGCCCGGCTCCGCGCGCCGGTCGAGGACGTCGAAGAGCTCGCCGCCCTTGCAGAGCTCGAGCACGAGGTAGCAGCGCCGCCGCTCCGAGTAGAAGACCTCGCGGAGGCGGCAGATGTGCGGGTGGTCGAGCGCGCGCATGGCGTTGACCTCCTCGTGGAGCTGGGCCATGCCCGTGGAGCTCAGACGGCCGAGCTCGAGCTGCTTGCACGCGAAGACCTCGCCGTCGACGCGCCGCGTCACCTTGAAGACGACGCCGTAGCCGCCCTTGCCCAGCACCTCGTCCGTGGCCTCGTAGACGTCCTCGAAGAGCCGCGGGTCCTCGGGGCCGTGCTCCAGCACGCAGTTCTCCAGGAGGTGGCTCAGGTGCCGCGCGCGCCAGCGCGCGTAGCGCCGCGACGTCTCGAGCGGCGCCGTCAGGGGCCGCCCGCCGAGCAGCCGCAGGATCTCGAGGTGCAGCGCCGCCCGCTGGAAGCAGCGCGCCGCCGCGCCCCGGTTCCGGTCGCTCGCCGCCTCCTCGGCGGCGGCGAGGAGCGCGCGGCTCGTCGACTCGAGCAGGCCCCGCGCGCCGAGCGGCAGCGAGTCCTCGGCGTTCGCGGCGGCCGACGCGGCCGCCGCGCCCCGCGGCAGGATGTAGCGGTCGAGCTTGCCGCGCTCGTCCTCGGCGTGCTCCAGGTCCATGGTCGACGCGCTCGACTCCGAGCCCCGGGACCGCTGCGTCCGCGGGCTCGCGACGGCGTCGACGTCCAACGCGCCGCCGCCGCCGAGGCAGCTCATGCCGCCGCAGAAGAGCACGAAGTCCCCGAAGGCGCTGCTCCAGACGACGTCGTCGTCCAGGCCCCCCTCCCGGCCGCCGACGACCAAATCCACGGCCTCGGGCGCCGTCTCCGCCGTGCAGTCCGTCGACGCCGTCCCGTCGGACTCGCGGCGGCCCGCGCGCGGCGACAGGCACATGGGCGTCGCCTGGTACTGCGACGACTCCTCGAGCTCCTCGAGGGCCGACCGCAGGCGCTCCGTGAACATCACGAGCCCCCGCGCGGCCGCCGCGTCGATGGTCGCGGGCAGGTGGCGGCACCGCGACTCGCAGCTCTTGAGCGCGCACTTCAGCGCGCACTTGGCGAGGACGCAGCGCTGCTCGAGGGTGCCGTCGACGCCCGCGAGCTCGAGGGCGAAGACCTCGGGGTCGTCCTTGGCGAAGAGCAGCTCCGACGCCCGCTGGATGTAGAGCGGCACGTTGGGCGTCAGGGCCTCGGACAGGCCCTTGGAGTCGACCTCCAAAGCCGCGAGCATGGTCTCGAGGCCGTCGGGCTCCTCGGGCGGCGGCGGCGGCGGCGCCTCCTCCGGCGGCGGCGGCGGCGCCATGTCCACGTCCTCCGGGAGCGCAATATCCGGGCGAACTTCCATCGCGGCTGCTCCTGTTTTGCGATTTAGTGAGCTGCAAGTGGGTGTTGTTTACTTTTTGGGCAGCAGCACGATGCGGGACGATGCCATGGTTTTGGATCTCCGAAATGACACCACTGTCTTCTTCTGTGAAGCGCTGGAGATGGGCGACGACGTCGCCGCAAAAAAATATCTCGACGGAAAGGACGCGGCGGTCCGGGAGTTCGGAGAGGAACAAGTGCAGGCGCAGCTGGACGACCATTTGTATACCGCAATCGATGGCGCAATTGGGATTCCTAACCTCTCGGTCATTCGGCTGCTGCTCGACGCCGGCGCGAGCGGTGGGTGCTTCGGCCCGCCTCTTTTAAATGTTCCCTATTGTGGCTTTGATCAAAGTCCAGCTCTCGCATCACTGCTCGTCGACCGCGGCGCGGACGTCAACGTTCGCGACGGAAATGGCAGGACGTCGCTTATGCGTTGCTGCCCTGCACCTGATACCCGTGAATCGGCTATTCCCTACTGCTGGTCCAAGGCGCTTGACATGGTCCGCGTCCTGCTCGCGCGAGGCGCGGACGCGGCTCTCGTCGACAACGAGGGTCACAACGCAGAGGATCTACACCGGAGCGGCATGCGATCTACACCTATGATGTTCACGTCCGCGAGCGCCGTTCTCAGTTTTCAGCGGATCGAAAAGCTGCTCGTCTTCGTGAGGCTCGCGGGCGGCGCTAGCGCGTACCTGAAAGCGCCGCGCGTGGAGCTCGCGCGGCTCCGGCTCCTCGTCGCGCGCGGCCGCGCGCAGCCACCGTCCTTCGCGTCGCCCAAGAACGTCGCCGTCCTCGCGAGGCTCTTCGGCTGCGCCCCCGAGGGGAAGCGGTTCCGGCCGCTCCCGAAGGAGTTATTCTGGCACGTGCTCACCTACTGGCGGACGACCCGCGACGACGAGCTGGACTACACTGCGGAGTGGCCAGGAGGCCCTGAGCTGGAGAATGCTGGTTTCTAAGTCTTCACTTTTTTCTAGGAGCTGCAAGTTTTGTTCAAGTATTTGTTCAAGTTGCAATTTGTATTTTTGCAGCCCGCGAGCATGGACATCATGGCGTATGAGTTGAGGGAGTTTATCTACCAGCGTAGCTCGGCCATCCTGGCTAGAAACGATGCGACTGCCCTGAAACAATACCTCGACGGGAAGGACGCGGCGGTCGAAGAGCATGGGGAGTTTTCGGTGAGCTGGCATCTCAGGGGCTTGCTGAGCGATTTTATTGTACGCAGCAAGGTCGGGCGCTCTAGAGCTGAGTGCGTTAAGCTTCTTCTGCGCGCTGGTGCACAGCCTTTACAAAATCACCTCTTCATGTGCCGTGATCCTGCGATTATGGCGACGCTCCTCGCTCACGAGCCGCACATGGTCAACGCTCGTTTAGCCGGGAATACCGTCGTCATGGAGGCTTGTTGTGTCGGTCCGACGGAATTACACTCCCACGGCTGGTCCGGCGCTCTCAGCATGGTCCGACTGCTACTCGCCCGCGGCGCCGACCCCGCACTCTTGAACGACGACGGCGACGACGCCGAGCACTTCGCTCGGACGCGCTTCTGGGAGTGTCCGACGGAGCTGAGCGACGATGACACACAGGCGTTCCTCAGACTCAAGGATCTACTCGTCGGCGTGAGGAGGGCGGGCGGCGCAACGGAGTTCCTGAAAGCGCCGCGCGTGGAGCTCGCGCGGCTCCGGCTCCTCGTCGCGCGCGGCCGCGCGCAGCCGCCATCCTTCGCGTCGCCCAAGAACGTCGCCGTCCTCGCGAGGCTCTTCGGCTGCGCCCCCGAGGGGAAGCGGTTCCGCCCGCTCCCGAAGGAGATCTTCTGGCACGTGCTCACCTACTGGCGGACGACCCGCGACGACGAGCTGGACTACACTGCGGCGTGGCCCGAAGACTAACTACCGTGTCTTCTTCTTCGCGCGGCGGCACGCCACCAGGAGCGGGTCGCCGTCGTCGAGCGCCGCGTAGGCGACGGGCTTGCCGAGGCCGGGCGTCTCGTCGAAGAAGGGCCGGTCCGGGCTGTGCCAGTAGACCCGGCGCAGCGCGCCGCAGTCGACGCCCGCGAGGGCGACGGCGGCGGCGGCGCCGCCGAGGTCGTCGAGGACGTCGCCGAGGCGGAAGCGCGCGCGGAGCCGGCCGACTAACAGTCGCCAGTAGCGGTCGAGGCTGCCGCCCGCGAGGAACCGCTCGTGGACGGCGCCCGCCGCCGCCGCCAGCGCCGCCTCGCCCGCGTCGAGGGCGTCGAGGGCCGCGCCGGCGGACTTTTCGTCGAGCGCCGCGTGCGTCTCGCCGTCGCGGAGCCCGGGGTAGTACCACTCGACGGCGGACCCGTCCCAGAGCGCGACGGCGCCCCCGAGGGGCCAGAGCAGGTTCAGGTTCCGCGAGTAGGAGCCGCCCATGGTCCCCGGCAGGTTCAGGTAGCGGCGCCACCTGGAGAACTCGGACGCGTTCACGAAACCGCCCGTCGGCGCCGGGATCTTTCCCGTCGACAGGTCGACCATCGCCTTCGTGTAGGGGAACTCGCGGGCGCAGGCCTTCGCGTCGGGCGCGTCGAGGCCGTGGGTCACGCGCACGTCGTAGCGGTCCGGGTGTTGCGCCGTGAGCGTCAGCGCCGCGACGCGCGCGACGTTGCCCGGTCCGCACGCCGACCGCACGCTTCCGCGCCAGAAGAGCCGCGGGTCCCGGTCGTCCCAGGCGGGGATCGCCGCCCGCCATGTCGCGACGCGCGCGTCCCACTCGTCGACGTGGGCGAAGTAGGGGTTCGGGATGAGCACGCCCGTCTGGTTGAAGCCTCCTTGCTTCGCGATCGCGAGGCACGGCACGCGGCGGCCGACGCGCCTGCAGTGCGCGCCCGTCGCGGCGACGTCCCAGGTCGCGACGAAGTTGGGGAAGGGCTCGCGCCTGAGCATGGAGAGGATCGTCGAGAAGAGGTAGTGGGGCTTGTGCTTGATCTTCGAGTCGTGCGCGTCGGAGACGTAGAGCGTATTCTCGACGACCGCGAAGAACGACGCGTCGCGGGCGAAGATCTCCGCGGCGCGGCTCGCCGCGGCGTCCGCGGACGGCACGGCGTCGTAGGCGCGCAGCGACCGGTCGAGCTCGAGCTCGACGCGCCGCCAGGCGTCGCCCGCGGCGAAGGAGGCGCCGTGGAGCCGCGCGAGCTCCTCCTGCGGCCGCCACGCGCCGCGCGCCGCGGCGAGGAGCGCGAGCAGGCGCAGCGCCATGTTAGATGTCGTGTGGCAGCTCTACGGCGCGTCGCTGGCTGCGTGTAAGGCGCGCAAATAGGCAAGGTCGCACGGCTCCATTTATTAAAGCAGATCGGGGTTAATTTTGACCCCTCGAGCTATGGGAGCTATTGGCACTTTTTTTTTTACTTTTTTTTTTCAAAAAAAGTGAAAAAAAAAAGTGACCATAGCTCGGGGGGTCAAAATTAACCCCGGGTTGCTTTACCCGGCAAGACGCGGGCAAGAAGCTTATGGCGGCGCGGAACAGAGGCCACTAGAGACCGTTAACCCACGCGCCGCACACCAAAAAACACCATGCTCGCGTCCGGGACGCCCTTCTTCCAGGAGTTCCACTGCGTTCTCCAGGACGACGCGTTGGGGTTGCTCATCAAGCCCATGAACGACATCCCCGTGGTCCGGGGCCTGAAGCCCGGCGCCGACGGCATGCCGGGCGCGGCCGAGCGCGCGGGCGTCACCGTCGGGAGCATCCTCGTCGCCGTCAACGGCCGCGAGACGCTCCGCGAGGGCTTCAAGGCGACGATGCTCGCGGCGAAGACCGCGAGCCGCCCCGTGACCCTGGGCTTCCGGCGCCTCCACGCGGTCACGGAGCCCGTACCGGAGCAGGGCCCGCGGCCCGCGCGACGCTACTGGCAGGGCTACCTCTTCGCGCGCTTCGCGGCCGCGCGGAGCTGGACGGGCCGCTTCTACGTCCTCCGCGAGGACGGCGAGCTGCGGGCCTACCCGGGCAAGGACCTCGTGGACGGCGGCCACGTGGAAGACTTGAGAGTCGTCCACGCGCCCCTGCGGGCGTCGGCGGAGGACGTCGCGGCGGCCGCGCGGACCGTGGGCGACTTGGGCGACGACGGCCGCGGGAGCCTGGACCCGCGCGCGTTCGCGGCGCCCGTCGTCGACGGCGACGTCGGCGCCGCGCGCGACGGGCCGAGCGACGCGACGCGCTGGGCCTTCTTCCGCGGCGAGACGCCCGAGGCGCGCCTGGACTGGATCGCGGCGCTGACGACCTTGGCCGTCGCGTTCGAGGAGAAGGGCGACGACGACGGGTCGTCCGCGGACGCGGGCGCGACGACGGTGGCCGTTGGATTAGCATCCGCCAAGCGCGAGGTCGCGCGCCAGGGCTACCTCTGGGTCAAGGCCGTCAAGGGCGACGAGGACGACGACGAGGAGACGCGCGGCGTCGGGGAACTGGTGGCCGCGGCGACGGCCGCGGCGACGCTCGAGGTGTCCCAGCGCCTCGCGCCCTGGCGCCGGCGCTGGTTCGTGCTCTCCGAGGCCGGCGAGCTGCTCTGGTACGTGTCGCCGCCCGCCGACGACGGCGAGGTGCCCACGGGCCGCTTCGCGTCGCTCGAGGACGCGACGGTCGCGCTCGCCGCGGTCGCGGACAGGGCGACGCTCGAGGGCGTCGACCCGTCCGAGGCCGCGCACCGGCGGCGGCGCTTCGAGTTCTCCGTGCGCGAGGCGCGGGGCGAGCGCCGCACCGTGAAGCTCACGGCGCTGTCGGCCCACGAGGGCAAGCAGTGGGTCGCCGCGCTCGAAGCCGCGGCCGCGCTGAAAGTCGAGCCGTTGCCGGTCGTCGACGACGGCGGCGACGACGACGCGGCGGGTCCGACGACCGAGGAGCCCTGCGACGAGGAGCCCGTCGAGAAGCCGCGGCCGCCGAGCCGGAGCCCGTCGGAGCGGCCCACGGAGAAGCCGCGCGAGGTCTCGGACGAGAAGGACCGCGAGGCGCGGCTCATCGCGTTGTCGGCGAACCCGGGCGTCGTGCTCAAGCTGCCCGAGGCGGCCTACGGCCTGCTCGTGCCCCGGGGCAGCGGCGGCGGCGGCGTGGACCGCGGCGCGTTCACGGCGCTCGCGGGCCAGCGGCTCGTCCCGCTTTGCGACTGCTACGTCGCGGACCTCGTCTACGACGCGCTGCTCGCGTCCCAGGCCGCGGGCGGCGCGCGCGACTCGCCGCAGACCGTGGCGCAGAACACGGGCCTGACGAAGGTGCTGTCGCTGGGGAAGACGGAGAGCCCCCGCGGCGACGTCGACGAGGACTTCCTCGGGAAGAACCTGTTGGGCAAGATCGGCGGGCTCAAGGCCTACACGTCGGCGAAGAAGGGGCTCACGCGGGCCGCCGCCGACGCCGGCGCCGTCGTCTCCGAGCTGCTCTACGAGGCGCAGGCGAAGGGGCTGAAGTCGTCGCGCGACGCGGCCGCGAAACGCGCGTCGGCGAACGTGCAGACGAGCCGGCGGGCCGCGGAGCCCATCCAGGGCACGTCGAGCCTGCTGGGCTACGACGCCTTCCGGCGCTACTGCGACGGCGCGCGCGAGTCCTTCGGGGCCGTGCCCGGCGTCGAGCGCGACGCGTGGGACGATCTGCGCGTGAAGTTGGGTTTGGACAAATACGAGATGCTCGCGCTCCGCGAGGACTACGCGACGGACGTGCTCGACGAGGGCGAGTGCTTCCTCGAGGCGCCGGACCCGAACGACGCCTATGTGTCGCCCGTGGCGGGGGAGCCCAAGCGGCCGGAGCGCGAGGGGAGCAAGGGAGCTCACCGCGGCGGCGTGCTCTACCTCACGAACCGCCACTTGCTGCTCCACCGGCCCCAGGACGCGACGGTGCGCCTCATCCCGCTGGACTTCGTGGAGTCGGCGTCGCCGGCGGAGCGCGGCGAGGCGGCGTTCGTGCTGAAGAAGGCCGAGGTGCACACGATCCGGCTGGGCGCAAAGTCGAAGGACGAGGAGGAGCCCGAGGACACGCTGTCGCCGCTGGGCGCCTACCCCGGCGGCGGCCGCATCTTCGGCAACGACAGCACCTTCCACCAGCCCCTGCTGAGTCTCGAGGCGCTCCGCGAGGCCGACGGGCCGCCGCTGCCCGAGGCCAGGCGCCACGAGGCCGACGCCGACGGCTCCGACGTCGAGGACGCGGTCGCGCTGGGCTTGGAGGACCGGCCGCGGAAGGCGCGGCGGCGGCCGTCGTCCAACGGCCACCCCGACGACGAGGGCCAGCGCTACGAGTGCGCGCGCGCGTCCGAGTACGCCGTGTTCCTACCGCGGCTCCGCAGGGACCGGAGGAAGCGCGACCGCGAGCATCTGTGGCTCGAGTCCGTCGTCGAGCTCGTCGCCGCGGTGCGCTTCGACCGGGCCGTCGCGGCGCGCGACGGTGCCGCTTTGAGGGACTACGCGCCGCCGGGGTTCGTGTTGGCGCCCGCGTACTCCGCGGACGTTGCTCTGCTGGTCCGCGACGACGCGCGCCGGTTCCCGTCCCAGGGCCCCCTCTTCGAGGCGCGGCGGCGGCCCGGCGGTCTGTGGGCCGCGGCGAACGTGCTCCGACGGGCGGCGCTGCTCAAGGCCTGCCGGCGGTTGCCCAAGGGCCTCGCGTTCTTCTCCGCCGCGCGGCGCGAGCGCGAGCCGTCGAAGCCCCTCGCGGACTACCTCGTCGGCGAGGGCGTCTTCCTGCGGCGCGACGCGAGCGTGGACGACGGCTGCTGCGCGCGCATGGAGGACCGGTCCTGGCTGCGGGGGCTGCTCGTCTTCGCGGCGCGGTCCGACGACCTCGATCGGCGGTGGGCCAAGGAGGTGCGGTCCTTCGCGCCGGCGCGCTTCCGCGACGAGTGGCACGTCTTCTGGGCCCACGTGGACCCCATCTGGGACGGCTTCTACGACACGGCCGTGTCGCTGCGGCGCTGGGACCGGCCCGCGGCGTCGGGCGGGCTCTGCGGGGGCCTGCTGCTCGTCGCGTACGCGGACGCGCTGGCCTGGCTCCCCTGCCTGCTGGCCCTGGCCTACGCGGCCTTCGTCGTCTTCTACGGCGCGGCCGTCGAGGCGGAGCGGGGCAAGCGCCGGGCGCACAAGCGGCGCGTCGGCGTCGACAGGCGCGAGGCCAGGGGCGCCGGCAAGGACGACGAGCCGGGCGTCATCGCGAACCTCGCGCGGCGCCTGTCGCTGCCGTCGACGCCGGCGAAGCCCGGCGGCTCGTTGCCGCCCGAGGCGCCGGCGGACGACGGGCTGTTGGGCGACCAGCCGTCCGTGGACCGGTCGCCCGCGAAGTCGCAGCTGCAACATCTCGCGCACGAGTTCGGCGTCTTCGGCCAGCTCCGCGAGCTGCGCCAGGGCCTCGGCAAGGCCCAGGCGAAGCTCCACGAGTACAACACCTACCTCCTCCAGTGCCGCGCGCTCCACCGCTGGGCGGACCCGGACCGCACGTGGCTCTTCGTCGCGGGCCTGTTGTTGTTCGCGGTGACGGCCGCGGTCCTCCCGCTCAACTACTTGTTCGCCCTGTTCGTGCTCTACTTCTTCTCGCCGCCCCTCTTCAAGACGCGCGGCGTGTCGCGGGCGACGCAGGACGAGTACTTCGAGCACATGCCCGTGCTGAGCCGGACGCACGGCAACGTCCACGTCGCGGCGCTCCGGAAGCGCGCGGACCACCGGCCCCACGCGAGCCCGCTCCTGCGGGCGCTGCGGCGGCGGGGCGGGAAGTAATTTTCAGTGGTGTCGTTATTTACAAGTGTAGAAGTGTCCGGCCTCGACCTACTGGTAGTTCGGCCGGTCGCGGATCGCGTTCACGGCCGCGGGGTCCGCGCCGCTCTCGAGCGCGAGCGCGATGAGGTCGTCGATCTTCGAGTGCAGGGCGTTGGTCGTCCGGACCTGGTAGCCCAACGTCTCCTGCGCGTCCTCCTTCTCCTCCAGCGCTTCCTTCTTCTCCTCGATGGCCGCGACCTTCTCCGACTTGACGTGCGCGAGGTGCGCCGTCGTCTCCGCGTCGTGCGCTTCTCCAAGGCGCGAGCGTTTGTGGCGGTGCTGCACGTCTTCGTCGACGCCATCCGTGAGATCGACCGCGGCGTCGTCGTCGTCTCGAGCGTGCGTTTCGAGGCGTGCCACTTTGGCTTTGAGCTCCGCGAGTTCGGACCAGATGGTCTTGACGGCTGCCGTAGAGAGCGTCTCCACGGCGGCGAGCCCATGACCGTGGAGCGGCGGCGGGGGCGCGGCGGCCACGACGACGGGCGCGACCGCCGGCTTGAGCCACCGCGACTGCATGGCTCGGAGCTTCGCGTCGCCGCGCGGAGTCCCGACTGGGACCTCCGCGGTCATGGGCTCGCCGCCGTCGCGCCGGAATGCGGCATCCATCAAAGCGCGTTCGACCGCGGGACCGTCCAGGGTCTCCGTCGACGATTCCGCGAGCGCCGACGCGGCGGCCGTCGCGGGCATACGGTTCACGTTGGACCGCGACGCCTGCTTCTCCAAGGCGCGGCGCCAGATCTCGGCGCCGACGACGCCCTCCCCGCCCTTCAGCAACGCCTCGGAGAGCGACGGGATTTCGCCCGCGTCGCGCTTGGCCTTGAGATCATGAACGAACTCGCGGAACTTGATCCGCTCCTCTTTGCCGAGCTGATGCACGACGTCCTGAAGAAGTTGTTGTAGGTTCAGACGTGTAGACGCCATTATCCGAGCGAAATGGACGCAAGTCTTCACGCCCGTCGCGCGACACAGATATCCTCGAGGATATCCGGATGGGGGCGTTCCTCGTAAATGTGCTTATTCGAGGCGAAGCCGGGTTCATCGAGGCCTTCATCGAAGCCTCATCGAGGCAGAAGGCGTCGGACTCCGAGGCCTCGTCCGGAGAAGTCCACAGCTACAAACTCTAATGCAACCACCAGTTCGCCCCCAGCCAGATGGCCGCGGCCATCGGGCCCATGGGCCCGATGTGGTCCACGGCGCCCACGAGCACGAGCGTCGGGCCACCGATGACCGCCGCGCGCCAGTAGGGCATCCACCGCGGCGGCCGCCGCGGCGACGGGTTCCGCGACACGACGGCCGCGTCGCTGCCCGCGGGCACCTCGACGACGACGTCGGCGAAGGCCTCCATGTTCCCGTAGACGTGGTTCCGCACGGGGTTCAACGGGTGCACGTAGCTCGGCCGCAGCGGGCGGTACTTGGGCATGTACGGCGGCGCGTGCGCCACGTGCTTGTACACGACGACGTGGACGTTGTCCGGCCGCCCGTGGCGCAGGTACTCCGACTCCAACAGTTCGATCAGGATCGCCTTGGGAAAGAGCCGCCGGCGCTTGAGGAGACCCGCGAAGACGACGCCGGATGACGTCCACTGCGCGCAATTTCCAGCCGTCCACCGCGCGCGGCGCACGTCGCCGACGACGCGGCGGCCCCGGGCCAGCAGGTCGTCGGCGTCGCCGCCGTCGTCGCCGCGCGAGAGGAACTCCGTGGACCGCCGCACGCCGTCGAGGCCCCGGCGGAGCGCGTCGCCGAACGGCGGCGGCACCTGGTCCGCGAGCGCGCCGAGGCGCGCCTCCACGAGCTGGAAGCGCGCGGCCCCGACATCGATCTTCGTGCGCACGTCCAGGGCTTCGAAGAACGCGTGCATGGCGTCGATCGCGCCCGGCGAACACCGCTCGACCCGCAGGCCGACGAAGTCGCGGTTGTACGCGCCGCCCTGCTGCGCGTAGGTCTCCCAGCCGCGCGTGCCGTAGACGTAGTCCGACGGGTCGACGAAGTTGACCATGTCCGCGCCCTCGACGCCGCCGAGGATGTTCATAACGCGCTGCGCGCCGTCGCTCGTGGTATAGCGCACGGCGACGTGGCCGTAGCGGAGCAGGCCCGCGTGCACGGCCTCGCTAAACGGCGTCGACACGTCCGTGAGGTGCTCGGTGAGCAGCACCTCGAGGTCCGGCGGCCGCCCGACGCCGAGCGCGTCGTCGACGGCGCCGAGCACGGCGCCCTTGTTGGAGATGGGCGTGCCGTTCCTCGCGCCGAAGTCGCTGCTGATGCAGCGCGGCCAGGCGTGGCGGCGCGTGAGCGCGACGCGCGCACAGCGGCGCGCGAGGAGCATGTGCTTTGGTGAATGTTCGATGTGAATGGATCGGCCCGTGGAGCAGTACCGGAGCTCCCTCGCCGACGGCTGCGTGCGCTTCCCTTGGCAGCCGCGGTTCTACACGCAGCGCGAAACGCTGGGCTCAAAGCCTCCCATGCTGTGGTTAAAAAGCCTGATTGGGCTTGTTGATCAAGTTGACCAAGTTATTGAAGGGGGTGCGCACCCGAAGACCCCGCCCGGAGGCTCAGACGGAGGCGTAGCCGGGGGGTTGGCGTTCCCACACCGGCCCCTTCCTCCGACCCAAAGATCGCGCGTGCACTCGGATCGGAGGTGTGGCGGCGGTACACTCGCGCCAAGCCTGGTACCGACCGCCACGCCGAGAGCACGCCGGGATTGGCGCAAGGCAGTAGCATCCTGAGTCGCCTCATTCAGACGACACTCAACGGACTCTCCGTGGACCGGGGGAGGTTGAGAACGAAGGCACCCGCACCCGACGGGCAGGACGTCCGGCTCGACTAGGCCGATTCAACCTCAGGACCACAAGTGGCTAGCCGAGGGCACCGCCGAAGAGGACACCCGTAGTCAGCGGGACCGGAGAGCAAAGACGCCGACGCCGACGGAACCGCACAGAGCGCCACGCTACGAGGAGACGCTGCAGAATGCAGAGAAACGAATGGACACGGGCACATCGAAGCCCGCACACCGAAGCCACCGAGGGCGCCGACCCCACCAGCTCCCTCCGAGACTCACGTCGAAGGCATCCGAACGAAGCGAGCGCGCGCGGCAGCCCCCCGGGCCCGTGGGCGACGTCGCGCCGATGGCCAAGCCCTGCAAGTCCTCGCGCTCGGCGCCCCGCCGCCCAATCGACGCGCGCAGCGGGGTGCTCCGCCCCGGGCGCCCACCGGAGCCGACGCGGCGGGCCCCACCACCGGCCGCTGCGCGAAACCACCTCCGCGCACCCCGGAGGACCGCCCCATAAGCTTCGGCGTTATCAAGTTTTGATCAAGTTGCACATCGCAGCTGATGCTGCTGATAGCTGCCCCGCGCGTACGATTCATCGCCCTCGAACGCTGGCATCCTGCTAGCACTGCCGCAGCCAGCTCCAACGAGCAGCAGCCCCATCCACACCAAGAGACGATGGAGCGCCGGCCCACGGCCCTCCACTTCTACGAGGACGAGCGCCTCGCACAAACACCCAAAAAAACCTTCAGCAAGGGCATCCTCGGCCAGGGCGTCTGCGCGGGCCTCGCGAGCTGCTTCCAGGTCTACTCGGGCGGCATCGTGCTCGACACCGTGTCGACGCGGCTCCAGGCGCGCTGGCCGCTCCGGGCGTCGCTCTACGGCGCCAACGCGACGAGCTTCCGGGCCTGGCAGCTCTTCGCGGGCCACGCGGTCGTCGCCGTCGGCCGCTTCCCCTACCTCTTCGCGACGCTGGCGACCTACGCGCAGACCGAGCGGTTCGTCATCGCGTCGCGGCCGGACGGCGCGTCGCTCGCGGCGCGGCCCAAGGGCGCCGGCGAGGAGGCGGCGTGCATCGCCGCGTCGAGCGTGTTGGGCAGCGCGCTCATCACCGTCGTCGAAGCCCCGAAGGTCATGGCGCAGCTCTCCGGCGGCGCGCACTCGTGCGCGAGCGTCGCGCGGGAGTTCGGCCTCGGCCGCCTGCTCCGCGGCTACGAGGCGACGCTGCTGCGCGAGTCGGTCTTCCAGATGGCGCTGTTGGGCGCGCCGGCGCTGGCCCGGCGCTGCGACGCGTCGGCGGACGCCTCGTCCTTTGTCGCGGGCGCCGTCGCGGGATTCCTGAGCAATCCCGCGGACGCGCTGAAGACAAAGATCCAGGCCGGCGAGTACCGCGGGCTCGGCGACGCGTGGCGCGGGACGTTGCGCCACGGCGGGCTCCGGCCGCTCTGGGGTGTCGCCGCGTGCGTCCGCGCGCTCTACACGGCCCACGCGGTCCTCGCGGTCAACTTCGCCCGCTTCCGCGTCGAGGCGGGGCTCGATAGGCTGACGTCTTAACTGTAGCACGAGTAGAACTCGAAGCGCTGGATGAACGTGATCTCGCGGGGCGCGGTCTGGATGAGCTCCGTCTTGCCCTTGCGCCGCGGCTCGTCGTAGACGACGCGCACGGGGATGTCGTAGTCCCCGCGGAGCTCGACGCCGTCCTTCGGGTAGAGCGGGTCCTCGGGCTCCTGGCCCCGGCAGATCTCCGGGCACGGGTAGCAGATGATGCGCCGCGTCTCCGACCGCTTCCACTTCTTGTGCATGTGCGTGACCGTGGGCATGTAGTAGGGCTCCATGAGCAGGATGATGGGCTTGAGCGCCTTGCAGAAGCAGTGGCAGCAGCAGCAGGCGAGGACGCCGACGATGATGCCCGCGATGTAGAGCCGGTAGTCGCGGACGAAGTCCTGCCACGTGTAGCGGAACGGCGTCGGCTTGGGCGTCGGCACGGGCGACGGCCGGTGCGTCGGCCGCGCGGTCGGCTTGAGCGGGTCCTCGATGGTCGGCGCGACGCTGGGCAGGATCGTCGGCGACGACGTCGGCACGGACGTCGGCCGGAACGTGATCGTCGGCGCGGGCGTCGGCGCGGGCACGAGGTTCAGGTCGTGCCAGGCGACGTTGTCGACGCCCTCCGTGGAGAGCGACGCCGTCACCACATCTAAATCCGCGTCGCCGTCCATGTCGACGCCGAAGACGGACGTCGCGCCGTCGACGCCCGCCTCGACGACGGCGCCCCGGCTCCAGCTCTGGTGGCCCCGGTCGTCGTCGTACTGCTCGTACCAGACGACGGCGTCGTCCGCGAAGTTCGCCGACAGAATATCCAAATCGCCGTCCTCGTCGATGTCCGCGACGTACATGGAGTGGACGGACAGCGCCGTCGTCGTGATCACGTGCAGGCGCCAGAAGCGGCCGTCGCCGGACAAATTCTCGTACCACGCGAGCCGGTTGTCGTTCGTCGACGCGCAGACCACGTCCGTGTCGCCGTCGCCGTCGAAGTCGCGCGGCTGCGTGTCGTAGGGCCCGTTGACGCCGTCGCCGACGACGACGATGTCCCACGCGTCCTCGGCGTCTAATCGCCGGTCGAACCAGACGATGTAGCGGTCGCCGAGCGACGCGGCCAAAACGTCGAGCTTGCCGTCGCCGTTCATGTCCGCGAGGGCGACGCCCGTCGCGCCGATGGTCGGGAAGCGGTCGCTGATCATGTGGTAGGTCCAGTTCGTGCCGTTGCCCGAACCCGACGGCGCCGCCTCGTACCACGCGACCGTGTCCGTGTAGTAGGACCTGGGCGGGAAAAGGGTGATTCAAGTTCGCTTCAACATGAGTGTGCCGCGCGCGCGCGTTCCGGAAAAAGCATCCACGCGTCGAGAGCGCTCCGAGAGATGATCGCTCGTCCAGAAATCAGCCGAAACGAGTGGAACACGGCCGAGATAGGAGCCTTTGAAGTTGGGAATGTCGCTCTCTTTTCCTGCCCTGAGTAGGACGCGGTCAGCACGTCCACGTCGCCGTCGCCGTCGAGGTCGCCGACCTCGATGTCGAAGTTGCCCGGGATGGCGTCGGCGGGCCACTCGTAGATGACGTGGAGCTCCCACCAGAGGCCGTTGCCCCGCGTGTTCTCGTACCACGCGAGCTTCTCCCACTCCAGACCCGCGGCGACGACGTCGAGGTCGCCGTCGCCGTCCATGTCGACGCCCATGATGCGCGTGAAGGCGTGGTCCAGGCCGCTCGCGTTCGCGACGACGCGCCGCGTCCAGGGGTAGAGGTAGTCGCCCTCGTACGTCTCGTCGCTCAGGTCGTCGTCCGCGTAGACGACGGCCTTCTCGTAGTCGAGCATGCCGCCCTGCTTCTTCGAGATGGACACGAAGCCCGCGGCGGCGCTCAGGATCTCGGGCTGGCCGTCGCCGTCGAGGTCGTAGGCGATGACGTCCTCGGGGTCGTCGAGGGCGTCGTCGACGACGTAGGTCGTCACGTCCAGGGAGATGAGCTTCAGGTCGCGACCGACGTAGTCGTCGTCGGGCGGGTCCAGGGCCGCCGCGACCGTGTCGGGCCGCGGCGCCGGCGACGCGAGGGCGACGAGGGACAGTGCCCAGAGAAGGAGGCTGCCCGCCATCGCGCCGCGCTGGGCACCGGCTCCCAGCCTTGCACAGCAATGTCTGTGCAACACGACCAAGCGCCGACTTCGGCGTCGTCGCCTCCGGGTCCCGGCCGAACGCGTCGTCGCGGGACCGACGTCGTCGAGGACGGTCCTCCTCGCCGCCGATGGACGCGTCGTCGCAGCTGCCGCCCCACCTGCGGCGCCCCGCGTCGCCGCCGGAGTCGCCCCTCGTGGGCCTCTCCCTGCGCCAGCTGCGCCAGTTCCCGCTGGAGACGTCCTGGGCGCCGGCCCTCGCGCGGTTCGGCTTCGTGATCATCCGCGAGGACGAGACGTCCGACTTCTTCCTCGAGTCCGTCTTCGTGGACTGGGCGCGGCAGACCTTCGCGCTCCCGCAGTCCGGGAAGCGGCGCCTAAGGGGCTACCACCGCGGCGGCGCCGACGAGCAGTACTCCGTGCCCGGCCCCCACTGTAGAGAATTCTGCGGGAACCCGAAGACGGTCTGCGCGGGGATTTTCCTCGGCCACTCCTACGGCGCGGCGATCCTGCACCACCTGGCTCTAACGCTCCCGCCGGGCCACCGCGAGCTCCGCGTCGACCGGAGCCGGTCGGTCTTCACGGCCACCGGCGGCGGCGCGCGGAGCCCCGCGGTCGAGCCGGGGCTGCTGCGCCTGATTCTGGGCGGGTCGGACGCGGCGCCCTTCGCCGTGCGGGATCGCGCGGGCGCGTGGCGCGACGTGCCCGTGCCGCCCAGGGCAGGAAAAGAGAGCGAAATTCCCAACTTCAAAGGCTCCGATCTCGGCCATTTTCCACTCGTTTCGGCTGATTTTTGGACGAGCGATCATCTCTCGGAACGGTCTCGAAGCGTGGAGGCTGTTTTTGGAACGCGCGCGCGCGGAACACTCACGTTGAAGCGACGTCGAATCACTCTTTTGCTGCCCAGGTGCCGCCGGGCCACGTCGCGGTCGTCGGCGGCCACGCGCTGGAGGTCGCGTCCGGCGGTGTGTACGTCGCGGCGACGCACCGCCTGCCGGAGCGGGGCTTCGCGCTGAAGATCCGGCCCGACCTCGGGCCCGGGCCCTACGCGGCGCGCGACCTCGCGTCGCGCGAGTCGCTCGGAGACGCCTTGGACCGCTTCTACCGGAAGAAGACGGACGAGCTGGAAGCTCGCGTCGCCGTCGGCGACCCGGCGTCGGCGACGTGGGCGACGCTGCACCTGGATCTGAAAGCGATCGCGAAGCTCCGCGGCGCGCTGCGGTCGTCGCTCGAGCACCGCGAGCTCCGGCGCCGCGCGCCGCCGCCGGACGCGGGGCCGTCCGCGGGCCCCCGGTCGTCGCCGCGGCGCCGCGCCGCCGAGCCGCCGGAGCCGCCCGGGTCGCCGCCGCGCGCCCAGCCGCGCCGCGGCGACGCGGGCGAGAGCACGCTGCTCGCGTCGGCGCGGTCGAGCCGCCTCGCGCGCGCGAAGGCCCGGGACCGGGACCCCGCGAGGGACGACCACCGCCTCTTCCTCCTGCACCATCCCTTGCAGCTCGCGATCCTCGACTGCCTCGACTCGCGCGACGTCACGTCGGCGGCGCTGGCCTGCTGGGGCCTGCTCATCGCGTCCGAGTCGTCGGAGGCGCTCTGGGTCTCGGAGTGCGAGCGCCGCGGCATCGACTGGCGCGAGAAGCAGAAGGACGAGTTCTGGAGCGCGTTCTACCGGCGCAAGGCCGCGCGGCCCCGCTGGGCGAACCTGCCGACGGAGCTCTGGGAGCAGGTCTCGGACGTCGGGCTGCGCCTGCGGCACCCGAGCGACGCGCCCGCGAACGGTTTGGACACGGCGTTCACGTACTTCAAGACGAAGCTCAACACGAAGTTCTCCAAGGTCGCGCGGGGCTTCGTGCGCCGCCACGGCGCCGACGCCAACAACCTCCGCTACTACCGCGACGGCGCGCTCGTCTTCGACCCGACGGACGTCCGCGACTTGGACGGCGGGCCCACGATCGGCTCCCTCGACATCGAGACGGGCGACACGATCGACGTCGTCCACCGCTACGAGCCCCCCGTCGCCGACGCGTGCGAGGAGCTGAGCTGAGGCGGCGTGCTTCGTTCCCCCCGCTAAACTTTCCAACTTACGCGGAGGAACGCCGCGCCCGGGACGACGAGGCAGGGCGCCGCGCCGTCGTCCGCGCCGCCGTCGAGGCGCGCGCCGCCGTCGAGGTGGAGCGCGAAGACGGCGCCGCGCTTCGCGACGCGGACGAGGCCGTCGGCCCGCGTCCGCAGGAAGAAGCACTCCGCGGTCTCGTCGACGACGGCGCCCGCGGCGCCGACGAGCGACGCCGCCGGCGCGCGCGCCACCTGGAGCACGGCGCCCGTCGACTCGAGGCCCGCGGCCGCGCGGCCGGCGCCCGGCGCCCGCGCCTCGGGCGAACCTAGCACGGCGACGGCGTACGCGCGCCACGATTCGCGCAGCGGCGCCGTCGACGCCCACGTCGGCAGCTCGGCGCGGCGCGCGTCGCGCGCGGCGGCGCCGTCGGCGTCGCGGCGCTCGTGTCTGCGCTTGCGCTTCCGGGCCGGCCGCGGCGCGGCGGCGGCGCCGTCGAGGAGGAGCGCCTTGCGCCGCAGCTTCGACTCGAGGAGCGCCCGCCCGCCGGCGCCGTCGTCCGTCAGGCAGCGGCCGAAGTAGTCCATGACGTCGGCGACGCTGCGGGCGTCGCCGCGCCAGCCGGACGCGTCCGGCAGCGGCGCGTAGAGGTGCGCCGACGAGCTCGAGGCGGCGGCCATCGCGCAGCCTTGGTGCTCCAAGACTTTGACCTGGTTGACGATGGTGCCGTGTGCTTGCCGCCTCGAGCTGGGAAGGTGGGACAACGCAGCCCCGACGAGGTGGGACAACGCAGGCAAGCCCCAACAGTACGCGATGCTCGCGAGCATGGCGAAGAGCGTCGACGGCATGGCGAAGAGCGCGACGGCGTCCGTCTCGAGCGCGTCGGCGACCGTCGCCGCCGGCGCCTCGTCCGCGTCGGTAGCCGTCGCCGCGGGCGCCTCGTCCGCGTCGGCCTCCGTCGCCGCCGGCGCCGCCTCGGCCGAGGACTTTCTCGCCGTCGAGAAGGACGACACGGTCGTCGGCGAGCCGGATCCGGAGGGCCGCTACCTGCTCTACTCCTGCGGCGTGCGCGTCAACAACGAGCCCTACTCGCTGCGCGTCGTCGCCGACGGCGACCGCTGCGCGGCGCTCCACCTCGTCGACGACGCGTCGCGCGGCCTCTCGTGCTTCCTCGACGAATTGACGCAAATCCGCGCGACGGGGCCGCACTACGTCGCCGTGCCGGAAGAGGGCGGCGCGGTCATCTTCGATATCACCGGCGCGGACGCTTTGGGAAACGTCGACGAAGCGCGGCGCCGGGAAGACGTCGCCCGCGTCGACCGCCTCCTCGCGCTCTTCTCCCTCTTCGAGCGCGCCGACGCAGCAACCGAGGATGGGCCCGAGGAGGAAAAAGCGGGCCCGAACGCGGTCGCCGTCGGGATAGAGCACGCAGGCGCGCTCCAGCGTCCTGTGGCCGTGACGATTTTCGAGAGATTTGGGGTGGGGAAACGATGAGAAATCGTCACCGTCATGCTTGGTAGGCGCGCTCGCGGCCTCAATGATCGTCGGCGGCGCGAAGCTCTCGGCCAAGGCCATCCGCGGCGCGGGCCACCAGGTCGCGAAGCTGTCCACCCCGAAGGAGGCGACGGACGCGCAGATCGCCAAGGACGAGGCGGCGGCCCGGCGGCTCAAGGAGAGCGCGCTGCGCGCGGAGCAGGCCGCGGGCGGCGTCGCGAACCTGGCCATGGCGCCCGTGCGCGTCATCGGCGAGGCCGCCGCGACGGGCGCGCAGGCGGCGTCGGCCAAGTTCGGCGCGACTACCGGCGCCGGAGCGCCGGCGAAGCCGCCGTCGGCGCTCGCGAGGGCGGCCGGCGCGGCGACGACGGCGACGCTGGAGGTCGTCGGCGCCGCGGGCTCGGCCGCGGGCCGCGTCGACAAGGCCATCGACGAGGCCGTGCGCGAGGTCGCGACCGCCGCGGGCGACGCGGCCTACGAGCGGTCCGTCGCCGCGAACGGCGCCGCCTACGCGGACGCGGTCACGAAGCAGCAGAGCGACGCGGCGCTGAGCGGCTGCATGGCCGCGTGGCACGTCGTCAAGGTCGCCGACGCGGCGAACTACACGTCCGCGGCGCTGGCGACCGTCGGCGAGGTCGCGGACCGCGTCACGGGCGCCGAGGACGCGCAGGCGGGCCCCGTCCTGCGCCAGGGCTGGCTCGCGGTGTCGCGGCCGCCGCTCCACCGGCGCTGGCGCTGGAAGTGGGTCGTCGCGCGGCCCTGGTCGCTGACCGTCGCGCCGCACCCGCGCGCGGTCGCGACGTCGGGGCCCTTCGATTTGCTGGTGGGCGCGGGGAACCTGCCGGGCGGCGAGCCGACGACGCGCGGCGGCGGCTGCCTCGTCGTCGCGACGCGCGACGGCATGTCCATCTATCTCCGCACCCTCGACGGCGACGCGGACGCGCTCAGGAAGTGGCGGACGACGATCGGGCTCGCGGGCCGGCGCCTCGGCTCGGTCCTCGCGGAGGACGCGGGCCGCGCGCGCGCCGCGGAGCTCGAGCGCGCGCTCGACGACGCCGACCGGTCTCTGGTCGTGCGCGTGCGCGTCCTCGCGGCTCGCAACCTGCGGCCGCCGCCGACGGGGGCCGCGAGCCCCTACGCGACGGTCGTGCCCGTGACGCCCGCGGGCGCGCCGCTCGACGGGGACCGGTGCACGGCGACGCCGCCCATCGCCGACACGCGCGACCCGCGCTGGGACGGGCTGCCCGCGGTCGCGCTCGGCTCGCGGTGCTGCCTGAGGCGCTGCGGCTTCGTCCGCGTCGAGCTCGTCGCTTCGCGGCCCGACCCGCGGCCCGACGAGCCCCTGGGGAGCGCGGACGTGCCCATCCCGCCGCCGGGCGGCGCGACGACGGCCTGGGTGCCCCTCGCGCCCGGCGCCTCGTCCGCGCTCTGCCTCGCGCACGTGCTCCGCAAGCCGCAAACCTACGGCGACGTCCTCGTCGAGGTGGCCAACGGCGTCGCGCCGTCGACGGGGCTTAACGCGTGACGCTACCTCTCGGGCGGCGCACCGTCGATGGGGCTTAACGCGTGGCGCTACCTCTCGGGCGGCGCGCGCGGGTCCGGCGCGTCGAAGGGCCGCCGCGGCGGGCTCCGGGCCCCCTCGAAGAGCCGGACCCAGTCCGCCGGAATCGGTGGGACGTGCTTGCCGAGCTGGCCGACCTTCCTCCGCCGCTTGCCCGGCGTCGCGAGGGCCTCGGGGTCGAGTTCCCTGTAGACGGAAATCAAGCCGTTGATCGACGCCCGCAACTGGAACTTGAGCTCCTCGACGGACCGCGGGCTCTCCGCGGCGTCGCCGTCGACGACGACGCGCCGCGCCGCGCGGCCCGCGCGGTCCACGGTGCGCCGGAGCGCGTCCACGGTCGCCGCGGCCGAGTCGTCGTCGTCGTCGTCGTCGTCGTCGTCCCGCTCGGGCGCCGGGGGCTCCTCGTCGATTGGCTCGGCGATCGCGAGGCGCGGCACGGCCGGCCGGGCCCCGGCCGCGACGCGGCCCGTCTGGCCGCTCCGCTCGTGCAGGCCCCCTAGGCCCGCGTCGCCGAGAACCTCCTTGGCCGTCTCCTCGCAAGGCATGGCGCGCGGGCTGAAGACCTGGGCAGGACAAGAGTGATTCAACGTCGCTTCAACGTGAGTGTTCCGCGCGCGCGCGTTCCGGAAAAGCATCCATGCTTCGAGACCGCTCCGAGAGATGATCGCTCGTCCAAAAATCAGCCGAAACGAGTGGAAAACGGCCGAGATCGGAGCCTTTGAAGTTGGGAATTTCGCTCTCTTGTCCTGCCCTGCTGAAGACGGCGTTCCGCTCCTTCATTTTGGCGATGTACTGGGCCGCGAGGCGCGACGCGACCAACGCGCCGGAGACCTTCGACGGGTCGCTCGCCTCGCCGTCCCGCTTCTCCTTCTTCACCTTGGCGAGGAGCTTGCCGAGCTTGCCCTGGAGCGCGCCCCGGAGCCGGCCGCCGCCGGCGGTCGCGTCCTCCTGGACCTTGATCTGCATGCGGTGCGCGAAGAGCTTCGCGTGCGCGGCGGAGAAGATGTCCATGTGCTCGGTGACGACGTGCTTGTGGTACACGCAGTACTCGCGGAGCATGAGCCAGCCCGCGTAGCGCTTCATGGGGCTCACGAGCATCTTGTAGTTGCTCTTCGCCATGCAATCCAGGAAATCGACGGTGCTCAGGCAGAGGCAGTGGCTCGTCGACCGCGCCGTGACCTCGTGGTTCCGCGACAGCTCGCGCTCCGTCGTGAGCTTCATCGTGATGTCCTCGCCGATGACGTCGTGGGACGCGCCGTCGAGGCGGACGACGCGCGGCCGGTGGAGCACGCGGCTCTTGTCGCGCTTCACGGCCTGGCCGTCGACCAGCAGGTACATGTTGTTGAGCCAGGAGCCCATGGCGACGATGGCGTCGTCGCGGAGGTACAGCGTCGCGGTCATGCGCGTCGCCAGGTCCGTGATGAGCAGCTCGCTCGCGCGCTTCGCCGCGTTGAAGCGCCGCCCAAAGGGGAGGTAGCGCGGCACGTGCAACCTCCCCGCGTCGACGTGGAACTCCACGGAGCCGTCGTTGTAGGTCACCGTGATGTGGATCGACTGCGGGAGGCCCGTGACGACGCCGCCGCGGTACGGGTCGTCGTCGTCGTCCGGGTCCAGCGAGCTCACGGCGACCTTCGCGGAGACGAAGAGGCCGCTCGCCTTGATCAGCGCGTAGCGAACCACGGGCACGGACTTGATCCAGGGCCCGACGTTCGCGAGCGCGAGCTTCTCCCGGAGCTGCGGCGACAGGTTCTTGAGCATGTCGTGGTAGTGCTGCTCGCGGAAGAGGCCCTCGCTGTGCATGAAGTAACTTCGAAGCTCCTTCTTGAGCTGCTTGTGGAAGCCGCGCTCGTCCATGTACGAGTTGAACATGTCCATGGTTCTTTTATATTCGTTGCCCGCCGGGTCGAGGCTCGTCGACACGTTGGCGATCTCGCCGATCATGAGCGTGAGGACGATGCAGCCCAGGATCATGACGACGACGGCGACGCAGTACTCCGCGCCCGTGTACGCGCTCGCGGACCCGTTGAGCGCGCTCACGGCCCAGGCCATGGCCGCGCCGTACTGGGCCCAGAGCGTCTCGCCGTGCATGCCCTCCTCGCGGAGCCACGTCGGGTTGTCGCGGTCGTCGCCCCGGAGCGCGCGCCGCGAGGCGCTCTCGTCGTCGTCGGGGTACGCGTACGCGCGGTTCGAGACGATGCGGAAGAGGCACGCGGCCCAGTGGCTCGTCGTGACGATATACACCACGAATTTCAGGATCGCGCGCATGCGGTAGGACACCTTGAGGCGCGTCGCGTACTTGCCCAGCAGCCGCAGCAGCTTGAGGACCCGCAGGAGCCGCAGGAGCCGCACGATCTTGAGCAGCCGCAGCAGCCGCACGGACGTCGCCGCCGCGTCGTTCCTCGCCAGGCCGAAGAGCTCGAAGGGCACGATGGCGACGACGTCGATGAAGAACCAGGGGCTCAGCACGTACTTGGCCCCGATGCGCGGCCGCGACAGGACCCACTCGCAGTTGTCCTTGTCGAGGAACGCCGTGTTGAAGTTGACGAGGATGTCGCCCAAAAAGACGAGGTCCACGAGCCGCTCCCACCAAAAGTAGACGCAGGCGCCGTCGCGCCGGCCCCGGAAGGCCTCGCCGATCGCGCACGGGTCCTGGATGAACGCGATCGTGAACGGTGTGACGACGGCGCTGTAGAAGAGGAAGAGGCCCAGGCCGAGGTCCCACCACTGGCGCCGCGCGCCGAAGGGCCGCAGCACGGGGAAGAGCGCGTTGTCCTGCGCCGGGAACTCGTTCTGCCGCATGTACTGCTGGTCGTAGCTCAGCTGGAAGTTGTTCTCGTTCGCCATGATCGACGTCTTGCGGTTCCGCCGGTTGCGGTACTGGCGGCTGCCGGGACGCGGCATGAGCTTCCGCGGGCCCGGCCGCGGCGGCGACGCCGGCGCGACGCTCACCGTCGCCTTCCCCATCGCTCTAACGAGGTGGGATGCTCTCACACATCGACGGACATCGGCAGCGCTTCCGTTTTTGACTTTGATGTCGATCGTGAACCACGGCAAGCGCGATGAGGGCCTGCTACTACCTACTTTTCCTCGTCGCGCCGTTCGCGACGCCCTGGGCGCCGCCATCATCAACGCGCCGCGCCGCATCCTTAACGCTGCGGGCGACGCGCGCCCCGAAGTTCTTCGAGGCCGACAGTATCATCGACGTGCGCGTCGACTCCCTGAGCAGCCTGGGCGACGGCGTCGGGCGCGTCCGCAGCAACCTCACGGGCAGCGACGTCGTCGTCTTCCTCCCGTTCGCGGCGCCCGGCGACGTCGTCCGCGCGCGCGTCACCGAGGAGAGGAAGCGGAGCTGCCGCGCGGCCGTGGTCGAGGTGCTCGAGCCGTCGCCGGACCGCGCCGTCCCGCGGTGCCCGTCCTTCGGCGCCTGCGGCGGCTGCCAGCTGCAGCACCTGACCCTCGACGCGCAGCGGCGCTGGAAGCGCGTCTTCCTGCGGGACGCGCTCGAGCGCGTGGGCGGGCTGCGAGGCGTGGCCGTCGAGGCGACGCGCGGCGGCGACCGCGGCTACGGCTACCGCAGGAAATTGACGCCCCACGTCACGGCGCGCGGCGCCCTCGGCTTCCAGCGCGTCGGCGGCCGGGGGCTCGTCGACGTCGCCGCGTGCGCGATCGCCGACGACGCCGTGAACGAGCGGCTCCGCGCGCTCGCGGCCGAGCCCCGCGACCGGCTCCTCGCGCGCGCGGCGGCCTACGCGCCGGCGCGCCGCGCGCGGGCGAAAAAGGCGCCCGCGGGCGGCACGCTGCTCCTCCGCGGCCACGCCGCGGGCGTCGCCGTCGACCCGGACGAGGTCGTCGAGCAGGAGGTCCGAGGCCTGCGGTTCGCGCACAAGGCCTCCGAGTTTTGGCAGAACAACGACGACGCGCTGCCGGCGCTCGTGGACCACGTCGTCGCGGAGGCGCGCCGCTCCGGCGCGACGAAGCTGCTGGACTGCTACTGCGGCGGCGGCCTCTTCGCGCTCGCGGCCGCGGCGGACTTCGACGCGGTCCGGGGCGTCGAGGTCTCCGCGGCGAACGTCGCGGCGGCGACGCGCAACGCGGCGCGCAACGGCCTCGGCGGCGTGGCGACGTTCGTCGTGGGCCGGGCCGAGCGGCTCTTCGCGGACGCGGCGGAGTTCGCGGGCGGCGACACGGTCGTCGTCATGGACCCGCCGCGCGCGGGCGCGTCCGCGGCGTTCCTCGACCAGCTCCTCGCGTTCGCGCCGGTCCGCGTCGTCTACGTGAGCTGCGACCCGGCGACGCTCGCGCGCGACGCGGCGGCGCTCGTCGCCGGCGGCGACTACGCCGTCGCGTCCGCGGTGCCCTTCGACCTGTTCCCCATGACGCGCCACGTCGAGGCCGTCGTCGTCTTCGACCGCCGGGCGTAGTCCGCGACCTCGCGATCGCCGCCGTTCCCAGCGCGGCCTACAGCTTAAGACGTAGCCGACGCCCAAGCCGACGATGCCCTGCACGCTCGTCATTTTGCCGTTTCCATCCACTGGTTGCGAGTTGCAGTCGATACTCTGCCATGTTGACGCTCGGCGTGACATCACTTGGTTGATCCTGGCCGCCTCGCCCAGGTTTGGGCACGCGATGCAGCGGTTCCAGGACTTGGCGCGGCGCTCGGTCTGTGGACCATGTCGCGCCTTGGGCCCGGCTGCGAGTCGCTCGGGAAAAACCATCGGTCGATGGGGAGCAACTTAGTTCGCGTCGGGGCAGCCCGTGGACGACGAGAACGGCGGTTAACGGTGGGGGGCGACCGACGAGGGGCTCGCATTAGTGCTGAGGTCCGAGCTGTCTGGCGGACTTTTGCATGCGCCCCCGGCATGCCCTGCCAGAGACCACCTTCGAATTTCCGCCAGACAGCTCGCCTCATGCATTGCGCGGTGAGCACCGTGTCGCCCGCGGCGCCGCGCGCCTCTCGGAGCCGGTGAGGTAATCTCGATCAAATCGGCTCGAGTCGAAGAGCTGCCGCGAGGGCACCTGGTCGCCCCCATGACGAACGATTCCCGACGCTCTGTGACTCGAAGGGGACCGAAAATCGGGTCGGGGGAAGCTGCCGCGCCTCATTCCACCCCCTGAGGCTGCCCGTTTGCGTCGCCTCGCAATCGTCCGGATGTCGCGTCTTTTCATGTGCCTCACCCGCATGTTTGCGGACCTCAAAGCCACTGGGATCGTTTCACGTCGCTGCAGATTCGAGGAGCGCGGGGCCCTCTAAGGTGGAGATTCCATCATCGGCCGCTGAAATACTCCTGCGGAGACACGGTCTCTAGCCCTCTAGAAGCTAGGATTTCTTCAAAGTTTGTCTTGGCTTGCAAAAGTTCAAGCGACGGGGTATCCACTGCAACTCGCAACCAGTGATCAGTCACGATGCGATAGACCAGCCATCCGGAAATCGGGTCCCTAAGCTGCCCTAAGCTGCCCGCGTCGCGCCTCGGTCGACCGGCGCGCTGTGCGCCATGGGCGACCCGACGGAGGGCCTGACGAAGGCCATGTCCGACGCCTTCTCCGTCGTCGAGATGTCCGTGGAGGACAGCGCGACGCGGAGCCCCTTCCTCAGCGCGCTCACGGGCCACGCGAAGACGGCGAGCGTGAACCACGTCGGCAACGACCTCGCCCACAAGGTCGTCCACGACACGCGCTTCGTCGAGGTGCACCTGGGGAAGCCGGCGCTGAAGCACGCGGAGTCGGTCGCGGCGACGGCGGGCGACGCGCCGTCCGCGGGCCACGAGGAGGCCTTCGCGGACCACTTCCACATGGACCCCTGCTTCGCCGGGCGCGACGTCGCCGAGTGCATCGGCGGGTCCCTCTTTGCCGCCGGCTCGCCGGAGTTCGACCTCGCGGAGACCGTCGTCGACAACGCGATCTCGCTCCTGCGGCGCGTCGCGGGCGAGCGCAAGGACGAGCCGGACCTGCTGTGGCACCCGCCCCACCTGCGGAGCGAGCGGGCGGCGGCGCCGTCGAACCCGCTGCACGCCATGGGGGGCCTGGCGTCCGGCGCGATGGGCGGCCTCGCGCACGCCGTCGGCGGCGGCGGCCACCGCGCGACGCGCCGCGACGACGCGCCGGAGTGCCTGACGCAGACGCTGCTGGGCGCGAGCGACCGGGACGCGGCGGCGGCGCTGACGAAGACGCTCTTCAGGGCCGTCGGCGCGACGCTCCGCGACAACCCGTCGCCGGCGCTGAACGTCGCGCGCGCGCCCTGCAAGATCTTCGGCGACATCCACGGCCAGTTCCGCGACCTGCTGCTCTTCTTCGTCGAGTTCGGCTGCCCGAGCCACCGCTGCGGCGACGTCGAGTACTGCGAGTACGTCTTCAACGGCGACTGGGTCGACCGGGGCCACCACCAGCTCGAGTGCGTGCTGCTCCTCGCGGCGCTGAAAGTGCGCTACCCGCGGCGCATCCACCTGAACCGGGGCAACCACGAGTCCGCGGAGATGAACGCGGGCATGTCCGCGCGCGGCGAGAGCGGCTTCGACGCGGACGTGCGCGCCAAGCTCGGCGAGTGGGCGGGCGACGAGGTCTTCAAGGTCATCCAGGCCGAGTTCTTCCACTGGCTGCCCGTGGCGACGGTCATCGAGTCCGCCGTGCTCGTCGTCCACGGCGGCATCGGCGACGGCAAGTGGACCCTCGGCGATTTGTCCGAGATCCCCTACCCCGTCGAGGAGCCCCGGGACCACCCCCTGGTCTCGCGCGGCGTCGAGCGACGGGGGCGCTTTTTCGCGCGATTCTCGCGGGAGACGAGAAAAAAAAATCCGACCCTATCGCCCTCGGTAGGTCTGGCAGCTGCTCTGGAGCGACCCGGACTGGCGCGGCGACGGCGAGGAGGCGCGGGGCGTGCACGAGTCGGAGCGCGGCTTGGACGTCAAGGTCTTCGGGCCGGACGTGAGCCGCGCGTTCTGCCACATGAACGGCCTCAAGTGCGTCGTGCGGTCCCACGAGTACGTGCCCCAGGGTGTGATGATCCAGCACGGCGGCTACCTCGCGACCGTCTTCTCCGCGCGCGACTACGACTACCACGACGCCAAGGACACGGGCGCGCAGAACGACGGCGCCATCATCTCCGTCACCCACGACGCGGGCGCGGACCGGGACGTGCTCCGCCTCAAGGCCAAGATCATCCAGAAGACGGGGGTCTAGGGGTGGCGTAACTCGTACGGGATATTGTTGACGTCACGTTGCCGGCACTCGCTGAAATACTGCCTCAAGCATTCATAGCACAGCCAATCGAGAGCTAGCGCTGCAGCAAGCAGGCAAACTTGATCGGGTTGGTACCAACTTCAGCGAGCGTTACCACAGAACACTCTCGGTTTCGAGGCGCGCCCAATCGACTGCTCTCGCGCCGCGCGCCCATGCTCGCCCGCCGCGCGCGCCGCGCCGTGCGCGCCGCCGCGCGCCGCGCCGCGACGCCCGGTGGCCGCCGCCGGTGCCTGGCGACGACGCGCATGAACATGTTCAGCGCCGTCAACAGCGGCCTGCGCGCGGCCATGCAGTCCGACGACAGCGCCATCGTCTTCGGCGAGGACGTGGGCTTCGGCGGCGTCTTCCGCTGCACCATGGGCCTCGCGGAGGAGTTCGGCCCCGAGCGCTGCTTCAACACGCCCCTGAGCGAGCAGGGCATCGTCGGGCTGGGCGTCGGCTACGCCGCGCTGGGGCGCACGGCGATCGCGGAGATCCAGTTCGCGGACTACATCTTCCCGGCCTACGACCAGCTCGTCAACGAGGCGGCCAAGTACCGCTACCGGTCCGGCGGCGAGTTCGACGTCGGCGGGCTGACCGTGCGCACGCCCTGCGGCGCGATCGGCCACGGCGGCCACTACCACAGCCAGTCGCCCGAGGCGACCTTCGCGCACACGGCGGGGCTGAAGCTCGTCATGCCCCGGGGCCCGCGGGAGGCCAAGGGCCTGCTCGTCGCGTCGATCCGCGACGACAACCCGGTCATCTTCTTCGAGCCGAAGGCGCTCTACCGCGCCGCCGTCGACGACGTCCCCGACGACCCGGACTTCTCGCTGCCCCTGGGCGTCGCGGACGTGGTGGTGGCGGGCACCGACGTGACGCTCGTGGCCTGGGGGGCGCAGGTGCGCGTGGCGACCCGGGCCGCGGAGCGCGCGGCGGCGGAGCGGGGGCTCTCCGTCGAGGTCGTCGACCTCCAGACCATCAGCCCCTGGGACTCGCGCGCCGTCGAGGCCTCCGTGAACAAGACGGGCCGCCTCGTGGTGACGCACGAGGCGCCGCGGCAGCTCGGCTTCGCGGCGGAGATCAACGCGCACGCGTCCGAGGCGTGCTTCCTCCACCTCGAGGCGCCGCCCGCGCGCGTCTGCGGCCTCGACACGCCCTTCCCGCTCGCCCACGAGCCGAGCTACCTCCCGACCGAGGACAAGGTCCTCGCCGCCATCTACGACACGGCGGACTTCTAGGTCCTAAATCGCCACCATGCGAGCCTCGGCTCCGAGCGGAGGGCTGCCAACTTTGAACGAAACGTTGACGTCAAGTTGACCGCAAGCGAGCTGCTAGTATTTGCGATGGAGCAAATGAAATAGCCTTTCAGCCCCCCATGAACGTGTCGTTCATCGTCGGCGAGCGGCCCTTCCGGCTGCGCGTCAAGGGTCGGTGGCTGCGCGGGAGCGTCGGCGCGCTCGCGGCCCGCGTGCTGGCGGCGCACGGCGGCGGCCTGCGCGTCGAGGACTGCTGCCTGCGGCTGGACGGCGCGCCCGTCGCGCCGGACGCGGCGGCCGACGGCGCGCTGCGCGACGCCTGCGTCGTCGAGGTCTACCGGGCGCGCGTCGTCGTGGCGACGCTCCTCACGGGCGACTTCGGCCCCATCTTCGAGCTCTGGCACGCGCGGTTCTCCCGCGCGACGGACGGCCGCTGCGCGCTCGCGGTCTGCTGCCTCGACGCCGCCGCCGAGCGCGTCGCGCGCGACGTCGCGGCCCGCGCCGGCCGGCCGGTCCGCGTCCTCGGCGCGGCCGACGGCTTCCGGCCCGCGGCGGACCGGCGCGACCTCTGGACCCAGCGCCTCGCGTTCGTCGCGCGCCTCGTCGCCGAGGAGGCCGCGGGCGGCGGGCGCGACGTCGTGCACAGCGACTGCGACGCCTTCTGGCTCGGCGACGCGCGCGCCCTCGTCGACGGCGGCGCCGCGCCCGCGCGGTTCTCCGTCGACCACGGCCTCGGGAGGGGCGCGAAGCCCTTCGCGCTCTGCTGCGGCTTCTTCCGGCTCCGGGCGTCCGCCGCGTCCCTCGCGCTCCTCGCGACCTGGCGCGAGGCGACGGACCGCGTCGGCGACGACCAGGTCGCGGTCAACGCGCTCTACGACCGCGACGACCGAAACTTCGACCTCGCGCCCTACGAGCGCGTCCAGCGCTGCAACTGCCACCACGCGACGACGGCGAACCCCCTCGTCTGGCACCCCTGGCTCGACGCGACCGTCGACGACAAGGTCTACGTCTGGGGCGCCGTGCTCGCGCGCCTCGACGCGGGCGACGCCGGGCTCCTCCGCGCGTTCTACGGCGCCAAGCCCGACGTCGCGCTGACGCGGGCCGCGCTCGACGGGCTCCTCGCGGCGGGGGCGTAGTCGTTTTTACCAGCCGCGGGGCATGCGCGGCATGCGCGGCATGCGGGGCATCGCGGGCATGCGCGGCATCGCGGGCATGCGGGGCATCGCGGGCATGCGGGGCATGCCGCCGACGGACGCGTGGTACTCCGACGGGCTGACGCGGCGGCCGTTCACGAAGTATTGGCTCTGGGCGTTCGGCTTGAGCGCGCGGTAGCCGGCCTGGTCGCTCTGCTTCGGGTTCAGCAGCCGCGCCGCGAGCTCGGCCTTGGTGCCGCCGACCTTGAGCCCCATCGCGCGGCAGGCCTCCTTGAGCTGGGCGACCGTGGGGCCGCTGGGCGCCGACCGGCGCGGCGCCGACCGGCGCTGGCGCTTCGCGGGCGTGACGCGGACGAACGACACGTCTTCGTCGGACTCCTCCTCCTCCTCGGACTCGTCCTCCTCCTCCTCTTCGTCGAACTCGTCTTCGTCTTCCTCCTCGGACTCGGACTCGGACTCGTCTTCGACCTCGAAGAGGCCGTCCAGGAGGTCACTGTTGCCGCGGCCCCGCTTGCGACTCCGCGCGGGCGCCGGCGGCTCGTCGTCGTCGTCGTCATCGTCGATCTCCGTGATGTCGTTCTTGGCCTTGGCCGCCTCGTAGCGCTGCTTGGCCAGCTCCTCGGCGGTGAAGGTCTGGCACTCGAGCTCCTCGTCGTCGTCGTCGTCGTCCGACGGGGCCGCCGCCGCGGGCGCCGCGGGCGAGGGCGCCGCGGGCGAGGGCGCCGCGGCGCCGCCCGCTCCGTACAGCTCCGTCTCGCAGGCTTTCAGCGTCGGGCCGAGAGCGACGTAATCCACGCCGAGCTCCGCCGCGACGGCCTTAACGTCGCTGAGAAGGGTTGCGCTCTTATCCAGCCCGACGTCGTCGAGGAGGCGGTCACAGCGCGCGCGCAACGTTGCCATGACGATGACGAGCGAGAGAGGCTCTGGATCGTCGAGGGGGGGCGCGTGTGCGGGCCCGGCGGGCAAGGCACGAGCAGCAAGTGGTCACTCGGGCTGACGGAGTCGACGACGCTCTCCACGAAGTTCAGTGCCGTCTCAGAAGTTCAACTTGCCGTGCCCGTCCCCCGCCCAAAACCAGCTAAAACACAAGTAAGGCCCCCTAGAGGTTCACGCCCCTGGCGACCTTCTTCGCCGGCGGCGGCCCCGGCGGCGGGGGCCGGCCGCGCGGCGGCGGCAGGGGCTCCGGCTCGTCGACGCCCTCGAGGCCGCCCGCCTCGATCTGCGCGTGGACGACCGCGGCGACGCCGCCGACGTCCGCGGCGTCGAGCTGGGAGAACTGCTCGGACTCGTGGCGGCGGCGGTAGGCCGCCGCGTCCGTGAGGAGGTCCTCGGCCGCGGAGTGCCCGCGGAGCAGCATGGGGTCCACGAGGTTGTGCGGCCGCGGGCTCCGCGCGGACCGGTTCGACCTGTGTGGAATTCAAATCTTCAACCCGACTTCAATGTGCGCGTACGCGACAGTTTCGACGCAAGCTTTTCGGCTGTGCTTCGAGAACTCGACGAGAGCAATCGATTCGTCCAAAAATCAGCCGAATCGACTTCGATTTGATCGAGCTAGAGAATTCTGAAGTTTGGTCAGGACCACCCAAACCAGTGGTTGAATTCCACACAGGCGAGTACGCCACCGGCGGGAAGGGCTGGACCGTCGTCGGCGCGCCGAGCAGGTCGTCGGGCCGCCGCCGCGGCGGGCTCCGGAGCCGCGGCGGGCTCGGCGGCGGCGGGTCGTCGCCGCGCGGCGGCGGCGGCGGCGTCGGCACGAGGCGCGCGCTCGTGGGCGGCTCGGGCGTCCGCGGCCGCTCCGGCGGCGCCGGCGCCGCGCCCAGCAGCCCCCCCAGGAAGGTCATGGGCCCCGCGAAGGACAGCGACGACTCGACGTTGCCCGAGCCGCCGTCGGGCGGCCCGTCGACGGCCGCCTTCGCCGGCTCGGCCCGCGACACCGCGCCCGCGGCCTTGGGCGGCTCCGCGGCCACGTCCGGCGACGCCGGCGGCGTCGACTCCGGCGTCGGGAGCGCCGCCGTCGTCCCCTCGGACGCGTCGTCCTCGGCCGGCGGCTCGTCGATCGTGACGACCTCGAGCTTCGACTCCTCGTCGTCCGGCGGCGCCGCGCGCTTGGCCTCCAGGGGCGGCCGCCGCAGGTAGTAGAGCGCCGCGAGCGTGCCGCAGATCAGCACGACGAGGAGCGCCGCCGCGGCGACGACGAAGGCCAGCGACCCCGCCGCGGCCGCGAGGCCGCCGCCGGAGCTCTCGTCGTCGTCGCCGCCGGACTCGACCAGCCCCGCGTCGGTCGCCGTCGCCGCCTCGAGGTTCGTGCCGTCGCCGATGTAGTTCAGGTGCTTGTCGAAGGACCCGTCGTCGACGGCGGCGATTAAGGTCGCGGCGAGCTCGTCCGCCGTCGACGCAGCAGCCGCGACCGTGAAGACGACGGAGACGCCCGCGGCGTCGTCGAGGCGCCGGCGGGCCGCGGCCGCCGCCTCCGGGGCGCCGTCGAGGCGCCGGCGGGCCGCGGCCGCCGCCTCCACGCGCACGACGGCGACCTGGGCCGCGGCGACGGCGAGCGTCTCGGCGACGGCGGACCGGAACGCGAGGGCCTCGTCGGACCCGAAGCCGTCGAGCGCGACGCCCGCGAGCGCCACGGCGAGCGTCGCCGACGCCGTCGGCGCCGGCGACGGGCGCGCCGTCGTCGGCCGCAGGAGCGTCGTCGGCGCGGCCGAGGGCGCGCGCGTCGGCGCGGGCGCGGGCGCGCGCGACGGCGCCGGCGCGGGCGCGGCGGACGGCCCCGCCGTCGTCGGCGCGGCCGTCGCCGGCGTCGGCGCGCGCGTCGACGGCGCCAGGGTCGGCGCGCCCGACGACGGCAGCGGGCTCGGCCGCGGGCTCGGGAGCGCCGTGGGCGCGTTTGACGGATATCGCGACGGCGCGGCACTCGTCGGGGGCACGGACGGCGCGGGCGACGGCGGCGGCGACGAGGGCGGGCGCGTCGGCGCGGCCGTCGACGGCGCCGCGCTCGGGAACGTCGACGGCGCCGCGGTCGGGCGCGGCGTGAGGCCCGTCGGCGCCGCGGTCGACGGCCGCGACGTCGGCGCCGGCGTCGGCTCGTCGCTCGGCGCGGGGCTCGGCGCGTAGGACGGCCGCGACGTCGGCGCCGGCGTCGGCTCGTCGCTCGGCGCGGGGCTCGGCGCGTAGGACGGCCGGGGCGACGGGCGCGACGACGGCCGCGCGGACGTCGGCCGCGGCGACGTCGACGGCGCGGGCGTCGGCAGCGGCCGCGGCGCGTAGGACGGCGGGCCCGTGGGCGCCGGCGACGGCGCGTAGGACGGCGCGGCCGTCGGCGCGGGCGACGGCGCGTAGGACGGCTCCGCCGTCGTCGGCGCGACGCTCAGCGTCGGCGCGGCGCTCGACGGCGCCCGCGTCCACGTCGGCTCGCGCGTCGGCGCCGCCGTCGGGCCTGCAGGGCGGATCGACCGGTGAGCCGGGACGTCGGGGCCGAACGTCGACATGCTCGAGCTCGGTCCCATCGAAGCCGATTCGGCGGATGCTTGGACGGATCGATGGCTCTCATCGCGTTCTCGAAGCACGGCGGACGCGTCTCACCGTTCGACTACGGTCACATTGAAGTCGTGTTGAAGATTCGAGTCGCGCGCGGCGTCGGGCCGTAGGTCGGCGCGTACGTCCAGGTCCAGTTTTGGAGAATAACGGCCGCGACGGCGTCGGAGAGGACGTCGTAGCCGGCGCCGTTGGGGTGCACGGAGTCGTCGAACATGTCGTCGTCGACGCCCGCGTAGGCGCCGAAGGCCGCGTAGGCGCTGCAGAAATCCATCCGGAGGTCGGCGGCGACGGCCTCGACGACCGCGGGCAGCTCCGAGTTGATGGGCGACTCGTCGGGGTCGCCCCACTTGCTCGACGTGCCCGGGTAGGGCGGCGGCGCCGAGAGGATGACCCGCGGCCGCGACGCGAGCGCTCGGAACTCGCGCGCGAGGCCCGCGAGCGCTTCCGCGAACACGGTCGCGTTCCAGTAGACGACCTTGGCGTCGTTCGTGCCGAGCTGGAGGACGACGACGTCCGGCTCCGACGCGAGGGCCGCCTCGTAGGTCACGCCCGAGCTCTTGGTCCGGTACGCGTCCTTCGTCGCCATCGCCGTCGACCCGGACTTGCCAAAGTTCTTCACGACGAAGCGGTCGCGGCCCAGCTTGTCCCAGAGCTGCGTCGGGTAGCTCAGGTAGCCCGCACCGTCCTCCTCGCCGTAGGTGATGCTGTCGCCGACGCAGCTGATGACCTTCTTCGTGCGGTAGTTGTCGTCGTCGTCGGCCCACGCGACGAGGGCCAGCCCCAGGGCCGCGACGCGCAGGACGAGGCGCACCATGGCGCGCGGCGAGGGGCCGGGCCGCGGACCGCCGCCGCGCCGGCCCGCCCGCCCGCCGCCGCGCCGGGCCCGGAGGGAGCCCCGGCCGCGGCCAAGAGCCGCGGTCGATGTATTTTTTGCTCCACGATGCGTGTCGGAGGGCTGGGCCTGCTATCACTAACTTCAAGGTACGGTTCAAGCTATTTTTTTTTTTCAGCCATGAAAGCGGGCGACGTCGAATCGGCCCGTTCGCATTTGTCGCGCCGACGCGCCAGCCGACTCCTCGGCTTAATGTGGTATTTAAAAAAACGGCCCGCCGGCCTCTCCCTCCGCGCGCGCGGAGCGTCCGCGTCCGGCTCACGCGGTCCGCGGCGAGCCGCCGGCCGCGGCGCGCAGGAGCCGCCGTCGTCGCCGCCGCCGTCGCCGGCCGCCGGCCGCGGCGGGAGATGCGGCGGGCTCCGGCGCCGCGGCGGCCGCGTCCGCCGGGGCCGCGGCGCCGGGCGCGACGGCCTCGCGCCGCGCGCGCTCCACCATCGCGGGCAGGCGTGCCCGCGCCGCGATGTCGCCGAGCGCCGGGGTGGCCCAGGACGTCAGCACCAGCAGGCAGCACGATAGCATCGCCGCGGCGCCCAGGACCGTGTAGCGCTTGCGCTTTGACGCCCAGGGAAGCTCGGGCTTGGGGAGGCCGATCGACGCGATCTCCTCGGCGGCCAGGACGCTGCCGTAGCCCGGCAGGGTCGCTCGGCCGCCGGGGTCGACGACCATGGACATCCCGCCCCGCGCCGCACGGCGCACCGAACTGCGAGGGAGTCGGGGCAACCCTGATGCGGGCTGCCGCGGCGCGAATTGTGTGGAAATCCCTGCACCTTGAAGTGGTCCCGCCGGCGGGATATGCTAACGCGCGTCCGGGTCCGAGCCCCGGCGGCAAGCGAATTACGGACGTGCGCTAGCGCGAGTCCCAGTGGCAGCGGCCGAGCGTGGTGATGAAGAGGAGCGTGAGCACGGGCGGGAAGAGGAGGCGGAAGAGGCCGTCGCAGTTCGTCGAGGGGGGGTGGAAGGAGGGGTTGAAGTGCTCGGCCCAGGAGCGGCGGCCGTTGAAGGTCGTGGGGTTCTCGTCGTAGTGGACGACGTAGTGGAGGAACTCGGCGAAGGTGAACGCGACCGTCGCGTGGTCGATCTCGACGTCGTCGCCGCCGTGCTCGTACTTCTGGTTGATCATGGCCTTGCGCGCCTGGGACGGCGCGATGTAGACCGCGTAGGACCGCAGGGCGATGGCGAGCTCGAAGGGCTCCATGAGGCCGTCGCCCGTCGCGTCCGCGCCGCGGTAGAGCTTCCGGAGCTCGTCGAGGAGCTCCTTGAACACGGGGTTCGACCGCTCGAGGCGCTCGACGTGCTTCATCTCGTGCTTGATCATGCGCAGCTCCGCGCCCGCCTTGGCGCCCTCCTCGACGAGCAGCACGTCGCGCGCCGACGCGTCCTCCTTGTCGAAGAGCGACGGCGCGTCCTCGGCGCTGTCCGCGACGATGAACCGCTTCATCGAGTTCAGGTGCGTGCGCACGTCCCGGCACCGCGACTCGTGGAGCAGGCAGATCTGCACGAAGCCGTACTCGAGCACGGCGAAGACCGTCAGGAACTGGCAGTACAGCAAAAACTTGGACAGGCACGTGAGGTACGAGATGATCTGCAGCTTCGCGGACACCTGGCTCAACAGCGTGCGCATGATGAGCACGGGGATGACCGTGATCGCGACGCGCGCCGGCGCCACGGACGCGTTGATGAAGAAGCCCACGTAGGAGATGATGACGAAGAAGATGGCCGGCAGCACGATCTCCACCTGTGTGGAAATCAACCACTGGTTTGGGACGTCCCGACCAAACTTTGACATTCTCTAGCTCGGCCAAATCGAAGTCGATTCGGCTAATTTTTTGGACGAATCGATCGCTCTCGTCGAGTTCTCAAAGCAGAGCCGAAGAGATTGTGTCGAACCTTTCGCATACGCGCACATTGAAGTCGGGTTGAAGATTCGATTTCCGCACGGATCTCCACCTCGTAGAAGCCCGGCTTCCGCCGGAAGTCGAAGACGCACTCGAACTCGTGGTACGTGCCGCTCAGCGGCAGCGCGTAGGCCGCGTCCGTCTCCACGGGCGTGTTCTTGACGAACTCCTGGTCCGCCTGGGCGAAGTAGGTCGTGGATACGACCTCGTAGGACTCGTCCTTGACGCGCCACTGGTCGTTGAAGACCTTGTCGCCCGTGCGCTCGTCGTAGGCCGTCACGGGGTCCTCGACGGACGGGCCGAAGCGCAGGTAGTTGACGTCGTTGCGCGGCGACGACAGCACGATCTTGCAGGCCTGGTCGTCGTAGGGGAACTTGCGCAGGTAGAGGTCGCAGTCGAGCTCCATCTCGACGGACTTGACGTCGTAGACGAGGCCGTAGGGGAAGATCTTCACGTAGCGGTCCCGGATCTTGAAGCCGCCCGCGGCCAGGTTCTTGGGCTTGACGTCCGGGTTCCAGATCTTCTTCTCGAAGCCGTCGCTCAGGAGCCAGTAGTGGCCGCTCGCGACCGCGGCGTCGTCGCCGCAGCCCTCCGTCAGCGCGAACATGAGGCGGGGGTCGTACCAGTAGGCGCCGATGTAGCCCCGCGCGGACCAGGACCCGCGGTGCTCGTTGATGTCGAAGGAGCTCAGCGCGAAGTTCACGAAGACGTCCTGGACGCCGTCGGCGCCCGTCGCCTCGCCGTCGGCCGACTCGCGGCCCAGGGACTCGTGCCACCACTCCGACGGCCGCAGGCTGCTGTCGTACTTGGGCGTCCGCGAGCTCCGAAAGGTCGTCGCCGTGTTGTCGCCCAGGATCTCCGTCTCCAGCTCGTGCGACGACACGAAGCTCGCGCCGCTCTCGTCCCAGGGCAGCGCCTGGGCAGGACAAGGGTGATTCAACGTCGCTTCAACGTGAGTGTTCCGCGCGCGCGCGTTCCGGGAAAAGCATTCACGCTTCGAGACCGTTCCGAGAGATGATCGCTCGTCCAAAAGTCAGCCGAAACGAGTGGAAAACGGCCGAGAAAGGAGCCTTTGAAGTTGGGAATTTCGCTCTCTTGTCCTGCCCAGGGCAGCGCGAACGCGCAGCGCTCGTGCTCGTACCACCGGCGGTACGCGGCCTCGTCCTCGACGTAGGCGAGGCTCGGCCGCTGGCCGTTCGTCGCGTTGAGCCAGTCGACCACCGAGGCCATGAAGTCGCCCTGCCACCAGCTCGAGAACGACGCGTTGAGCGAGCCGTCGGTCGTCGCGTCGACGTTCTGCCACCAGGTCCCCAGGGTCGCGACCTCCGAGGCGTTCGACGCCGCGGCGCGTCGGCACGTGGCGACGACGAAGAAGAGCCCCAAACGGGGGCTGCCCATTGCGCCAAGCATGATTTTTTACTAAGTATCAAGACAACGAGTCGACGGTGCCGCGCCGTTGACGATGCACTCGAAGTTACGGCCTCGCTCGAGCGCCCGCGCGCGGCCCGCCCGCCGCTCAGTAGTCCGCGCGGCCGCCGAAGAGGCCGGCGCCGCCGTCGCCGTTGGTCGCCGCCGCGGCGGCGTGGTCGTTGAACGCGTTCGCGAAGGCCGCGGCGGGCAGGGGCGTCGTCTCGCCCTGGGGGAGGAGCGTGCAGCCGAGCGTGCCGAGGCTCGTCGACGCCACGGGCATGAGGTTCGCCCCGGCCTGGGCGCGGCCGCCGGCGACCAAGAGGCGGAAGTTCTCCTTGCGGAGGTTGAACCGCGAGTGCGGCTCCGGGAAGAGCGCCGGGTTCAGGAGCGGCACCTATAAAGCATGTCGGTAACGATTTCTCTTCGTTTTCCCGGTCAAAATCTCTCGAAAATCGTCACCGCCACAGGACGCTGAGCGGCACGGGCTGCCCCAAGAGCGCGCCGTTGCGGCTGAAGGCGACGACGAGGTCGCCCGGCGCGTCGTCCGGCGCGCCCGGCCGCTTCAGCGACCGCAGGTCCGCGCCGTAGACGTCGCCGACCAGGATCTCGTGGCCCTCGAGGTTCTGCTGCCCCGGCCCGGCCTGCTGCCCCGCGAGCGCCGCGCGGCCGTTGCCCTGGATCTGGAGCACCGTCGTGTTCCGCGCCTTGGTGAAGTTGCAGATCGCGAAGTTCGAGCAGGCCGGGTTCGCGCGCGGGTTGTTCGTCGGCGACAGCGGCGCGACGTCGTGCTCCGCGACGACCCAGAGCCCGAAGGTCCAGCTGTCCGCGGACACGCCGATGAGCTCGCGCATCTGCTCCTGCACGGCCCGCGCGCCGAGCCCCCGCGCGCCGCGGCCGCCCCGGGCCCCGTTCGCGGGCCCGTCGCCGTCGCGGTTCCGCGGCGGCGGCAGCGCGTCGACGCGGACGCGCCACGACACCACGGGCGCGGGGCCGTCCGGCGCCCCGTCGCGCCGCGGCGCGAGGCCCGGCCGCGTCACGGCGAAGAGCACGTGGGGCCCCACGGGGATGGACAGCGCGCGCGCGCGGTCGCCGATCGTCGCCAGACTGCTGGAGAACGTGCCGTCGAAGCAGCAGAGGCCCGTCCGCGCCAGCGTCTGGAGCGTCGACGGGTCCGCGGTCTCCTCCTCCTTGGCCGACACGGGCTTCGCCGACTGGGGGAAGGCCAGGATCTCTAAAGCGCGCATGACGAGCGCGACGGCGCCGTCGACGGCCATGAGCTCCGCGTCCGCCCGCAACTCTAAGAGCTTGTCCCCTAAAAACGGGAACCGCACGGCCGGCAGCAGCTGCGCCAGCACCGCCGGCGGGTCGCCGCGCGACGCCGCGTACCTGTGTGGAAATCAACCACTGGTTTGGGGGGTCCTGACCAAACTTCAGAACTCTCTAGCTCCGTCAAATCGATGTCGATTCGGCTGATCGTTGGACGGATCGATTGCTCTCGTCGAGTTCTCGAAGCACGGCCGAAGAAATTGCGTCGAAACGGCCGCATATGCGCACATTGAAGTCGGGTTGAAGATTTGAATTCCACACAGCCGCGTACTCGCGGACGAAGTCGAGCACGTCCGCCTCGTCGACGACGGCCAGCCGGCTCTTGCAGAGCACCTCGCCGACCATGTCCGGCGCCAGCTCCAGGAGCAACGGCGAGCTCCGCTTGCCCGAATCGCCGTCCGCGGCCCGGAAGAGCTCGTCGAACTTGGCCGCGAGCGCGGACGCGCACCGCTGGCGGAGCCGCGCGAGGCCGAACTCGTCGGCGATCTTGAGCTTCTCCACGAGGCCCGCTAAATCCCCCGAGTCCGAGCTCCGCGACGTCTCGAAGAGGAAGGACCCGCAGAGCTCGCGGAGGTGCGCGACGCCCCAGAAGTCGCTGAGCCGGAGGAGCGGCAGCACGGAGTCGTCGTCGACGCTGCAGCGGCCCGTGTAGCAGAACGCGACCAGCGCCTCCACGGCGGGCCGCGACCCGCCCGGCGCCTCGACGGACCGGGGGCCGGAGACGCCGCCGCCGGCCCAGCGGCTGCTCAGCTGCGCGCGGAGCACGGGAGACCACGTCTCTAAAACGAACGCGTGGCACGCCACCCCCTGTGTTGACCCCTCGACCGTGAGCTCGAGCTCGGCGCCGCCGCGGTCCTCGTAGAGGGCCGACAGCGACGACCGCAGCGCGCCGCCGAACTCGCCGTCGGGCAGCGCGAGCTGCGATGTGGTTTTTTGGGCGTCCGCCGCCGCGGGGAGGAAGCGCTCCAGGCCGTCGCCGCGAGCCTCCATGGAGCGCGTGTGCGGTGCGTCGGCGGAAGCTTCGACGCGCCCCGGGAGCGTCGCGCCCCGGCTCGGCTCGCGCAAGGCACAACTACGACGGGTGCCGTGTACAAAATCTGCGGCAGCGAGTGCCACTAGTAGCCGAAGCCGACTCTTGCAACAATGCAGACCTCAACACCGGATGGATTCACAGGCAGCCCCTCGGGCTCTCTTGGCCTCTCAGAAACCACTCGCGCCGTCGCGCGCGTTGGCAATGGCCGACTTCGACCAGGAGGAGGCGGAGCCGGCGGCGCCGGCGGCGGAGGACGCGCCGGCGCCGGCGCCGAGCGAGGCGAGCGAGGGGTCGCCGACGGGCGGCGGCGGCCGCGGCGGCCGCGGCGGCCGCGGGCGCGGCGTGGGCCGGGGCCGGAGCGGCCGCGGGAGGATCGTCGACAAGCGGTCGTCGAACGCCTTCATGGAGGATGCGACGCAACAGTACGGCCAGAGCGACGACGACGAGGAGGCGCAGCGGCGGCGCATGCGCGCGGCGGCGTCCGCTCTCGAATCGCGTTTCGGTCGACGTTCGGACGAGCGGCTCGTCGACGCCTCGCTCGAGATGCGTGTCCCGTCCGTTCGACGGCACCCCCCACCGTAGGCGCGCGCGGACGCACGAGTGCGTGACGCACCTGCACAGCGACCCGCAGCCCGGCGAGTACGCGCCCGCGCCCGCGCCCCTGGAGAAGTCCGAGAGCAAGAAGGCGTTCCGCGGGCTGCGCAAGCAGATGTCGAAGCTCACGGGCGTCCGGGGCGTCATCAGCAAGCCGAGCTCCGCGGAGCCCTAGGACCGCCGCGGCCGCGGCCGCGGCGCCGCCGGCGTTACGCGGGGTCCACTGTGGAGTACCGGGGTGCGTCGTGTCGTTCGGCCGGGGTGCCAGGCGTCGGGATCGTGGGAGACCAGAGGACCCATGCGTCCGCTCGGCGCCCGGCCCCCCCCAAGGACGCGACATGCAGTGGCCTTGCAGTGCAATGAACTGATGAAAGCCGATATCGATCTGCCAGAGGCCGAGATTAGAGCATCGAGACCGCTCCGTCGGCCGCGGAGCTGTAGCAAGGCAGCGACCCTCGCAGCGGCCGCGCGCGCGCTATAATCACTCAACTTAGCCACAACCGTCGTCGACTCCTTCGAGATGCTGTCGGGCAAGTTCATCGGCGGGATGCCCGGCTGCAAGTGGCAGGACGGCTGCATCCACGTCCCCATCGAAGACGTGAGCGCGCAGTATTGCCAGCGTATGTGCGCGACGGGAGCGATCGTCATCGCTCGGGAAGACCAGGGCTTCCCCAAGGGGCTCAGGGACGTCGCCGCGGCCGGCCGCGTCTCGGAGGCTTTGTGGGACGAGATGATCGCCGACATGCTCGCCACGGCCAAGGCCAACACCGACAACCTCATATGCTGCTGGAGCTTCGCCGCGCTCCTGTCTCTCGGCATGTGCTACATCTGCTGGTCGCGCAAGGTCCAGTCGTTGACGGCGTGGCGCCAGAAGTTCGTCGACAAGTGGAACGCCGGCGACCGCTTCAACGGCGCGCTCAGCTTTGGCTACGTCAAGAAGACCGCGGGCATCGACGACGAGCCGTTCACCTACCTCGTCGAGCTCAAAGTCCACGTCGCCATGCTCGAGCTCAAAGACGCCCCGGCCGCGCCCGGCGCCGTCAAGATGGAGGAGGCCAGATAGCTCGAGTCCGGCGTCGTCGGCGTCTCCAAGGCTGGCCAGAAGAAGGCCACCAGCGCCGTCGCCGCCGAGGCCAGGTGAGCGCGGGGCACCCCTAAGGCGTCTCCTCGTTCTCACCGAGGAACGCGGCCTGCGTCGACCTCCATCGTGGGGAAAGCCGCCGAGCGCGGCGCCCTCGACGCCGCTCCCTCGCGGCAGTCGCGAACCGTGCCGTCGACTCCGCCGACTCTAACTCGCGCTCGCGCGAGCCCGTCGGCGACTCCTTGAACTTCAAGATGCCCCAATGCCACAGGCGGCTATGTCGTCAGACCTCGTCGTGGCTGCTCCCAGCGAGCGAGTGCGTGTCGTTGACGAGGAGTCCGCGCTCTCGTCGATCACCTGCGGCGGCGCCTTCGCCGGCGGCGACGACAGCGACCAGGACGCCTACACCGACATCCTCTGCAGCAACCGGAGCTCGCGGCGCCGCGACGCGCCCCACGACGACTCCGACAGCGGCGAGGAGCTCGAGACCGCCGCGCGCGCCCCGCACACGATCATCTTAGCCGTCAAGCAGGCGAACATGGACGGCAGCGAGGAGAAGCCCCTGCAGGCTCTAGAGGAGGGGCGGGCCGGCGGGCGGCCCGACGTCGTCTTCGACTCGCTGCGTTACGAGGTGCCGCTCCCGAGCAAGGAGAAGCTCGTCGTGCTCGACGGCACGACGTCGTCCTTCCGCTGCGGCGAGGTCACGGCGGTCATGGGCAGCAGCGGCGCGGGCAAGACGAGCCTCTTGGACGTCGTCGCGGGGCGCGCGGCCGCGGGCAAGGTCGAGGGCACCGTCATCGTCGGCGGCGCGCGGCCGACGAACATCGTGCGCAAGCGCTACTCGGGCTACTGCGTCCAGCGCGACACGCTCGTGGCTGCCTTGAGCGTCCGGGAGACGCTCAAGTACACGGCGGAGCTCAAGTGCAGCGCCGTGATCCCGCGGGCCGCCAAGTTCGCGCGCGTCGAAGAGGTGCTGAAGGAGCTGGGCCTCGAGGACTGCGGCGACACGGTCGTCGGCAACGACCTGGACCGGGGCATCTCCGGCGGCCAGCGCAAGCGTCTGAATATTGGGGTGGCGCTCGTGACGAAGCCGCCCGTGCTGCTGTTGGACGAGCCGACGTCCGGCCTCGACGCGGCGACGGCCGACGAGATCTTGGCCGTCGCGAGTAGCCTGGCGCGGTCCGGCGGCGGCCGCGTCGTCGCGGCGACGCTCCACTCGCCGTCGTCGCGGGCCTTCCGCTTGTCGGTCGACAAGCTGCTCGTGCTCGGGAGCCGGGGCCGGCCGCTGTACGCGGGTCCGGCGGACGTCTCGGAGGCGGGCCCGCTCCGGCGCTACCTCGACGCGCGCGGCGCGCCGCTCCAGCCCGGCGACTCCCTCGCGGACCACGTCATCTACACGCTCAGTAGCCGCGGCGCCGACGACGACGCCCTCGCCGAGGCCTGGGCGGCGTCGCCGGGCGGCGCCGCGGAGAAGGACGCGTCCGAGGCCGCGGCGGAGCGGTCCGCCGAGTCCGCGTCGCTCAGCGCCGTCGCCGACTGCCTCGCCTACCACGCCAGGGACCCGCGGCGCGACGAGGCCGTCGCGACGTCGTTTCTCCACGGCGCGACGACGCTCCTGCGCTACCGGGGGACGCGGTCCTACGGCGACGGCGAGTACGTCGGCGTGCGCCTCGGCGACAAGATCATCTTCGGCCTGGTCATCGGCACGCTCTACTTCAACGAGGCCCAGAAGCACCGCGACGACGGCCACGCGAACAACGTGGCGTCGCTGCTGTGGATCACGGTCGTGTTGCCGGGCTACGGCGCGGCCGCGTACGTCGCCGGCGACGAAAAAACAGACTTCAAACCTCTCTCGCTCGGTCAAATCGACGTCGATTCGGCTGATTTTTGGACGAATCGATTGCTCTCGTCGAGTTCTCGAAACACAGCCGAAGAGATTGCGTCGAAACTGTCGCATACGCTCACATTGAAGTCGGGTTGCAGATTCGATTTGCACAGGTACGTGCCGCAGATCGTCGACGAGCGCGCGACGTTCGTCCGCGAGGTCGCCGACGGCTGCTACGACGTCGGCACCTACGTGGCCTACAAGTGCGTCGAGGAGTTCGCTATCATGCTGCCCTTCAGCGGCGTCTTCGCGGGGTTGATCTACTTCATGGTCAAGTTCCAGTGCTCCTTCGCGGTCTTCTGGGCGACGTACTACCTCAACTCGTGCGTGGGCATCGCGCTGGCCTACGCCGTCGCCGCCTTCTCGCCGACGACGGAGGCGGCGAACGCGTTGTTGCCGACCTACGTGACGACGAACATCTTCTTCACGGGCTACCTCATCCTCTGGGACGACATCCCCAAGCCCTGGCGCTGGTACCCGTGGGTCAACCCCATGCTCTACGGCTGGGTCGGCCTCATGCAGGACGAGTTCGACGACTCCGACGACCCCTACGCCGACGTCTCCGACATCCAACGCTACTACTCCCTCGGCCGCTTCCCCCACGTCGGCGTCTGCCTCGCGGTCCTCGTCGGCTTCTGCGGCCTCTTCGCGGCGCTCGCCTGGGTCGGGCTCAAGCAGCACGTCAAGGCCCACGCCTCCGCCTAGGGCGCCGGGGAATGGCGGGGCGAAGCGCGCCTTCTAAGATCTTGTGGCTTTTTGGGCCCTTATAAAGGAGGTCCACGGCGCCGCTGAGTTTGAAGGTACGTTGCGATTGGGCAACAATTAGCAAACTTTGGTTTATTGAGCATATAGGCGGCTCGCTGTATGTATTTGGTTCCGCTGATTTCGGGCCGAGACGGCATGGAGGCATTAAATTTAGTCGAGCGCGCCTACCACCTCGCGCGCGCCCCCGCGTGCAAGATCCCTGGGACAGCGCGTAGCACGTACATGGGGGCTGCCATCGGCGAAGGAGCGGCATCATTTGGATTGCGACTCGCTGCGAACGAGAGTGGTTCGGGCGACCGATTTGACCGACGCGACGCCCCTCCCCCGGCCCATGAGCGGCCCGGGCAGCCCCGCGCAGCAGCAGGGATCGTCCGCCATCGACCCGCGAGCGCCCTGCCACAAGGGCTGGCCCAGAGGAGCCGAGGAGTCGGTCCGACACGTTCGGGCTGAAACCGCGTCGCGCGCACCCGCGCGGCCGCGCGCGTGCATCGCACGTCGCCCGAGTCAAACCAGTGACTGAGCAGCCCGGGGGCACCAGACATGTACTCCGAGGCTCCGCGCCAGCCAGCACGCTGCCCCGTGCCCGGATCGCGTCGTGCCACGACCCCCGAAACCAGCAAAATGCGCCGACTTCGAGGCCGCCGTGACGAGGCAGATCGCGTGCACAAAACTCACGGCGCACAGGCCCGTGAGCGCGCGAGTGTCAGCTTTCCGGCGCACCAACCCGTGAGTTTTGTGCACGCCGTCGCGCCGCGCGCTGCTGCCCTAAAGAGACGCTCTCCACGCCGTGGACCTCATCCCTTAAACCCTTTTTTTGCGTTGCCCTTGCACGTTGCAGGTCACGGTGAATGCCCTGCCCCGACTCGACATGATGGGCTGCCGATGATTGATGTGGCAGCGCCGCGTCACGAGCAGGCGCGGCGCGACCGTGCGCGAAAACATAGAGACGTCGTCGGCGAAAGTCGGCGTGCTCGCGCACGGCACAAAAATCCAATGCTACGAGACGGCGACGTCCGCGGCCGGCGTCGCACGATGCCGCGTCGTCGCGCCGCTGCGCGGCTGGGTGTCGCGCAAATGCCTCGACCGCGGCGACCCGGTCCTCGAGGCGCACCCGCCGGGCCTCGACGCGCCGAGCTTCGTCCACGTCGTCGTCCACGGCCACGGCGGCGACGGGTCGATCGTGCGCGACGGCTACTGGCGCGCCGCGGCCGACCGCCGGCCCGACTGCCTCTTCGTCGCGCCGAGCGCGCCCGACGGCTCCTGGTACGAGCTCTGGCTCGACCGCGCCGGCGCGGCGCCCTACGCGGCGCTCGACGGCGACCGGAGGCGCCGGCTGCGAACCGCCTTCGGCGTCTCCGACGAGCGCGGCTACGACGCCGCGCGGAACTACGAGTTCCTCGACGCCCACTTCCCGCAGCTGCCCGTGCGGCGGCGCGAGCTCCACGGGGCCGCGCGGTGCCTCGTCGAGCTGCTGGACTACGTCGTCGACGCGCGGCGCGTCGACCCGTCGCGCGTGCTCCTCTCGGGCGAGAGCCAGGGCGGGTCCGTCGCCGCCTACGCGGCGCTGCAGTCGCCCCACGCGCTCGGCGGCGTCGTCCTCTACCAGACCTTCCTCGCGGACCAGGCCTACATGCTCGAGTGGGCCGCACGCAACGCCGACGACCTCGCGCGCAAGGCGAAGACGCCGTGGTTCGTCCACTCCGGCGCCGCCGACGACGTGCTGCCGTTCGCGGATCGGGGCTGCGCGTCGCTGACCATGGAGCGAGTCCACGGGAGCGTCCTCGACTTCCTCGCGCGGTTTCCCCAGGTCGAAATCGCGGGCGGCGGCCTCTACGCGGGCGTCGGCCACGGCGGCGACTCGGCCGAGAGCCGCGCCGCGCTGCGCGCCTTCTACGACGCCGCGTTCTCCGCGGACCGGCGGCGGAGCGACCCCGCGTGGAGGGGCGACGACGCGCGGACGCCGGCCCTCGAGGACGCGTGGTACCCGGCACCTTGACCTGCATCTTGGCGGAAGGATATAACCGCTTCAAGAAACCTTTCAGCACAGATCGAGCACGCAAGCCAAGTATGGGCAAGCCGCCTTGGCTGCCCGTGGTGGCTGCGTTGTCGCTCGCGACGACGACCGCGCGGAACTCGCTCTGCGCCGACTACTGCGCCGCGGCCAACTCGGACGCGAGCTGCGCGATCTGCGGCGCGACGGACGTCGTGTCGATCCACAACGCCTACGAGCGCAGCAGCGGGCGGGCCATCGGCGACGGGCTCTACGCGGCCGCGTACCTCGCCGAGGTCTGGAAGCCGACGGTCTTCGCGCTGCGATCGGATCATCTGTTCGAGCCGATAGCTAGCGGACGTCAACATAGCGACGTCGCCGCGACGGCTCCGACAAACCAAACCTAAACGAGTGGGCCGCCGCCGCAAACGCACCTCGACAGATAATTTGACGACCAATTCCGTCGCCCAGGTGACCCCGTCGCCGTCGCCGCAGGCGGCGGATCCGCCTGCTGAGATGACGGAAGGTCCCGTGGACGCGGCGCCGGGGACGGCGCCGAACAGCACGCAAACGTCGCCGCAGAACTCCCCCGTCGGCCGCGTCCCCCAGGAGTCCCCCTCCGTGCGCGCGCGCGTCAAGACCTGGGAGGCCAACAATCCCAAGAAGCAGATCATCACCTTCGGCCGCCCGCCGAGCTCCCGGAGCCCGTCGCCCAGCCTGGAGCCGCGGACCGTCGCCAAACCGCCGCCGCCGCTCCCGGTCGAGGCGACCCTGGCCCCCGTGCGAGCCACCTCCCCCGCCGTCGCGACGTCCCTGTCGCCCTCCGGGTCTTTGGCGTCGCTGGCGTCCCTCAGCGTGCGCGACGACGTCTCCGTGGCGTCGGGCCTCGGGACGCCGCACGAGACCGACGACGACGCCGAGTGGACGACGGTGCGCATCCGAAATAGAAAGACGGGCGAGGCCACGGCCGTGCGCGTCAAGAAGGGCACGGACGTCCGCGAGCTCGTCGACCGCTACGCGTCGTCGAAGAACAAGGCCGGCCGCGTCCGCGTGACGAACGTCACCAAAAAAGCCGTCCCCTGTCCGACGCGGCCGCTCGAGCGCCTCTCGTCCAAGGTCTGGAAGGAGGAGGCGCCGCCGCTCCCGCCCGCGCCGGTGCGGCGACCCGGGTTCCTGGCGCTCGCGGTGATCGGCTTAGCCGCGGGCGCGGGCGCGGGCCTCGGCTTCGGGTATTCGCGGTCCGCGAAACCGCCGGCGGCCGCGCGGCCGCTGCTCCACATCTCGGGCATGGAGGCCGCCCTCGCCGACGCGCGCGCGGCGCGCGACGCGCTGAACCGCAGCTTCGTCGCCGAGCGGCGCGGCCACGAGGCCGCCGTCGCGGCCGCGCGCGCCGAGGCCTCGGACGCGGCGGCCGCCGCCGAGCTCCGCCACGCGGCGGCGCTCGCGGACGCCGCGGCGGTCCGCGACGGCGCCGCGGCGGAGGCCGCCGAAAACGAGGCGCGCTGGGAGGCCGCTTTCGCGGACCTCGAGGCGAGCCGCGACGCGCTCGCGGCGCGCGCGGCCGCGGCCGAGGCGCGCGTCTTATCGCCCGCGCCCGCGCCGAACCGCGCGCGCCGCGACGCCGTCGCCGTCGCGGCGGGCGCCGTCGGCGTCGTCGCCACGGGCGCCGCGACGGCGCTCCTGCCGCCGCTGCTGCGCCGCGCCGCGCGGCTCGCCGCGTTGTTTCTGCGTCGCGGCCCGCGGCCCGTCGTCGTCGTCGGCCCCGCGGCGCCGCCGCGCCTCGCGGCGCTGCCGCCGAAGTACGCCGCCGTCGCCGCGGCGCCCCGGGCCGTCCCGCCGCCCCGGGCCGTCCCGCCGCCCCGGGCCGTCCCGCCGCCCCGGGCCGTCCCGGCGGCGCGGGCGCCGGCGGCGCGGGTCCCGGCGGCGGCGCCCGCGCCGCCGCCGCTGCGGCCGAACCTCGGCCGCGCGGCGAGCGGGCTCCTCATCCACGCGCCGCTGGCCTTCCTCAACGGCCTCTTCGCGGGCGGCGAGGAGAAGCGGCGGCCGGGCGCCGCGTCGCGCCTCGCGGGCATCGCGGTCGCGGCGGCCTTCATCCTCGCGCCCGACGACGGCCGGACCTGGTAAGAAGCAATGTGGACGCTGGGAGCCCGGGCGCTGACCTGCAGCGCCATGGATGCCGGCGCTTTGGCGGCAGCGGGACGGAGACGCAGCGAGTCAACATGGGGTAAATTACCGATCAAAGTTGAAGATGCCGCTCCTAAAAATCGAATTTAGAATGTCCCGGGTTGAAGAATTGGGCAGCGCTTAGTACGATTTCGGACACACACACCGACGTCAACCGCACCGGTGCTGCGTCCATCTGGCAATCGACGCTCCGTCAGACCGCGCTCGTGGCTGGTCGTAAAGCAAGACCGACGGTTTACGGCGGTGCGAGCACCCACGATGGACACCATCGATTTCGTCATTTGCTCCAACTTCAACCCTGACGACGACGGCTGGAGCTCGGAGGAGGAGGCGCCCGTGGACCTGCCGGCGCCGGAGCCCCCGACGTCCGGCCCCGCGCGCGCGCCCGTCAAAGCGATGGGCCGCCGCCGAGATTCTCGGAGCAAAAGTCCCGGCGCCGCTTCCGCGCGCGCCCACGAGGACCGGACGCGCGCCGAGTCCGTCGAGTCCGACGACGCGGGGCCCTGGGAGGCCGCGGCGCCCGACGCCGCCGCCGCGGCGCCGATGACGACGATGGCCGGCGACGACGACGAGGATTCCGCGGAGCGCGAGGCGCCCGACGACGAAGACGAGGGCGGCAGACGCCCGGCGGAGGGGCTGTGCAAGACGCCGCGCCGGGTCGAGGCGGACGGCCTCGACGCGCCGGCGTCGGAGGTCTTCGGCTCCGCGCGGCGGCGCGCGCGCCGGGAGGAGGCGCTCGACTTTAGCGACTACGGCGCGCTCGACTTTAGCGACTACGGCGACGACGGGGGCTTGGACGGCACGCGGCGCGGCGGCCGGGTTCCGACGTTCGGGCGGCCGCGCGCGGCGAACTTCACGTGCCTCGCGGTCTTGGACGACGCGGCGGGCATCGGCGCCGCGCTCGGGCGGCCGCGGAGCGCGGGTCTGGACGCCGAGGCGGCGCTGGCCGAGGCGTCGCTGGACGACTCCTTCTACGGGTCGCGCGCCGTGTCCGCGGAGCGGCAGTCGTCGTCGCGCCCGCTCGAGGCGCGGGACCCGGCCCACTCCAAGGCACCGGCGTCGGCGCGCGAGGCGCATCAGATGTGGCTTCGCGAGACGCGGGAAGCGGCGCTCGAGGCCGAGGCCGCGCACGCGGAGGTGCTGCAGTCCCTCGCGGCGTCGCGCGGCGACGAGCCCCGGCGCCGCTCGAGCTCGCGCGAGGGCGCGCTCGCGGCGCGGCACGCGGGCGAGCTCGAGGAGCGCGAGGAGGCCCACGCGGCGTCGCTCGCGGCGGCCGCGGACGACCACGCAGCGGCCGTCGCCGCGCTCCGCGAGGGCCACGACGGCGCGCGCGCGGCGCTCGTCGCCGAGCACGAGGCCGCGGTCGCGCGGCACGAGGCGGCGCTGTCCCGGGAGACGGAGGCCCACGCGTCGACGCGCGCGTCCCTCGTCGCGCGGCACGAGGCCGACGTCGAGGCCCTCGCCGCCCGGCACGCGGCGGCCGTGTCCGAGGCGCGCGACGAGCTCTCGGGGAAGCACGCGACCGCCGTCGCCGACCTGGAGGCCCGGCGCGAGGCCGAGCGCGCGACGGCGGTCGCCGAGCACACGCGGGCGCTCTCGGAGCAGACGAAAACCCACTCGACCGCGGTCGTCGCGCTCGTGTGCACGCACGAGGCCGTCGTCGCGGCGACGGTCGCCGAGCACGAGGCGGCGCTGGCCGCGCTCGCGGAGACCCACGCCTCGAGCGAGGCCGCGCTCGCCGCGCGCCACGAGGCCACGCTGTCGACGACGGTAGCGGAGCACGAGGCGCGACTCTCGTCGTCGGAGACCGCGTGGATCGCCGAGCGCGAGGCCGAGGTCTCGGCGAAGGCCGCGGCGCACGCGGAGGCGCTCGCCGCGCTGACGGAGACGCACGCGTCGACGGAGGCGGCGCTGGTCGCCGCGCACGAGGCCGCGCGCTCGACGACGGCCGCGGACCACGAGGCGGCGCTGTCGGCGCTGACAGCGACCCACGCGACGAGCGAGGCCGCGCTGATCGCGACGCACGAGGCCCGGCTCACGACCAAGGTCGCCGAGCACGAAGGCGCGTTGTCAAAGCAAGCGGAGACGCACGCGACCGCCGAGGCGGCCCTGATCGCCGAGCACGAGGCTGCGCTCTCGGCGAAGGTCGCCGAGCACGAGGCCGCGCTCTCGGCGCTGATCGCGGAGCACGAGGCCGCGCTCTCGGCGAAGGTCGCCGAGCACGCAGACGCGCTCTCCGCGCTGTCGGAGGCGCACGCCACGGGCGAGGCCGCGCTGATCGCGCGGCACGAGGCCGATCTCCTGAAGAAGGTCGCCGAGCATCAGGGCGAGCTCTCGGAGCAGGCGGCGTCCCACTCGACCACCGAGGCGGCCTTGATCGCCGAGCACGAGGCTGCGCTCTCGACGAAGCTCGCGGAGCACACCGAGGTCCTGTCCAAGCAGGCGGAGACGTACTCGTCCACGGAAGCCGCGATGGTCGCGCGACACGAAGAGGAGCTCTCGACGAAGGTCGCGGACGCGCTCTCCGCGCTGTCGGAGGCGCACGCCACGGGCGAGGCCGCGTTGATCGCGCGGCACGAGGCCGATCTCCTGAAGAAGGTCGCCGAGCATCAGGGCGAGCTCTCGGAGCAGGCGGCGTCCCACTCGACCACCGAGGCGGCCTTGATCGCCGAGCACGAGGCTGCGCTCTCGACGAAGCTCGCGGAGCACACCGAGGTCCTGTCCAAGCAGGCGGAGACGTACTCGTCCACGGAAGCCGCGATGATCGCGCGACACGAAGAGGAGCTCTCGACGAAGGTCGCGGACGCGCTCTCCGCGCTGTCGGAGGCGCACGCCACGGGCGAGGCCGCGTTGATCGCGCGGCATGATGCCGATCTCCTGAAGAAGGTCACCGAGCATCAGGGCGAGCTCTCGGAGCAGGCGGCGTCCCACTCGACCACGGAGGCGGCCTTGATCGCCGAGCACGAGGCTGCGCTCTCGACGAAGCTCGCGGAGCACGCCAAGGTCCTGTCCAAGCAGGCGGAGGCGCACTCGTCCACGGAAGCCGCGTTGCTCGCCGAGCACGAGGCCGCGCTCGCCATCAAGGCCGCCGAGCACGGCGCGCTGCTCTCGGAGCGCGCGGAGGCGCACTCGTCCGCGGAGGCCGCGCTCGTCGCGGAGCACGAGGCCGCGCTCGAAAAAACGGCGGCGGACCACGAGGCGCTCCTCGCTCGGGAGCGGGCAGTCCACGTCGCCGAGCGCAACGCCGTCGTCGACTACCACACGGAGGACCGGTCGATGCGGCGCGCGTCCCACCTCGCGGAGCTCGCGGAGGTCAAAGCGGCGCTCGCCGCGGACCGCGAGGCCGCGGTCGCGGGCACCCTGGGCGACGGCGAGAGCGTGCTCGCGCGGGAGCGCGCGCGGCACGTCGCGGCGCTCGACGCGGCCCTGCTGGACCAGGAGTCGCGGCTCCTCGAGGAGCACGAGGCGCGCGCCGCGTCCGCGACCGCGGCGGCGCTCGAAGACCAGGCGGCGCGGCTTCGGGCCGCGCACGACGCCGAGGTCGTCGCGCGCCGCGAGGCGCACGACGTCGAGGTCGCCACGCACCGCGAGGCGCACGCCGCGGCGCTCGACGACGCGGCCGCGGCCGCGGCGGCCGCGGACGCGGCGACGGCCCGCGCCGCGCGGCACGAGGCGCTGGCCAAGGACGCGGCCGCGCGGCACCGCGAGGAGCTCGCGAGCCGCGTCGACGCGCACGCGGCGGAACTCGCGCGGACGGAGGCCGAGCTCATCGCCTTCCACGAGGCCGAGGCGGCGGCGCGCGCCGAGGCCCACGCGTCGGCCGAGGCCGCGTTGGTCGAGGCGCACGAGGCCGAGGCGGCGAAACGCGCCGAGGCGCACGCCGCCCGCCTCGCGGACCGCGACGCCGCGCACGCGGCGACGCTCGAGCGCCACGAGGCCGCCGCGGCCGCGAAGCTCGACGCGGATCTCTCGAGGCACGCGGCGAAGCACGCGGCCGCGCTCGCGGACAACGAGGCGGAGCTCATCGCCTACCACGAGGCCGAGGTCGCTAAGCACGAGGCGGCGCTCGCCGAGGAGCGCGCCGCGGCGGCCGACGGGGCCGAAGCGCACGCCGCGCGTCTCGAAGAGGAGCGCGATGGAGACTCTTCTTCTGATGGAGAAACAATTTCAGAAGGAGAGATACCTGACGCGAGTGAATTGTATGAAATGCTGGAAGAGCAGAAAGCGTCAGATCTCCAGTCGGAACGCGCGGCGTGCGCGGCGGACCTCGAAAGCCCCTATGCGGCGCTCGAGGCGGCGCTCGACGACCGCGTCGTCTCCGAGGCCCGGGCCCACGCGGCGCAGCTCGAGCCCCTGGCGACGACGCACGCGGCCCGGGTGACCCCGTCGCCGTCGCCGCGGGCGCCGGAAACGGAGCAGTTTGCGGCGGAAGACCTCGAGGAAGCGGGGACGTCCGTGCGCGCGAGAGTGAAATCATGGGAGGCCAACGCCAAGAAGCAGATCATCACCGCGGCGGAGACCAACCACGTCGAGGTCGCGAAACTCCTCGTCGCGCGCGGCGCCGACCCGTCCTTCGACCGCCCGCCCAGCTCCCGGAGCCCGTCGCCCAACCTGGAGCCGCGGACCGTCGCCGCCGCCGCCGCGCCGCCGCCGCTACCGGTGGAAGCGACGCTCGCGTCGCCGGCCGTCGCGACGCTCGTCGACCGCTACGGGTCCTCGAAGAAGAAGGCCGTGCCGAGTCCCACGCGGCCGCTCCGCCGCCTCTCCGCCACGGTCTGGAAGGAGGACTCCGAGGAGGAGGAGCACGCGCCGCTCCCGCGCGCGCGGCGGCGGCGACCCGCGTTCCTGGCGCTCGCGGTCGTCGGGTTGGCCGCGGGCGCGGGCGCGGGCCTCGGCTTCGGTGTTTCGCGGTCCGCGTCGCCGCCGACCGCGGCGCGGCCGCTGCTCCACATCTCGGGCACGGAGGCCGCCCGCGCCGACGCGCGCGCGGCGCGCGACGCGCTGAACCGCGACTTCGTCGCCGAAAGGCGAGGGCACGAGGCCACCGTCGCCGCCGCCGAGGCGCGGCTCCTCGCTCCCGTGTCGAGCCGCGCGCGCCGCGACGCCGTCGCCGTCGTCGCCACGGGCGCCGCGACGGCGCTCCTGCCGCCGCTGCTGCGCCGCGCCGCCCGGCTCGCCGCGTTCCTCGCGTCGCGCCGCGGCCCGCGGCCCGTCGTCGTCGTCGGCCCCGCGGCGCCGCCGCGCCTCGCGGCGCTGCCGTCGAAGTACGCCGCCGTCGCGGGCACCGCCGCGGCGCCCCGGGCGCCGCGAGTCCCGCCGCCCCGGGTCGTCCCGGCGGCCCGGGTGACCCCGGCGGCACGGGCCCCGGCGGCCCGGGTGACCCCGGCGGAGCCCGCGCTGCCGCCGCTGACGCCGAATCTCAGCCGCGCGGCGACCGGCCTCTTCATGCACGCGCCGCTGGCGTTCCTCAACAGCCTCTTTGCGGGCGGCAAGGACGAGCTGCGGCCGGGCGGCGAGGAGAAGCGGCGGCCGGGCGTCGCGTCGCGCCTCGCGGGCATCGCCATCGCAGCGGCCTTTATCCTCGCCCCGGACGACGAGACGTGGTAAGAAGCGACGCGGACTTTAGGAGCTCAGGCGCTGACTTGCAGCGTCATGCCGGGGACGGCGTTCGGCGGCAGCTGGACGGCGACCACGCGGCCGTCGGGGAGTTGGAGGTTCGCCATCGTACCCGGAACCGCGCCCGGCGGGACCACGATCGTGTGCATGGCCGGCGCGACGGTGGCGGTGAGCACCTGGCCCATGGCGATCGGCGGCGGCGGCGGTGCGCTCGCGAACTCCGGCGGCGCCGCCGCGTAGCCGGCGGCGACGGGCTGGGCGACGGGCTGCATCGGCTGGCCGATTGGCTGGGTGACGGCCGTGGGCGCCGCGGCGCCGCCGTACACCGGCGGCGCCGTGGGCACGGTCCGCCGGACCTTCAGGGACGCCCGCTTCCGGTCATTTTTGACCTTGGCGACGCAGCCGCAGAGGCACACGCATATGATAAACAGAATCACGATGATGAGGACTAAAAGGCCCGCGTCCCCTCCGTCGTCGTGGTCCGACCTGGACAAAAGGACCATGTCGTCGCAGCTCAACGCGGTGCCGTTGCCGCCCGGCGACGCGTCCGCCAGCTCGTCGAAGGTGCCGTAGCCGACGGCGGGCGCGCTGTTCTCGCAGAGGCACTGGCTGTAGCGGTGCGCGTACGTCGTCTTCTTCTCATCGTCCTTCTCCGAGGGCGGGAGCCCGAGGCGCCCGGCGCCGCACGACTTGTCGTCGATGGCCTGATTTATGTACACGTGGCCCGTGCGCCACTTGTCTCCAGCGTCATTGCTCTGCGTCTGCCACTCGTTGGCCAGCAAGACGGTGCACATCTCCTCGATGGGGCAGGAGCCGCCGTCGTCGGGAGCGCCCGACGCCCACACGGAGGCCTCGATCGTCGGGTTCGGCCTCGACGCGCAGCGGCCGAAGGTCGCGTCGCCCGCCTCGCGGTACAGACCGAGCCACCCGTAGCCCGCGGGCTCCCAGGCGATGTCCCGCAGCAGCTCGAGCTCGAGGTCCGTCGTCGGGCACGCGAGCGTGCCGTTGTCGCCGGGGAACATGGACTGGCAGACGTCGTAGCACTCGTCGATCGACGACGTCGACACGCCCGACACCGCGTAGTGGTTTTCGGCCCAGAGGTACGCCTCGGCGTAGGACGACCACCGCGTCCCGGCCACGGACGCCTGGCCGTAGAGCCGCCGCTCTTCTTCCAGGGCCGCGGCCTCGCAGAACGTGCCGTTCCCGGCGACGTGCGCCGCGAGTAGCTCGGGCGACCGCGCGAGGGCCGCCAGGAACGTCGGCCGCGTCGCGTTATCGCAGAGCGCCGGGTCCCAGGGCTTCCGGTTCCCGTTCCAGTGCAGCGCGAACGCGGCCTCGAGGTCGGAGGAGGCGCGGCCCGACGCGGCCAAAGGCGCGATGCCAAGGCCCTGTTCGAACCGCACGTCGCCCGTATCCTCGAAGCACTCAACCGACCCGCGCAACGCGAGGAACGGCAATCCCAAGCCGAACGCGAGCGAGTCCGACGGCCAGATCTCGTCGCGCGCGTTCGCCTCGAGCCACCGCTCGTACTTGGCCGTCAGCGCCGACTCGTGCCAGGCGTCGACGTCCACGACGACGAGGCCGAAGTTCCACGCCCGCGATGATCCCAGTGATTCGAGGAACTTGGCACCCGCTCCCCTCGCGTCTCCGGCCGCGGCCTCCGCGGCGCTATCAACCAGCGCGGCCGCGGACCGCAGCGGCCAGCTCCAGGTCCCGACGGCGTCGACCAAGTGCTCGACGCGGCCGAGCTTCGCGAAGAAGCCCAGCGGAGACCCGTCGACCACGGGCACGCACTCCCTGCCGCCCTCGGAGCAGGCTGCGTCCTCCGGCGACCTCGAGGCGCCCAGCGTCCCGAACCCGAAGAACGGCACCTCCAGGTACGACAGCTCCGTCGACGATTGGAGCTGGTCACCGTCGATGTACCAGGACTGGCAGCCCGCCGCCATCGCCGCGTCGCCGGCCACCGCGAGCGTCGCCACGTCGCCTCTCACGATCACGTCGTCGTCGAGCATGACCAGTCGGCGAGCCTTGCGGTAGCGTTGCTTCATGAGCTCCGGGTAGTAGAACCGCGCGTGGTTGAACGGCGAGCTGTGCTTCCCGTCCGAGTCCCACCGCGCCACGGGCACCGCGTACTCCGAGCTCCGCTCGAACCGCCGCACGCGCGACGCAGACGCTGTTGAGCGTCGCCACCGGTGCGACGGTGCGATCCGACGCGAGGAAGACGTCGGTCCGCGCGTAAGCGACGACGCACGAGGCTAGCAGTGCTGCCCATCGCAGCCCAATGCGCACCATTATTGGGTGTCGAATTTGGGAACGATGTTGAAGCCGTCCCTTCCGTTGTAAACGATGGGAACACACGATTCTCTGGGCAGCTCCTATGGAGTCTGATCACCGATGAGATGGCATCCATGGGCGTCGGTGCTCCTCGTCGCGAGCGCGAAGACGCGGAAGCCGCGGGAGGTGAAGCCGCGGCCGCTGGCGACGCTGCCGGCCCTGCCCCACTGCCGCGACGTCGAGGTCATCCACGTGCCCAAGACCGGCGGCACGGCGCTCATCCGCTCGCTCGCGCGCGCGGACGTCGACGTCTGCTACAGCGAGACGTGGATCGCGGACGGCGGCTGCGGCGCGCTCGCGGCCGGCGCGGTCTGCTGCCGGCGGCGCGGCGGCTGGCGGACCGCGCCGTCGCCCTGCGCGGGCCGCGGCGCCGGCGTGGGCGTCCACGAGCGGGCCTTCGGCGCCACGGCCGGCCGCGCGGCGACGCTCTACGTCGCCGTCGTCCGGCGGCCAAAGGACTGGCTCCGGTCCGCGCTCGCGGAGACGTGCGCGACGGCCGCGCGCGGCGACGCGGCCTGCGCCGGCGCCGACGCCGCCGCCTTTCGCAAGTTCTACGACGCGCCGCCCCAGTACTACTACCGCTGGCCGAGCCTCCAGGCGAAGCTCGTCGGCGAATTGTTCCAGGCGCGGAACTGGGCGCTCGCGGCGCTCGAGCGCCGGGGCGTCGTCCTCGCCGCGTTGGGGGCCGCCGTCGGCGCGCCCCTCGCCGACGCGCGCGCCCACGCGCGCAACGCGAGCGGCCTCCCCTGGGCGGCGACCTTCGACGGCGCGTACGCGACGACGTTCCGGGACCTCTACCACCTCGACGAGGCCCTCTACGCCCACGTCGCGCGCGCCGGCGGCGTGCTCTCGAAGCTCGACGGCCGCGACTGGCGGGACAGGCTCGCGGGCGTCCTCGGGCCAAGTCGCGGGCCGGCGTAAGGGAGGGCTCCTTGAAGGTCAACTTGTCGGCTCTTTCGGCCTAGCGATCGAAGCGAGACGCGATGGAGCACTCTATTCCAGCGCACCCAGAGGGCGTCGAGCCGCAGGGCCAGCTCTTCGTCGAGCCCGAGAGCGTGCGCGTCGCCGCGGCGACATTTCGGCGCGCGGGCCTCGGCGTCGTCGCGCGCCTCGACGACGCGCTCATCGTCGCCGCGCTGGAGCACCTCGACGAAACGTCCCTGGCGACGCTCGCGGGCGCGTCGCGGGTTTTCGGCGCCTTCGCGCGCTTCGACGAGCTCTGGAAGGCGCGCTGCCTCCGCCGCAGCGACGGCGGCCTGCTGCCGCCGTGGCGCGGGTCGTGGCACGCGACGGTCGTCGCGGCGCGCGGCGGCGCGGCCGACGCGCCGCGGCCGCGGCCGCCCGCGCGGCTCTTCAGCGACGTCCTCTACCGGCCGCACCTCCTGGCGCACTCGCCGAGCCCCTTCGGCGCCGCGCCAAAGGGCCCCGCGGTGCGGCGCGTGCGCGACTTTTCAAAACTCGACCGCGCCGCCTTCCGGGAACGCTTCGAGGCGGACGGCGGCTCGCCGGTCGTGCTCGAGGGCCTGGGCGAGGACGCCGTGGCGAGCGGCGCCTGGACGGCGGCGGCGCTCGAGGCGCGCTACGGGGACCGCGTCTACCACGCGGGCGGCGTCAACTTCCGGCTCGCGGACTACCTGCGCTACGGAGCCTCGAACGCGGACGACCCGCCGTTCTACGTCTTCGACCCCACGGTCGGCGCGTCGACGCCCGAGTTGTTGGCGCACTACGCCGTGCCGGAGTATTTTCAGGACGACCTCTTCGATTTGCTGGACGACGCGGAGCGGCCCGACTACCGGTGGCTGCTCTTGGGCGGCCCGCGGTCCGGCCAGTCGTGGCACACGGACCCGAACTCCACGTCGGCCTGGAACCTGACGCTGGAGGGTTCGAAGCGCTGGCTCTTCTTCCCGCCGACGGTGACGCCGCCGGGCGTGCGGCCGTCCGTCGACGGCGACGGCGACAACTACCTCGCGCCCGTGTCGAACGCCGAGTGGGCGCGCGCGGGCTTCTACGAGGAGTGCGCGGCGCACCCCCGCTTCCTCGAGTGCCAGACGAAGCCCGGCGACGTCGTCTACGTGCCCCGGGGCTGGTGGCACATGGTGCTGAACCTCGCGCCCGTGACCGTCGCCGTGTCGCACCACTTTGTGTCGCCGAGCGGGCTGCCGAACGTGCTCAAGCGCCTCCGGGACACGCCCGAGCACGTCTCCGGCGTGGAGCGCCACCTCGGCGACGACGACCGCGGGCCCAAGCGGGCGAGGACCGACGGCGACAAGCGCGCGGCGGCCGGCAGCCGGCTCCACGACGCGCTCGTCGCCGCGCTCGAGCGGGAGCGGCCCGGCGCGCTCGCGGACGCGGAGGCGGTCCTCGCGCGCGCCGCGGCGACCGCGCGGCCCCGCTGGCGGAGCCTCGTGCCCGAGGCCAAGCCCGCGGCCTTCGCCTTTTCCTTCGCGTAAGGGTGTGTGTTGCATCCGAGAGGCATGTTGAGGGCACGCTGATCTTCGCCGAGAGCTATGGCGAGCCTCAGCCTCCGCGCCGACGGCCGCGGGCCGCTCGACTTCCGCGAGGTCGACGTCGAGCGGCACGTGCTGCCGCAGACCTACGGCTCGGCGCGCGTCGTCGTCGGCGGCGGCCTGGGCCGCGGCACGGAGGTGCTCTGCGCCGTGACGGCGAGCGTCGGCGAGGCCGTCGGCGGCGCCTGCGGCGACGTCGACGTGTTGGCCGAGTGGTCGCCGGCGACGCGCGACCGCGAGGACGACCGGTCGCGGCAGCGGCGCGGCGACGCGCTCACGCGGCGGCTCCGCGACGCGCTGGAGCCGTGGCGAAAGAGCGCGGCGCCGAGCTTACACATCGCCGCGGCGCTCGCGTGGCGCGTCGCCGTCGACGTCGTCGTCCTCGCCGACGACGGGTCCGCCCTCGAGGCCGCGTCCATCGCCGTCCGCGCGGCCGTGGCGAGCGCCGAGCTGCCCGCGACGGAGGCCGTCGCGGGCGAGGACGCGGCGACGGCCTTTTCGCTCGCGCCCGCGACGGCGGCGCCCCTGACCCTGGACGTCGCGAAGCTGCCCGTGGTCGTCGCCGTCCACGTCCTCGGCGGCGCCTTCGCCGCGGACGCGACGGCCGACGAGCGCGTCGACGCGACGCTGTCCGTCGCCGTCGCCGAGGACGGCGCGCTCGGCGCGACGGACGTCCTCTTTGGCACGTTCCCCCCCGGCGACCTCGCCGCGGCCATCGCCGCGGCGCCGGCCATCGCGAAGCCGCTCCTCGCCGCGGCCGTCGCGGCCACCTAACACTCGTCCGAAGGCTTGTTTACTCGTCGGTCCCGGGCTGCACGGCGAGCGCGAACTCGTACTCCTGGTCGCAGCCGAGGTAGGAGTCGCAGACGAAGTAGAGCGTGAGGTCCGCGTTGCCCGGCGTCTCCGGCGCGACGAAGTCGAGGCTCACCTTGGCCGTCTGGAGCAGGGACACGCGCTTGATGGAGAGGAGCGCGTTGTTCTTCACGTCGGCGACGACGAGCCACCAGCCCTCCTTCTTGAGGCCCGGGAAGCGCGCCGCGCGCACGCGGCCGATGTCCGTCATGTCGTCGTCGACGTCGCGCTCGAGCGTCACGGTCAGCGACACGGGCTCGCCCGCGACGACGCCGTCCGCGTCGTCGACGGCGTACTGCAACTCGACGTTCGGGAAGTCGTTGCACCATTCCGCGACGTCGGCCATCTCCGCGGGCCCCAGGGCGAGGATTTTGTCGCGCACGTCGTCCTCGAGGTCGAGGACGTCGAAGGCCGTCTCCAGCGTGGCGCCCGCGGCCGCGGCGCGCGAGAGCGTGTCGCCGTCGACGTGCGGGATTTGCAGCAGCGAAGGGTCGTCGTGCCAGAGGCCCTGGACGACCATCTGGCAGAGCTCCATGGCGTGGAGCGCCGGCGCGAGCCAGCCGTTGCTCGAGACGACGTCGACCAACGCCTGGAGGAGCGTGATGGACGCGGCCACCGCGCCGTCGCGGTCCGCGCGGAGCTCCGCCGAGAGCGGCACGCGCGAGAAGTGGGACTGCAGCAGCAGGTTCGCCTTGGCCTGGGGCGCGGCGAGGCCGCCGCTCGGCAGCTTGTGCTTCGCGTGGAGCGCCAGCTTCTCGAGGACGCCCGCCTCGTGGTGCCGCGCGGCCAAGTCGCCGAATTCCGCCGCGTTCGAGACGACCTCCAAGAGCGCGGGGATCTTCGACTTCTTGGCCACGGACGACGCGAAGAGCTCGACGGTCGTGTACTTGACGCAGTAATACGCGGCGATCATGCCCAGGTTCAGCGCCGACAGGTCCATCTCGTCGTCGACGGCGACGCACTGCGCCTCCTCCAAGTCTCCCACGATGTTCTCGACGAGCTCCGACAAATGGTCCGACACGTGGCGGTGCGACCCGCCCTGCAGATTGTAGTAGTTCGGGTTCTGCGCCAGGCGGCGGTAGTAGAAGGTCCAGGTCAGGTAGTCCACCGCGTCCTGCTTGTTCTCGATGGTCTTCGTGACGATCTCCGCGTTCACGTGGTCGTGCAAGTCGTGGTCGAGGTGGCTCTCCACCGGTAAAGGCTCGTACAACAACCGCCGGAGGTAGTCCTTCTTCGGCGTGTGGCAGAGCACGGCGCACTTGCAGTCCTCGTCGACGCCCGGCCGCCCGGCCTTGCCGATCATCTCGAGCAGGCTGCCGACGGCGTAGTCGACGTAGCGATGCTCCTTCGCGTCGTAGGACTCCGTGCCCATGACGACGACCATGTGGGCGGACACGTCGACGTCGCGGCAGGCCTCCGCCGGGGCGCAGAGCGCCCAGACGAGGTCCCGGGCGTACAAGTCGAGGACCCGGGCCCGGTCGTTGGACGACAGGCCGCCGTGGACGAACGCGACGCCGCGCGCCAGGGTCTGCTGCAGGGCCGGGTCCTCGAAGGCGCCGAGCTCGTCGTCGCCCAGCGCCATGTAGCGCTCGCGCTTGGACGCGGCCTGCGGGTCCGCGGCGGCGTGGACCATCAGATCGATGGCCGCGAGCTGGCACTGCTTCCGGGACGTGACGAAGACCAAGGCCGGCGCCGCGGGCGAGTGGCGGTTGAGCACGTTGTAGAGCGTCTTGCCCATGGCCAGCAACCGCGACGCGAAGTGGGGCGTGTCGAAGGCGTGGAGGAAGAGCTCCATGGGGATGGGCCGCACGTTGGAGTGGAACGAGAACGTGCCCGGGGCCGAGCCTGGGCAGCACAAGGGTGCGAAATTCCCAACTTCAAAGGCTCCTATCTCGGTCGTTTTCCGCTCGTTTCGGCTGATTTTTGGACGAGCGATCATCTCTCGGAGCGCTCTCGAAGCGTGAGTGATGTTCTCGAAACGCGCGCGCGCGGAACACTCACGTTGAAGCGACGTTGAATCACCCTTTTGCTGCCCGGGGCCGAGCAGCCGAGCCAGTCCGCGACGTCTTTCGCGTCGGCGACGGACGCTGCCAAGCCAATCACGCGCACGGGCTTCTCCAGCTGGGACGACATGTAGCGCGTCCGCGAGACCACGACCTCGAGCGTCGGGCCCTCGGGCGACCCGAGACAGTGGAGCTCGTCCGCGACGAAGAGCGCGATGCCCTGCAGGGCCTTTCTTTGCTTCCAGCGGCGGCTCAGCACGTCCCACTGGGACGCCGTCGCCAGCACGACCTCCGAGTTCGCCACCAACCGCAAGTCGGACGTGACGTCGCCCGTGAGCGCGTCGACGGCGGCGCCCAACGGCGCGAACTTGGCGCGCCAGCGGGCTAGACGGCTCGCGACGGTCTCGGCCCGCGGCGCGACGTAGACGCACGCGCCGCCGGCGCCGCCGCCCGCGAGCTTGCGCACGACGGCGCGCAAGAGCGCGAACTCGCAGCACACCAGGCGCCCGGAGCCGTGGGGCGCGCACAGGAGCGCGTTGTCGTCCGTCTCGTAGAAGACGGAGAAGGCTTGCGTCTGGATCGGGTTGAAGTACCGGCCGTCGCCCGCGAACAGCGCCTCGAGCTTCGGCGAGCCCAGCGCCGTCGCCGGCAACGGCTGCAGATCCAGGAGCTCCGTGTGGGGCGGGTACTTGCGCGGGAGGATCAGGTGGCGGAACGAGATGGGCAGCACCGCGGACGAGTGGAGCCAGCGGTCGGAGACGACTTTCAGGAAGTACTGCGGCGGCAGCGGATCGCCGACGGGGATGGCGAACTGGACGACGTGCTCCTCGTCCTTGAACTTGTGCTTCAGCGAGAAGGGCTCGTGGTGCAGGATGCGCTCGCCGTCGACGTCCTCGACGAGCACGTGGAACGTCTGCGCGTAGTCGTGGACCTTCGGGTCGAAGATGAAGTCGGGCGTGATCGTGAGGTCGACCTTGAGTAGACCGCGCGACACGGGCTGCACGTGGGCCGAAAGCTCGACGCGCGGCACCTGGTGCACGAGGCGGTGGAGCGTCTTGCCCATCTTCGGGAGCTTCACCAACTCCGCCAGATCCTGCGGCTTGAGGTCGTAGTAGCGGTCCCAGGGGATCTCCTTCTTCTCGAGCTTGCGCACGATGGTCTCGGGCACGCCCTTGAACTGGCGCAGGGGCGACTGGCTGAGCCAGAGCTTGCGCTCGACCATCTTGCAGAGCGTCAGCGCCTTGGCCGCGACGCCGGCCCACTTGCGCTTGAGCGCGATTTCGAAGAGCGCGCGGCAGAGCCGCGCGGCCGACTGGCGCACGAAGGTCATGTCCGCGACCAGCGCGAAGCCCTCCAGGCTCAGATTCGAGATGTAGGCCTGGAGCAGCGCGTTGACCTTGGCCGACGGCTCCTCCATGGACTCCTTGATGGGGATGGGCACGCGCGTCGCCAATTTCGCGAGTTCCAGCTTCTCCTCCTCGCGGACGTGGATGTGCTTGAACTCGCCCGAGAAGGAGAAGAGGCGGAAGAGCTCGATGTCGGAGAGCGTCGGTTTCAGGTGCTCGTTGTACGTCGCCATGGACGCGTAGGACACGTAGTAGTGCGCCGCGACGCGCCCTAGGGCGGTAATAGCTAACCCGCCGGACTTGCGGTCGTACTTGACCAGGTTGTGCTTGTCGAGGACCAGCGCCGCGGAGTGCGCGAGATCTAGACGGTACTGCAGCAACGACTCGTCGCCGTCGTCGGGCGTCGCGCCGTAGCGCTCCGGCTCCTGGAGCGCGCGGACGTACAAGTAGGTATAGGCGATCCAGTCCGCGGCCTGCTTGATGGTCTGGACGGAGCCCATCTCGATCTCCGCGTTGAGGTGGTCCGGCAGGTGCTTGACGAGCTGCGACTCGACGGGCAGCTGCTGGTTCATGAGCGAGAGGTAGTACTGCAGTTCGGAGTGGCGCGTGATGATGATGCCCTCGCCCTCGGAGTCGAATTGGGGCCGGCCCGCGCGGCCCATCATCTGGACGATGTCCAGGGGGCTCAGCTCCGTCCACTTGCCCTTCTCCGGCGAGTAGATCTGCGTGCCCTTGATGATGACCGTGTGCGCGGGCAGGTTCACGCCCCAGGCCAGCGTCGCCGTGGAGCACAATACTTGAATGTGCTTGTCCGCGAACAAATCTTCCACCAAATTGCGGTCCGCGCGCGTCATGCCCGCGTGGTGGATCGCGAAGCCGTAGGGCAGCAAGTCGCGTAGAGCCTCCGACTTGGCCGTCTCGCACTCCTCCTGCAGGATCTCGCGCGTCGCGGAGTCCTCGCGGACGAAGCGCGAGATCGTGTCGTCCGAGAGCGCCATGTCGCGGAGCGCCGCGGCGGTCTTCGCCGTCTCCGCGCGCGAGTGGACGAAGATGAGCACCTGGTTCCGGCCCGCCTGGGCCAGGGTCTTCTCGTAGCAGATCTGGTTCATGAGCTGGAAGCGCTTGATGGCCTTCTTCTCCGCGACGCCGACGTACTGCTGCTGCAAAGGCACGGGGCGGAACGAGTTGTCGAAGAAGAACAAGCCGCTGCTCGGGTCGACGCGCAAGAGCGTCGCGACGTCGGCGAAGTTCGGCAGCGTCGCCGATAGTCCGAGCAAACGCACGGCGTCGCGCGTCGTCTCGACCTGGCGGATCGTCCGCGCGACGACGGATTCGAGCACGGGCCCGCGGTCGTCGTGCAACAGGTGGATCTCGTCCATGATCAAGAGCTTGACGAGCTGCGTGTAGGCGCGGTCGCCGCCCTTGCGCGTGACGATGTCCCACTTCTCCGGCGTCGTCACGATGACCTGCGTCTCCTGGATCTGCTGGTACGTCAGCGACTGGTCGCCCGAGAGCTCCTTGACGCTGACGCCGTAGGGCGCCAGGCGCTTCCCAAAGTTCAAGACGCACTCCTGCACGAGGGCCTTCATGGGCGCCACGTAGACGATCTTGAAGGCGCCGAGGTCCATGGCCAGCGACGCGTCGTCGTCGGGGGACGTGCGGTAGCGCGCCATGCAGTTCAACATCGTGAGCACCGCGACGTTCGTCTTGCCCGCGCCCGTGGGCGCGCAGAGCAGGAGGTTTCCGGACCCCTCCAAAGCCGCGGGCAATAATTTCGACTGGATCGTGTTCAGCGTCTTCATGCCCCCGAACGCGGGCCGCGCCCAGGCCGGCAGCTTGTCGATGGGGATCAGCGGAATCTTCGCCGCCTCCGTGTTGACGACGGCGGGCACGTGGACCTCCTCGTAGCCCTTCTTCTGCGCGCGCCAGGACTTGGGCGGCAGCTCGCAGCGCTTGTTCGTCATCTGGTGGCCGCCCTTGGCGAAGGCGAGCGACTGGAGGTCGAGGACCTGGCTCGGCGCGCGGTGGCCCGGCGCGCCGTCCAATTCCATCTTGGTCGCCTCGGCCTCGAGCAGCTTCGCGGCCTCGTCGTCGTCGAGGCGCACGCCCTGGAGCTTCGACAGCCCCACGGCCTCCTTGCGCGTGCGCGACGCGAAGTCCGCCGCGCGGTCCTGGGCCCACGTCTCCGCGGAGCCCTTCTCGTGCAACGCTTCGAGGATCGCCGCGCCGCCGCCCTCGACGTCGTTGACCATGGCCGCCTCGACGGCCTTGCGGTCCTCGTCGGACTGGGCCTGCTTGAGCCTCGTGCAGTAGAGCACGCGGCGCCGGTTGCTCAAAAGCAGCTTGATGAAGTCGAACTTGTCGTAGTCGAGGAGCATGACCAAGCGGTTCTCGCACTCGCGGTCGTCGCCGCCCTCGGGCCCGAGGATGGCGAGCACGTCGTCGGCGAGCTTCGCCGACACGTTGGCGTCGTCGTAGTACTCGCCGATGCCGCGCTGGAGCCAGTGCGCGTCGATCGCGTGCACGTCCAACAAATGGTCGTCGCCGTCGCCGTCGTCGTCCTCGACGCCCGTGAGCAGCTTCGAGTCGTGCTCCGCCTCGACGCCGCGCGCCGCGTCGTCGTCGTCCTCCTCGCTGTGGACCTCGTCGACGTCCTGCTCCTCCTCGTCGCTCTCGTCCTCGTCGAAGACGACGGCGACGCCCATCTCCTCGTCGAGCGCGCCGCCGTCGTCGCCGCCGTCGCCGCCGTCGCGGCCCCGCGCCTGCTCGTCGAGCCCAAAGTCGACGATCTGCTTGCCCAACGCCACCAGGGCCGCGAAGCGCTCCGGGGCGACCTTGGCGCCGAAGAGCCGCTCGAGCTGCACGTGCTTGTCCGGGTCCTTGACCCGGTCGTCCTTCAACGTGTAGAGCACCTCGTCCGCGGCCCCTCTTAGGACGTCGCGGGGCACGTCGCCCATGGCCCCGCGCACGCCGGCGAGGATGGCCTCGTAGGCGCCGCGCGCCTCCTTGGTCTTGGGCTCGTACGCGCCGGACGAGCCGCCGTCGTCGCCCTCGGCGCCGGACCGCCGCTTCCGCTTGCCGCGCGTGTGCTCCTCGGCGTCGCCGCGCTGGCGCTTCTCGCGGCTCGCCTTGGCGCGCCGCGCCTTCTCCTCGAGGTCCGGCGCCTTGTTCCGCCCCAGCTTGTCGCCCATCTTCTGGCCGCCCATCTTCCCGAAGAGGCTCTCGACCTCGCCCGTGGGCTCGTCCGTGCGCCGCCGGTTCTCCCGGTCCGCCTCGAGCACGAGGTTGCTGTTGGCGCGGTACTCATACTGCCGGTTCCGCGCGAACTCCTCGGCCATGGCGCTTTGTGTGTCGCGGAGAGCGCGCGGGCTCGCCGAAGGCGAAAGCGGCGCGCGGGGCGCGGGGTGTGGGTTTTGGTGGTTTGTGGAGGTGCTCGCGGGGGCCGCGGGGGTCCCGGTGGACCAACCCGGCGCACGGGGTGCGATGCGCGGGCACGAGGCGACGCGCTTCTACACCAGCGAGGCGCGCGGCAAGCAGCTCGCGAGGTCCTCGGGCGGCTGCGATCACGCCGATGTTGACGCCCGCATGCCTGCGCGAAGGTGCGGCGGAAGCCGATGAGCACCGCCGTCTGAGGCCAGAGCCGACGCCTCTGAGGCCGTAGCGCCTCGTTCGAACGCGCCAAACAGCGCTCTGAGGCCTTCCATCGACGCGTACGCGCCGCGAAGCGCTCCGAGGCGCCACACACACCGCACCAGCATGTCCCAGCACGTCGACCGGCGGGACCAGTTCGTGCGCGCGCTCTGGCGCCACGCGGACACGCTGCGCAGCGCCGAGCACCAGGCCGCCGCGCGCACGTCGGCCGTGACGGCCCTGGTCCGCATCGGCGTCCACCCGGAGCCGCTGCGGAGCGTGGCGCAGGCGCGGCGCGTCAAGTCCGTCGGCGACAGGCTCGAGGCCGCGCTCGAGGCCGCGGGCGGCCCGACGGCGACGGAGCCCGGCAAGTACGCCTGCGCGGCCGTCGCCCTGTTGGCCGCGCTGCTGCGCCTCGAGGCGACGACGTCGCCCGCGCCGCTGCGCGCGCTCGTCGACGAGGCGAACGGCCTCCTGGAGCGCGGCCGGCGCTTCGGAAGCCTGGAGGCGATGGCGGCGGGCGCGTGCGGCGCCTGGGCGCAGATGACGCCCCTCGAGGGCGCGCTCAAGTACGTCAAGCGGCGGTCGCGCGTCAACCTCGAGGGCGGCTGCGCCTTCGAGCTCACGGCGGCGGGCCGCGCGGCCGCGGCGGTCCTCGCGCGCGACCGCCGGGGCACGGGCGGCGACGCCGTCGGCGCGCTCCGGAGCTGGTGCCCCTCGGGCGCCCCGTCGCCCGACGACGTCGTCGTGCTCGTCGACGAGCGCGAGGGCGGCGGCGACGCGCACCACCTGCCGACGATCGCGACGTTTCTTAAAGACGAAGGCGTCGCCTACGAGACGCGGCGCCTGCCCACGGGCTTCGGCGACTACGCCGTCGCGCGGCGGCGCGCGGACCTCGCCGGGGACAGGGTCGACGGCGTCTACCCCATGCTCCTCGAGCGCAAGTCGGCCGTCGACGTCGCGGACAGCCTGCGCGACGGCCGCTGGGCGAAGCAGCACGACGCGATGCGAAGGACCGCGGACCGGTTCCCCGGCGGCGCGGCCTTGGTCTACGTCGTCGAGGGCGACCCGGCGCGCCACGTCCACACGGCCTGCGGCTGCGGCTGCCTCGGCGTCGGGTCCTGCGGCAACCCGAACCTCGCGGCCGTCGCGGCGGCCGTCGACGCGCGGGAGCGGTCGGGCGTCGAGATCGCGCGGACGCGCGACGTCCGCGCGACGGCGCGCCTCGTCGCGGAGCGCTACCGCGCGGCGCGGGCGGGCTTCTTCGACGACGCGCCCGCGCTGCCGGCGTCGCCGCCGACGACGCCCGGCAAGCGCAAGCCCGGCGCGACGCCCGCGTCTCCGCCGAAGCGCGAGAAGCCGACGACGGGCCCGTCCGCGGCGGCCGTCGCGGCCTGGACGGCGCGGGACCCCGCGGCCCTCGGCAAGCTCACGGGCCCCCAGTTGAAACTCTTGTGCGAGGCCGTCGGCGAGGCGACGTCGGGGGCCAAGAGGGAGCTCGTCGCGCGGCTGCTGCTTCCCCCGATGCCCAAGGTCCTCGTGGACCGCAAAGCCCGCAAGCTCTACGTGCCCCGGGACCGGAGCTGCCCCATGGCCCTGCTCTGCGCCCTCGACGCCGCGGCGCGGACCGGCGCGGGCCCGCTGTCCAAGGACGACTGGATGGCCCGCGCGGAGCGCTGCGGCGTGGCTAGCGTCAGCCTCTACGAGAAGTCGGGCCCCATGCAGTACGACGGCTGGAGCTCGTGCAACGGCCAGCTCTGCTCGGGCCAGCCGTCGCTCGTGGCCAAGGTCAACCCGGGGGCGCGCTACGAGCTCGGGCGCCTGGCGACGGCGGAGTGCGCCTCCGGCCGCGACGTCGCCGCCGCTTTGCACGCCAAGGCGCACGCGCGCGGCTGGTGCGCCTGCGCGTCCGCGCCGCCCGCCGGCGACGCCGCGGCGGCGCCCGTGGCCCTCGGCGCCGCCGCCGCCCGGGGGGGGCGCGGCTCCATCGCCGCGTTCCTCTCGCCGCCGCGGCCGGGCCGCGCGCCGTCGCCGCCGCGGTCGCCGCCGCGGCGGCCGCCCGCGGCGGCCGCGCCGCCGCCGACGCCGCCGACGGTGACGAAGCAGCGGACCGCCGCGGCGCGGCGCGCGTCGCTCCTCGCGGACCTCGACGACGACGACGAGGACCTCTTCGGCTTCGACTCGCGGAAGCCGGCGGCGGCGAGCCCGCGGCCGCCGAAGCCGCCGCCGGCGAGCCCGCGGCCGCCGCCGCGCACGCCCGCGCCGCCGGCGACGCCCGCGCCGCCGGACAGCTCCGTCATGGACCTGACGTCTGCGCGGCCGGCGAGCGACACGCCGGAGAGCTCCGTCATGGACCTCACGTCGCCGCCCGCGCCGCCGTCCGCGCGGAGCGACGCGTCCGACGACGTCATGGACCTGACCTTCTCGCCGGACAACTCCCAGCAGGAGCCGCCGCCGCGCCGGGGGAGCCTCATCGACCTCACGTAAGGGAGCTTCCGAGCGCAGTGAGGTCGTGAAGTAGTTCAAGCTTGGCTTGTTGACATCATGTGACAGTTCGATGCTGATCTTGACCTTGCACCGCTGCCCAGCGCACCCGCCCGGGCGCCCGGGCGCCCGGGCGCCCGCCGCCCCGGAACGCGGGCCGAGATCCGGGCCGAGATGGCTGCCGAGGTCGAGCGGGAGGCGCTCGCCGCGGGCGGCGATGGCGAGCGCGAGCGGCAGTCCATGGCGCTCGCCGCGACCGGCGTCTCCATGGCGCCCGCCGAGAGCACCGCCGCAGCGTCGGCGCGCACCGTCTCCTTCGGCGGGCTGCCGCCGCCGCCCGACGACGGCGTGCGGGAGCGGCATTCGTGGCGCCTCGGTCCCAAGGGTTCCGCGTCCGTGAGCATGCCCGCGCTCCACTCCGTCGGCAGCTCCAACGCGGACACGCTCCTGAGCTCGAGCACGACGGGGAGCATCCGGCGGCGGTCGAAGCGCGACGACGACGACGGCGGCGCCGCCGGCGAGCCCGAGCGGCGCACGATCTTCTTCCAGCGCATCCCGTCGGAGCACGGCCTGGACACGGGCGCGCGCGTGAAGCGCATCCTCCTCGACCTCCAGCACCAGCCAGGGCAGCAAAAGAGAGCGAAATTCCCAACTTCAAAGGCTCCTATCTCGGCCGTTTTCCGCTCGTTTCGGCTGATTTTTGGACGAGCGATCATCTCTCGGAACGGTCTCGAAGCGTGGATGCTTTTTCCGGAACGCGCGCGCGCGGAACACTCACGTTGAAGCGACGTTGAATCACCCTTTTGCTGCCCAGGCACCAGCGCACGGGCGCTCCCGACGAGGAGCAGCAGCGGAGCCCGTCGTCGACGCTGCTCTACGCGCAGGACCTCCTCGTCGCGGCCCTCGACGCCCCGCGGCTCGCGACGTGGATCATGGCGTCGAGCGGCCTCTGGCGCTTCATGGGCGAGTGGAAACCAGGGCAGCAAAAGAGAGCGAAATTCCCAACTTCAAAGGCTCATATCTCGGCCGGTTTCCACTCGTTTCGGCTGATTTTTGGACGAGCGATCATCTCTCGGAACGGTCTCGAAGCGTGGATGCTTTTTCCGGAACGCGCGCGCGCGGAACACTCACGTTGAAGCGAACTTGAATCACCCTTTTGCTGCCCAGGTGGAAGCGCTACGCGCCGGTCTACGAGGCGTTCTTCCTCGCGGGTTTCGGCGCGTGCGGCCTCGCGTGCCTCGGGAACGCCTTCCTGGCGGCGACGCCCTACCACACGTTGCCCATGTCGCTCCTGACGGCCTACGTGCACGTGCCCGCCGTCCACGGCTTCCGGTTCTGGCGGCGGACGCTCAACGACGTGCGGTCGTCGGGGCTCGTGAATTCGCTCGTCGCGCACGAGTCGTCCGTCGTCGGCGCGGCGGTGAAGAACATCGGCATCGGCCTGCGGTGCACGGTCGTGGGCCAGGCGTGCTTCGTGGTGGTCGTGCTCGCGGCGTACGCGCTGCCGGCGACGCCCCTCGGCGACTTCGGCGCGACGGCGCCGCGGACGGGCGCTTCCGGCGTCGATGTGGCCGCGGTCCGCGCGCACGGGCTCCTCATGTGGGTCTTCATCACCATGGTCATGTGCGCCATCACGGGCCAGTACGCGCTGTTCGCGCTGTACTCCTACCTCCACACCATCGACGTCGCGCTCGCGGGCGAGCGCGTCATCGCGAAGATGCACCGCCCACTACGACACGCGCGACCGGCGCACGTTCGGCAGCTCCGAGCTGTCCGCCGAGGTGAGCCGGGGCGGCGCCTACGCGCGCTACGACCTCGACGAGCTCCTCGAGGACGTCGCGGCGACGTGCGGCGCGACGCAGGCGAGCTTGACGCGGTCGTCGGACGCGTGGTCGTCGATCCTCATCCACTTCCTCCTCGTCGCCTTCGCCCAGACCTTCGTCGTGCTCAACCACGTGACGCTCCACACGGTGGGCGAGCTGAAGCACACGCCCTACGGGTATTGCTACTACTTCCAGGACGCCTTCTTCGTCGGGTCCGCGGGCCTGGTCATCTTCTCGACGGTCGTCTTCGCCGCGTCCGTGACGTCCAAGTGCCGCGAGGTGCGCGGCGAGGCGAAGCGCATCGCCTACGCAAACGACGCCCACGTCCACGCCGCGGCGCTGTCCCAGGTCCTCGAGGACCACCTCGTCGGCATCAGGGCAGCAAAAGAGAGCGAAATTCCCAACTTCAAAGGCTCCTATCTCGGCCGTTTTCCACTCGTTTCGGCTGATTTTTGGACGAGCGATCATCTCTCGGAACGGTCTCGAAGCGTGGATGCTTTTACGGAACGCGCGCGCGTGGAACACTCACGTTGAAGCGAAATTGAATCACCCTTTTGCTGCCCAGGTCGGCATGTCCTGCTTCGGCCACCCCGTCGACCAGCAGAAGGTCGCGATGATCCTCTTCGCGTACACGATGCTCGTGCTCAACAGCGTCATCGCCATCCTCGCGCGGCGCTACAACGTCGGCTCGCCGCGCCGCGCCCTCGCGCCCTGACGTCGCGAGCGACGGCCCACCGCGCAAGCGGCCGCCAAATTCGCACCCAACTCGCAAGTCAACTCGCGCACCTTCCATTCGCGCTCAATTCGCACCCACGCCGCGCACCTTCCTGCGCTCTTTTGTGTTCCGCCTTTTTTGGTCCCTTCTAATCTCCTTCGTGTCGCTCGTACGGCGGCGAGGCGCCTGGGGCTCGCGTTCATCGTGTCGTTCGAGTTCACTTCACAACGTTGAGGCTGGCGAAGAGCTGTGTCTGATTGAAGCTCCAGCATGATGAGTACGCGGATGACGCTGGCGCGGCTGACGCTGGCGGCGGCGCTCTGCCTGCGGGCCGCGGCCTTCCTGGGCGCGCCCCCGGCGCCGCGCGGACACGCTCTACGCATGTCGAGCACGGACACGCTCTACGGCGCCTCGGACGCGCGACGAACGGAGGAGCCGGCCGTGGCGGCGGACGGCGCCGAGGACGCGGCGGACGGCGCCGAGGCCGCGGCGTCCGACGCGTCGGCCGCCCTGCCCGACGACGCCGCGGGCGTCGACATGTTCGGGAACCCCGTGTCGGAGAGCAGCGAGCTGTTGGGCGACGCCGCGGCCGCGGACTTCGAGGCGTTCGAGGCCTTCCCCGACGACGCGCCGCTGCCGCCCGGCTTCGAGGAGCCGGCGGAGACGCTGGCGGCGGCGGCGGCCTTCCAGGAGGACGTCGCGGGCCCCGCCGAGGCGACGTACCGCGAGGCCGACTTCGTCGGAAGCGAGTGGAAGATCGGCGTGCTCTGGCGCGACAAGGAGAAGATCGACGTGACCTGGGTCCGCTGCAAGGAGGACGGCAACTCGGAGTGGGGCTGGGGCGCCAGCGGCAAGTGGCGCCTGGAGGACGGGTCGTTCCTCACGTTCACGCGCGACTTCCCCCTCGGGTGGAACGGGAAGCGGCTCTTCTCCGCGCGCGTCGGCGCGGACGGCAACTTCGTCGAGGGCGTCGTGCGCGGCTGGAAGCCCTTCGAGTCCGCGACGATCATGGGCCAGTGGCAGGCCATCCGCCTCGGCGTCGAGGGCCGCGGCGCCGCGCCCTGGTTCGAGGACGAGGAGGGGGAGTAACGACTCGGTCGGGACTTTACAGGGAGTCGCTGCGTGGCGGCGCGGATGTCCTCGTGATCGTCGTCGTCGCCCGTATGGTCGCGCGGTCCCGAAATCGTCTGCAACGATGGTGCAAGGTTGAAGGTGCCGCACCAGAGACGAGTCTGGGAACAGGCGCAGCCCGACAGTAGTGGCCCATCACCATGGCCGCCACCTTCGCGCCGGACACGATGGCCTTCGTCGTCTGCCTCGTCGTCATCGTCGTGGACCGCATGGGCTCCAAGTTCACGGAGCCGGCCCAGTTCCCCTACTCGCAGGAGCTCGGCATCTCGCTGCCGCGGCTGTCGCTCATCCTGGCGGCGCGCGAGGTGTGTAACCTCGTGTCCAATCTGTGGATGCCGCGCGCCGCGGACCGCGGCGGCCGCAAGGCCACGGTGCTCGTGTCCATCGCCGGGTCCTTCGCGGCCTACGCGATCCAGGCCTGCGCGGCGTACGCGGCCGACGGCTTCGCGACGTTCTTGGTCGGCAAGATCGTCGCGGGCCTCTTCGGCGGCACGCTGGGCCTCTGCATCGCCTACATCCTGGAGCTGAGCATCCCGGACATGGCCCTGGCGAAGAAGCGCGTGTCGACGGCCATGGCCTGCAACATGGTCGTGCCCATGACGATGGCGCCCATCGGCGGCGCGGTCGCGCGCTTCGGGCTGAACCTGCCGTTCTTCATCTCCGCGGGCGTCGCCGCGCTCGGCTTCGTCTTCTGCGCGCGGTTCATGAAGGAGGTGGCGGAGCTCGGGGATACCGACGCGAAGGACGACGACGACGAGGACGGTCCGCTCGTCGGCGCGCCCGTCGAGAAGGACGACGTCAAGTTCGAGGACCTCGAGAACCCCTACAAGGACCCCGTGCTCCTGCTCCAGGCCTGCTGCTTCGTGCCCATCTTCGTCGTCGTCATCTCGCTCATGCTCATGTACTCCACGCGGCGTCGGCGGCGCCCGCGCGCGCGCCGCGATTCGAACGCCCCGCAGGTACTCGATCCTGGTGAGCCGGCGGTGCTTCGGGCTGGAAGAAGACTCGGACGAGAAGACGCGGGAAGCCGTCGCGGAGGCCGCGGGGCTCATCGCCATCCCGTCGTCGACGTCGATGATCTTATCGATGACCATGGGCTACCTCATCGTCTCGAAGCGCTTCGGCGACTTCTTTTGCGTCGTCGTCGGCGGCGGCGTGGGCGGCTTCTCGTGGGCCATGCACGGCTTCTGCCGGCGGCTGTACCAGGTCGCGCTCTGCGGCTGCGGCTTCGGCGGCGGCATGGGGCTGCTCGTGGGCTGCGCCATGAACATGTCCAACGGCTACGTGACGCTCAAGTACCCGCGGCAGATCGCGACGGCCAAGTCCGTCGCGCAGCAGGGCAAGAATTTGGGGTCCATCGCGTCCGCGCCCTTGGTCGTCTTCCTCGTGGAGCGCGACCGCACCGCGGCCTGGGTGCTGACGGGGCTGGGGCTCTGGGTCGCCGCCGCGGGCCTCGCGACGAACCTGACGGTCATGAACCGCGCGGTCGCGGCCATGGAGGCGGCGAAGCTGGAGGCGAAGACGCCGCCGCCGACGGCGACGGAGGCGCAGATGACTCTCGCGCGCGAGAAGACGAACGCGCTCGACTTCGACGCCTACGTCGCGTCGCTCGGCGACGAGCTGCGGACCATCTTCACCGACGGCGGCTACGACGTGCCCCTGCGCTGGAACGGCGGCGCGCAGCGCTGGGTGAAGCGCGTCCTCCGCCGCGCGCTGCCGCCGCTGCGGCCGTGGGCGGACGACGACGGCGGCGCGGCCTTCATCGAGGACCTGACGAGCCTGCTCGAGGCCCACGGCGAGGCGCGGGCCATCGAGCGCATCCGCGCGCGCCACGCGGCGTTCCGCGACGCGGGCCGCGCGTCGCTCGACGACTGGATCTTCGCGGGCGCGTCGGCCTACGCGTCGGGCACCTACGCGTCCGCGTCGCCGGACCGGCCCCTCAACGACCCGACGGGCGCGCCGCACTAATTTTTTAGGGGTCGCGGAAGTCGCGGTGGACCCCGCGGGCGCGCCGCACTAAACATTATGAGGGGGCGCGGAAGTCGCGGTGGACCTTGCGCTCCCAGCCGAGGGCCGCCTCCGTCGTGCCGAGCGCCGCGTAGAGCCGGTCGTTGTAGGGCTCGAACCAGTCCCGCAGCGTCGTGTAGCCCGCCTGGGACCAGAAGTGCTCGGGCTTGGGCGTGATGGGCGTCACGTGCACGGGCGCGATGGCCTCGAACTTGTAGGACGTGCAGAGCCCCGCGAAGGCCGCGACGGCGTCGCCGACGGCCGCCGCGTCCCGCCGGAGCTGCTCGGAGCTCACGGCCGTGACGGAGTGTGCGCCGTAGACCTGCATGTAGTGGATGACCTGGTAGACGTAGAGCGACTTGCGGATGAGGCCGTAGGGGTCCTTGCGCCGGAGGAACATCTTTTGGCACGCGAGGCCGTAGTAGCTGTCGATGCCCGCGTCGTCGCTCGCCCGCGTCCTGTTCTGGCGGAGGAGGTCCATGGCCTTGGCGTAGCAGCGGTCGTAGGTCGCGAGCGTGTCCTGCGTGGCCTTGTCCCAGTTGATGTCGCCGTCCTGGAAGTAGGGCCGGTAGCAGAAGCGGTAGTCCGAGAAGGACCGGTCGACGGGCTCGCGGAGCGCGAAGACGATCTTCGCGTCCGGCGCGTCCAGGGCCGCGCGCACGGCGGGCATGCGGCTCTCCGACGCGTAGGTCACCGTCGCGTCGAGACTCACGAGGCCCTCGTCGTTCTTGAAGTACGCGTAGCGCGACGCGCGCTTGCTCAGCGGCTGCCGGTAGTAGACCGCGTTGATGTAGCCCCCGGGCTCCTTGTAGTGCGACCCGCGGAGGGGCCGCAGGACCTGCGGGTGCGTGACGAGGAGGCTCGCGAGGTAGGACGACGCGCCCTTTTGCGCCGCGGGGACGAAGAGCGCCGGCGCGCAGCCCGCGCGCGCGATGCGCCGCTCGCGCGCGTCGGCCTTGGCGTCGCTCGCCTCGCCGGCCTCGGCGAACTCGAAGCCGTAGCAGTAGGCCTTTCGTTGTTCCCGCAGTTCCGCGGCGCACGCCGCGTGCGCGACCTCGAGCGCGGGCAAGGCCGCGTAGCTCCTCCCGAAGAAGCTCCCCGGCGCGGTCTCGTCGTAGGACCCGTCCGTCGCCACGGGGCCGAGCCAGAGCGCGCTCGCGGCCGTCTCCGGCGCCTCCGGGTTGCGGTGCAAATTCCGCGCGCGCGCCGCGTCGCAGCCGAACCACTCGACGGCGCCATCGAGGCCGTTGGGCGCGCCGTCGAAGCAGCGTTCGAGGAGCGCCGTCGGCCGGTAGGCGAGGTCGTCGGCGCAGGCGACGTCGGCGCCGCAGGCGTCGAGCGCCTTGAGCGCGCACGCGGCCGCGGCGTCGAAGGGCTCCGGGAACGCGAGGACCATCGGCGGCGGCGCGTTGCCGTGGTAAAAGTCCGTGTCGGGCCCGCACTCCGACGGCCCCACGGCGAAGCCGCGCGCTCTCGGGTCGAGGGGCGCCGTGAAGTAGAGGCTCAGGTCGACGAACACGCCGCCGGACCGCCAGAGGCTCTGCATCCGGAGGAAGAACGTGAGCGAGCTCGGCGGCACGACGTCGCCGTCGTCGCGCATGAAGCCCTTCATGAAGTCGACGTACTTGGGCGCCATGGTCCGCCGGTGCGCCGTCCACCACTTCTGGCCCGGGTAGGACCCGCGCTCCGCGTGCACGCCGGGGCAGGCCCGGTAGAGCTGCGTCTCGCTGTTGACGATCCGCGTCGTCACGTCGAAGCCGAGCTTGACGTAGCGCTCGAACTGGGTCAACGCGTTGGCGTTGGAGTAGCGGAAGCGCGTGCCCATGTTCGGGGCCACGATGGTGGCCTCGACGGCCGTGCCCGGCCCGTGCGCGGCGAGCAGGCTCTCGAGCGCGAAGTAGTTGTGGGGCGAGAAGTGGAAGGTGCTGTGCGGGTAGTCGACGGCGACGCGGCGCGGCGGCGATTCGGCCGCCGGCGGCGGCGGCGGCGCGCGGTCCGGCAGCGCCGCGCGCGCGGCGGCGACGCGCTTCGACCGGAACGCCGCCCACGTTTCGGCGTCGATCGGGTGGAGCCCGCGCTTTTTCAACCCGGCGACCTCGTTGGGGATCTCGAGGTTGGGCTGCGCGCGGTCGCCGGGGCCCTGCTGGAGCACGGGCGCGCCGCGCGCGTCGTACTTGGGCCGCCGCGGCGCCGGGCCCGCGCGGAGCGCGCCCTTGTCCTCGACGACCAAGGCGTGCTCGACGCCCGCGCCGCGCAGCGCCATGTGGTCGTGGTCCGCGAGCTCGAGGTCGTAGGGCGCCATGACCTCGCGGTAGAGCTCGAGCGACGCCGCCTCGAGCGTCGCCATGGACCGCCGCGGGCTGCCCAGCGACTCGCCGCCGAGGCCCAGGGTGATGGACAGCGCCGCCAGCGACACGAAGGCCACGCACATCATCGCGCCGAGGAACAGCGTCTCCGCCGTCGACTGGCGCACCATCGCTGCTTTTGCTTGGAGGAAGCCTCACGGGCAGCGCGTCGCCATCGTGGGCAGCATCTCATAAAATTTATTGACGCGTCGGGTGCAAGTCCTGGTGCAAGCGCAGTGCACGTTGCCCTCCGGGGTGTCTCGGTGGGCCCCGCCGAGGAGGACGCAGCTCTCGAGGGTGGGGACGTAATGGTTACTCGTCCGTCGTGGTGGCAGCGGGGTTGGCCGCTCGGCTCGTCTTCTTCGGTGGCCGCGGGTCGTCCTCCGCGCGTGCTGTACCGGGAGACCTCTCTCTCTCCGGCCGCGTGGGCGCGCGGTGGATTCATGAAGCGGAACGGCGGCGGCGGCGGCGCTGCGGCGCGGGTCTCGCCCGGGGGCGACCGGCGCGGGTCAGGCGCGCGCCGCTCACGCGTCCGCCTCGAGGTCCGCGTAGGCGCGCGACGACGGCTTGCGCTCGGGGATGCAGACGTCGCCGACGAGGGCGCCGGCCGCGCGGTCGCGGGCGCGGGCCATCTTCGAGAGCTTGCACGCGGCGACGGCCGCGACGACGAGGGACACGAGGCCGAAGACGAGGCCCGCGGTCGCGACGGCCAGCGCCAGCTCGATCTCCTCGTCCTGCTTGTCCTCGTCGTCGCCGTCGTCCGGGAAGATCTCGTCGAGGGCGGTGACGTGGACGTGCTCGCCGACGGCGGAGGAGGCCGCGACGTCGGCGGCCAACGCGGCGACCGTCGCCTCGAGCGCCTTGAGGCTCGCGTAGGACGCCATCTCGGACTCGATCTCGCCGAGGGCGTACTCGTAGTGGGAGCGGCGCTTGGCCGAGATGACGTAGTCCTCCTGGCCCGCGCCCTTGTTCGTCGCGGACTCGAAGGTCCACTCCTCGTGGCCCGGCGCGAGCGCCATGGCCTCGAGGGCCTTGCGCCCGACGTCGCGGACCTGCTGGGGCGCCTGCTCGAAGTTGTAGTCGCCGAGGAGGGCCTGGCCGTCGTCGGAGAGGACGTACTCGACGAAGGCCTTGAGGAGCGGGCCCTTGGCGCCCGTCGCGGTCTGGTCCGCGCGGACGTAGAGGTAGGACACGGCGACGATGGGCCACGTGTACTCGCCGGGCATGTTGTGGAGCGACACCTGGCTGAAGTCCGCCGCCGGGTCGCTGGGCATGACGCCGAGGGCCAGCGCCTCCTCCGCGGCGGCCTGGACGCCGCCGCGCGCGATCGACTCCGTCGACGACTGGTACGTGCCGTCGAGGTTCTTGAGCTCGATCTCGGAGAGGCCGTCGTCGTGGCCGTGGCCGCTGTCGATGTAGCCGATGGCGTAGGGCGTGCTCGAGATCATCGACGACATCTCGCCGGAGCCCTCGACGGCGAAGGTGGAAGACGGCCAGTCGATGGTCGAGCCGACCTGCGTCCACTTGTCGGGGCACGCGGCCGCGAGGTACTGCGTGATGCCCTTGGTGGTGGACGAGCCGTAGGTGCGGTGGTAGACGACGATGGGCTCGCCGGCGGGGGGGTTGAAGTTCGGGTTGATGGCCATGATGTCGTCGTGGTCCCAGGTCGTGATGACCGCGTTGAAGATGTCCGCGATGACGCACGCGTCGAGGTTGAGGCCCGTCGACGGCAGCGTCGAGTCGGGCACGTTGTGGAAGAAGGACATGGCGCCGAGGTTGAAGGGGATGTGGAGGGGCGCGACGCCCGCGGCCTTGAGCTTGTCGTAGTTCTCGGTCGAGAACGGCATGTCGCCGGACCCAAAGTCGTTGAAGGCGGCGAAGCCCTGGTCCTCGCCCATGAACTCGTACTGGCCCGTGCTGGAGCCGACGGCGCGGTAGGTCATCTTGACGCCGGGCTTGGCGCGGGCCTCGAAGAGGCTCATAATCTCCCAGTAGAACTTCGACGGGTTCGTCGTGCCGGAACCGTCGAGCTCGACGGAGTAGGCCGACATCGCCCCCGAGGGAGCGGTGAGGGCGGCGGCGGCGGCGAGGGCGAGCTTCATGGCTTTTTTTGGTGGCGCTTTCGGGACGGCTTCAGCGGCGTCGCGGAGTCGGCGAAGCTGCTTTTTGTGGTTGCGTCACGTTGAAGACCCCCGGCCTCGCGTCCCACCCGCCTTTCGCAAGCACGCATCGGGTCGCGCCAGCACTGTACTCCAAACCCCGCGAGGTTGGCCCTCGAAGCATCGACGAGCATACGCCGAGCGCTCGCTGGGAGCTGGATCGGTGGCGCGCGCGCGAGGACGACCGCGACCGCGGCGGACGATCGACGCGCGCGAGGCAGGGTCTTTGGCCGACGTCGAAGCAGGGAATTGTTAAGAGGTACACCGTCCAAGTAATCTATGTTGACAGGACACGAGGCTAAGTTTTCGCAGGAGGCCTGGCCGCTTCAACAATGCAACACCTGTGCCCCACATACGTCACATAAATGTTTGCCTGCCCACTCTAGAGTTTGGCCGGCGCACGGGCCCGGAGAGCCTCCCGTTTCACGCACCCCCCCGAGACTTCGGGCCGGACCCCCCCCCCCCGCCGTCGACGATGCGGCCCCTCCTCGTCGCGATCGTCGCCGCCGCGGCCGTCGCCGCCGCCGGCGCCTGCAAAGACAGCAAGAAGTGGGAGCTCAAAATCAAGAAGAAGGGCAAAAAAACAAAAAAGCTGAAATGCGGCGACCTCACGAAGAAGAAGTACTCCAAGTACTGCCGCAAGAAGAAGAAGGGCAAGGACGAGCCCAAGGTCAAGAGCGCGTGCCCGAAGGCGTGCGGCAAGTGCGAGAAACGCGACGACACATCGACGCCCTGCGCGGACTCGGCGACCTTCAAGTACAAGGGCACGGCCTGCGCCGACCTCGGCACCGTCGCCAAGAGCTCGAAGAAACTCAAGAAGACCTGCCGGGAAAAGGGCAAGGTGAAGCTCGCGGCGGCGGACGCGTGCCCCGAGGCGTGCGGCACGTGCCCCGGCGACGACGTCGGCGGCGACGGAGGCGACTCGGGTGGCGACGTCGGCGGCGACGAAGGCGACTCGGGGACGATCACGACGACGACGCAGGTCGCCCTCGGCCCGGGCTCCTGCGACGCCGACACCTTCTTCGACGTCTTCGACGCGGCCGCGCACGCCGTGCCGGCCGACTTCTGCGAACGCTGCTGCCCGGGCTGCGCGGTCCACGGCGGCCGGGCCCAGCTCGACTTCTCGGCCGCGGCGGCCTGCGTCTGCTACGTGGGCTCCCTGGCCGGTACCGAGTCCGCCGCGATGGCGAACCTCGAGCTCTCGGCGCACGGCGACTGCGCGGCCGTCGACGGCCGGTACCCGGGCGGGAACCAAAATGACTTCAATATGAGCGGTTTGCGCCTTTATATTCACCTGGTTGTTTCCCGCGCAGGCCAGTACTTCGACGTCCGCGGCAACGGCGGCGACGACCGGCTCATCGTCTTCGGGGTCGCGCCCGGCTCCGACTACTCGGACTACGCGGCGGCCGTCGACGGCGGCGACGGCGACGACTTTATCGACGTGCACCGGAGCGGTTATTCCATCGGCGGCACCATCGAGCGCCTCGTCGTCGCCGGCGGCGCGGGAAACGACGAGATCAGCGCCACGGGCTCGCTGCTCCAGCTCGACGGCGGCGAGGGCGACGACGAGATCCACCTTCTCTCGGCGGGCGCCGTGTCCTCGAACAACAACTTCGTCAACGGGAACGGCGGCAACGACGTGCTCGACCTCGAAGTCTCCCAGTCTGTCGTCCTCGGCGGCGACGGCAACGACCAAATCGAGGTGGTCGGCGACGACAACGACCAAATCGACGGCGGCGCCGGCACCGACGACGTCCGCGTCACGGGCGACTACAACAACGACCTCAACGGTGGCGACGGCGAAGGCGACAAGCTCACGCTCCGGGGCAAGCAGGGCACGAACGGCGAGATCGAGGGCTTCGAGATCGAGAACCTCTACCCCTCCCGCGCCTGAGACCCAAGCTCCCTTCCTCCCGCGCGCGCGCGGTGATCCCCCCCGTTCTTCCGCCCCCCCCCTAAGCTCAAGCACCCGAACTCGTGTGCGTTCTCATCGGAGGCCGCAGGCTTGTGCGCGGAGCGACTTCGAAGGTGTCCTCAAGCAAGGGCTTGTGTGTTTCATCGCGCAACTGTTTTAGCCGACGCACTGAACCGCAGGCGCCGACGCTCAAGCCCGCACCCGATCGCCCCACCGGACCGCATCGCGTGCCCGTGAAGCGCATGGAGGGCCTCGAAGGCCGGGGGGGACGCCGACGGCGGCGACTCTACACCCCCATCCGCTTTTTCCTCCTCCTCGCCTTCTGCGCCGGCGAAAGCTTGGCCGTCGCCGCCGCGAGCGGCCGCCCGCCGTGCGAAGACTCGAGCAAGTGGAAGGTGAAGATCGGCGGGAAGACGCGCGGGTGCTCGCCGGCGTACTGCGACGAGACCGGCGTCGAAAAAGTCAAGGGCTCGGCGGCGTGCCCCAAGGCGTGCGGCGCCTGCCCGACGACGGGCAAATGCAAGGACTCCAAGTTCTTCCGCTACAAGGGCTCCAAGTGCTCCAAGCTGAAGAAGAAACAAAACCTCTGCGAGAAGAAGGGCGAGGAGCCCGTCGCCGCGGCGATCGCGTGCGGCCTCTCGTGCGGGACCCAGCTCTGCGCCGCGCCCGGCCCGCCGGGCGGCGCGTGCGCGGGCCAGGCGAGCAAGAGCTCGTGCAAAGCGGTCGCGGGCTGCAAGTGGAAGAACGACACGTGCAAGACCAAGGGCGGCGGCGGCGGGTCGTGCAAGGATAACGCGAGCGAGGACTCGTGCAAGAAGGTCGCGGGCTGCAAGTGGAAGAACGACAAGTGCAAGGACGGGTCGTGCAAGGACAACGCGAGCAAGGACTCGTGCAAAAGCGTCGCGGGCTGCAAGTGGAAGAACGACAAGTGCAAGGACAAGGCCGGCGGCGGCGGGTCGTGCAAGGACAACGCGAGCGAGGACTCGTGCAAAAGCGTCGCGGGCTGCAAGTGGAAGAACGACAAGTGCAAGGACAAGGGCGGCGGCGGCGCGTGCGCGGACAACGCGAGCAAGAGCTCGTGCAAGGCCGCGGCGGGCTGCGCGTGGAATAGCAAGCAGTGCCAGGACGAGGCGACGACGACGACGACGCTCGGCGAGGTCGGCTGCATCGGCGCCGCCGCCGGCTGCGGCCCCGGCGGTCCCGGCGGTCCCGCGCCCGGCGGTCCCGGCGGTCCCGCGCCGACGGCGACGGCGACGCCCCGGCCTTCGCCCGCGCCGACGGCGACGGCGACGCCCCGGCCTTCGCCCGCGCCGACGGCGCCGCGCATGACCATCGTCAACACGAAGTCCGCCGGCGCGCCCGACGACACGTGCTACGCCGACGCGGCCTGCGTTTGCACGTGGGACTTCGTCGGCGACGTCGGCGCGTGCCCGACGCTCGAGTTCACGGTCGTCGACGAGGCCACCGGGGAGACCATCGCTTCGGGCCGCGTCGCGAACACGGGCCGGAGTGTCAAGGCGATCCCGGCCTTTGCGCGGAGCGTCACCTACGCGCATGACATCAAGTGCGCCGACGGCGCGCTGCTCGCGCCGGCCTACGCGGCCCTCGAGGACTCGAAGCCGTTCCTGGTCCTGGCCACGCCCCCGCCGTCGCCGGAGCCTTCCGCCTCGCCGTCCCCCGCGCCGTCGGCGAATCCGTCGCCCGCGCCGACGGCCGCCCCGACGGCCGCCCCGACCACCGCGCCGACGGCCGCCCCGACGGCCGCCCCAACCGCCGCGCCGTCCGCGGCGCCCACGGTCTCGCCCACCGCCGCGGCGACGGCCGCGCCCACCGCCGCGCCGACCCCCCCCACCCCCGGTCCGACGCTGTCGCCGACGACGAGCGCCCCGACGCGGGGCCCGACGCCCGAGTCGCTCGAGATCAGGACCACGGGCACGGAAGGGACGTGCGTAGCAGGATTGCCCTGCGAGGTCACCTGGGACTTCGTGGGCGACGCGTCGAAGTGCGCCAACATCAAGGTCGAGCGGAGGAACGAGGACGGCGAGGTCGTCTGGACCGACGTCTTCGCGAACACGGGCTCGTTGGCGCTCCCCGGCGACGTCGCTGGCGGGCAGTACACGAACGTGCTGACGTGCGTCGGCGACGACACCCTCACGAGCGAGATGCCGTTCCTCGTGGCGGAGACGGACGCGCCGACGCGGGACCCGACGCCCGCGCCGACGGCGGAGCCCACGGTGTCGCCGACCCAAGCGCCGACGCGGGACCCGACGCCCGCGCCGTCGGCCGCGCCCACGGCCGAGCCCACGGCGGCTCCGACGGCCGCGCCGACGCCCGCGCCGTCGGCTGAGCCCACGGCCGAGCCCACGGGGTCCCCGACGCCGTCGCCGACGCCCGCGCCCACCGTCTCCCCCACGCCCGCGCCCACGGTCTCCCCGACGGTCAAGCCGACGAACTCATTCCTCGCGATCGACAGTCTGGGCGATGGCGGGTCGTGCTTCTCCGACGTGGCCTGCGACCTGCGCTGGACTTACCGCGGCGACCCGGACGACTGCACGACGGTGACGTACGAAGTGACGGACCCCGAGGGCGTCGTCGTCGAGACGGCGCGCCTGCTCAACGACGGCGAGGCGACCATCATCTTCTTCGGCGACAACGCCACGTCGTCCTACGGGCTCTCGCTCGCGTGCTCAGGCGATCTCGCGCTGTCGGGACTCGCGAGCTCGGTGACGGTGACGGTCGCCTACACGGCCGCGCCGACGCCCGCGGGGACCCCCGAGCCCACTCCCAAGCCGACGGCCGCGCCGACGCCGGCGCCGACGGCCGCGCCAACGCCGGCGCCGACGCCCGAGCCGACGGCCGCGCCGACGACGCCCGAGCCGTCCACCGCGGCGCCGACGCGCGCGCCGACGCTGTCGCCGACGCCCGCGCCCTTCGTCGCCGACTGGACGCAGTACGGCGGCGACTTGGACGGCGAGGCCGCGAGCGACGAGTCGGGCGCGAGCGTCTCGCTCAACCAGGACGGTACCGTCGTCGCCGTGGGCGCCCCGGGCAACGGCGGCGACGCGGGACACGCG